CTCAAGCGTTGAGTTACACGACCTATTTTTGGAAACACAGTAATAAACTCGTTTAAAATAGCTTGCGTATCACTTTGTTAAAAACAAAATGAATACAATTCTTACAGTTTTTTATTTTCCCCACCTTTTCCAAAAACACGTGTCAAATCCACAGCTGAATCCAGCTAAAAGCTCTACCACGAAAAATGGATGGGTTGGTTCTGACCCTTACCTCAAGAGTTTTCATCATTTAAATTTTAAGAACAAACTGCGCTAGATGACCTGCTTTAACCGGAAATATGTTCTTATTCTCTCCGAAGAAAAACACTGTAGGCCTTTACCCTTTATCCTAACTCTACATGAGGATTAAATCTGGCCCTGCAACAAACATTTTCTTTTTCTAATTTGTGTTTAAGGAGGAAACACGCTGTTTCTGGTAAATTCACGACCCCAGATCGATTTGTATGAGGTTGTCATGCTTGATCCCACTAGGTTTGTTTAAAGAACTCATGCTGTGTTTCCATACCATCGGGGTGCGGTTGTTGTGATAGATGTGAATCGGGAGAGTGAGGGTGAAATAACTTTTGCCATTGGAGCTATTGTCTAATCATTTTAACTAATCATTAGATAATCGTAGATAATTACGGCCATAATCATTATTGAAATCATTAGATAATATCGAAAATCTCTACCCTTTTCCCATAGAATCCCATAAGCAGGCGTCCATCAAGCGGCTCTCTCTCGGAACGTCATCTGGCACTTTCAATTTTATCCTAACTCTATGAGATTCAAATCTAATACCAACAAACATTTTTCTTTTTCTAATTTGTGCTTAAGAAAGGAAGCGCGCTGTTCCTGTGTAGAATTCTTGACTTTCGATCCATTTTTTGTCAAAAACGGTCACTGCGTCAGAGGATTTTTTTAATTTTTGAAAAAGCTTCATACACTCAAAACTCTCTTTCCTAATAACGTTGGAGTAAGTTTTTTTTTGCAGCTATCACTTTCCGTCTTGAAATATAAGTGGTGGTGCTAGGAGAGAAAGTCACGTGACTCAGAACGTGTTGGAGGAGAAAGAGAGAGAAAAGAGCTGTCTCTTCAGGAGGCCTGAGTCCACCCTGCCCCCCTCATTGCTTTTATTGTTTTGTGTTTCGTTTTCATTTCGTTTCGCCTTTACTTCAAAAACAACTATCATAGGGATTTGGCCTCAGATTTTGCCAAATTCTGTTATCTAATCTTGGGCTTTTACTAACTCTTTACTCAAACATTTCCCACAATTGCTTTACAAGAAAATCGCCGAATCCGAGAAAAACCGAGAATCCCGCCAATTATTTTTTATTTCCCGGCTGGCATCTTTTGGATCTCGATGTGATTGGAATTTTTTTGGATAATTGATTCTCGCATCCAATGGCTAATTGGTATTCAAAGGGTTTCCCTCTCATCTTGTTTTCTTTGAATTCCCAGACTTGTCCAGTTTTCTCATTGCTGAACACTAGAAAAGTGGATGCCTAGGTGAAGTTTTTATCCTTGTCGTCTTCAGAAAGCTTGTCACAGAGTTGCTTCAGAAGCTTTGTAAAGCCAAGGATTATATAAATTTGCGATTACATTGATGGACACTTTCGACTTTCGGAGGTTTTAACTTGAAAGAGAGTAGAGTGACGGGTGAAGTCGCTCTCTTCCGCTCTTCATTCTCCTCTTCCATTCCTCGTTTTCCTGTCTTTTCTCCTCGCGTCAGATCCGTTGGACCGGTAATCTCTATAGTCCCCGGAGATATCTTCATTCCTTTCTATGATAGGCTATTTGCTAGGAAGGAAAGATTTCCTAACTCAGTATCCAAAATTACTTACCACTTTGTTGCTACGATCATTTGTGATTTCATTTCGTTTTTACACCAACTGTTGTGGGGTGATGGGGTGACCTTTTGCCACTTTCGACAAGCGAATTCCCTCTCACTTTTTTTTCATGTTCTTTGCTTTTGGGTGGTGAAACAGTCTTTCTCTTTCATTCTTTTTTTCACATTTTTGCTCATTATCGTGATGAATCGACACTTCTCATTGTGTTGAACAATGTGTTGAACATTTGTGAAAAATAAGTTACTAATTGACAAGAGACAATGAGAGGTTGACATTTGAGAAATTTAATAGGGGTTGGGAGTTGATAACTTAACGAAACTGGGTTCGAAATATGAAGAAATTTAAAAAACTAGGTTCAAATATCTTAGAAAAACCGAGATTTCCTCATTTGATTCGATACGATTTAAAGTTTTTCAATTTCTTCAATTTCTTTTAAAGCCTATTCAAAAAGTGAGCACGTCTTTGTAGGATTAAATCCCCTATCGACATCTCTTCCAGCTCCACCCATTCCCACTCTCAAATCCCGGGTCATTAGGTCTCGAAATCCTTCAAATCCTTTCAGAATTTTCAATACCCAAAGAAAAACGTTTCTTTTTTTTTTCGTGTTGAGTTCGAACTCCATGTATGACGGCTATTTCAAAATTACCATATATTGGGTTGGAAATATGAAATGGCATCGACTTTCAAAAGTTTTTCTAGCACGCATAAAAGCTCCCATATAGTTCATTGTTTGTATAGTCAAAAAGATCTATCTATGTCTTGAAGATCTTTTTGATCTTTTTGATCTTCAAAAGCCAATGCTAATGTCTTGAAGAATGGAGTTTTAGGAAGAGCGAGCGAAAATCGCAAAAAACTATCGGTAAAGGCAAAATTTTGAAATTAGAGTACACTAAAGTCTAATTATTGGTTTGAGAAGTATAAAATAGCGCCGACTTTCAAACGTTTTTTCTAGAACGCATAAAAGCTTCATATAATCGATTTTTTTTTTGTATAATCAAAAAGGTCTATCATTGCTCTATAAATAAGCTTTTGAGAAATTTCGAAAAGCTTTGGTTTTGTGGATGTTATGGGCTCAAAATGAAGAGGAATCCGATTCGTCGTTTGATTCTTTTCTTACACATAAACTTAATGTCAAAACAAAAAAGGTTAGAGCACATTTAATTACATAAGTAACTAGATTTTTGCAGTGATCTCGTTAGTCATTTTCTCTAAATGACGATTTATAGATTTTCTGAAAATTGGGACGCTTTTTGAGTTCTATTTCAAATGATTTTGTAGAGAAATAAGTGACCTTTCTAATAATGTTTGATAAAGACTACTCCATGTCATAGAAGTTCGATCCACTTAAATAGTCTATAACTTAAGATGTAAAAGCGGAAAGAACTCACGATCACTTTATTAGAATCTATATTAAATTTGATTAAAGAAATATAGAATCTGTTTTGTAGACTTACCGATAAAAAAGCATAGAGAAAATTGGCGTCAAAGTCGAGATAAGTGTCTACCCTAGGTTACCCCATACCAAGTCGGCGTCATTTCATACTCTCCAACCTAATAACAATTGCAAATTTGCATAAATCTCCCAAGAAAACTCTTTTGTTCTTTTTCTGATTTATTGATTTATTTCTGCTTTTTATGTGAGCTTTTTGTTACTTTATTATACTAAACAAATCTGTAAACTCGTCTTGATATGTTGAAATTTTACATTGGGCTTTTTGATGATGCTGAATTGATTGGTGAGGATTTATAAACTATATTTTCTGGTTATTTTGATGTTATTGTTATTACAAATGAACCCGGCTTTGATATTTTTCTATCTTTTAATGCTTTTTTCCTCAGTTTCTAAACTTTTTTGAAGTTTTTTTAACAACCCTGCAAACAACTAACCTTTAAAAAAGCCAACTTTCTTCCTACATGTTCTCAAGCTGCACTCAAACTTCAATCTTACACCCCGCTCCCTGCTTAGTTAAGCGCATCGGACGTCCACAATTCCGGGCATCCTCGATCTTTCCAAAGCAGTCTCATATCGGCCAACCAATCATCGAAATCCTTGTCACTTTTGATAACGAGTTTGAGCCATTGTCTTAAGAGGCTAAAACATTCTCTTAAGAGCTTAAGCCATTCTCTTCAATTAAACGCCTTCAATTCAAGCTTAGCCGTCACTGCTAAACTTGCTTGCGCCATACACTAAAGAAAAAACTTAAGAAAAGTTACAAAACTAAGGAAAAGACACAAAAAAAGAAAATATCAAAGCCAGACCTCAATGTAATAACATCATAATAATAACATCATAATAATAAGGGATCATAGTTTGTAAATGTCACCAATCGATTCAGCATCATCAAAAACGTCCTAGTGTAAAATTTCAAAATGTTAATACGAGTTTACAGATTTGCCCCGCCAAGTATCTTTGCACCTACTTTTGCTCAATTTTTAGCTTAAAATTTATTATCCAAGACTATTTATTGAAATTTTTTACTCTATTTAATTGCCAAAAATTTGTCTAAGCTCATTTTTGTATTTTCACTCTTCACTTTCACTCACACAGTCCCCGCTCTTATCACATTGGCCTAGACTTGAGGGAAAAAAAATTGTTTTTAAGTAGTTAACCGGGAAATCTCACTTAAATAATATAGCATTGGGGAAAATGGAAGAAAATAAAATCATTTCCAATAAATGTCTTTTCTTTTTCATTTTACTCTTTGACCTTCTCATTAATCGCGTAAATTCTATATATTAATTTCTACAGATTTGGGGTAAAATTGATTTAGACTTACCTTTAGGTATTTTTAATTTTATATAGCATTTAACCTTTTCTTTCTACAGAACATTGAGCATTTAACCTTTTCCTTTATAGCATTTAACCTTTTCTTTCTACAGAACATTGAGCAAACACTCATCGCAATGGGCTTCTCGGTGTGCTTTTTCTATATATTAAAGTTTTTTTTGAGCCATATCTAGTTCTTTCATCTTTTAGTACCCCAAGCATCTAGGTATTAAATTCTTTTAAGGATAGATTAACCTAAATAATATAGCATTGGGGAAAATGGAAAAATAAAACCATTTCCAATAAATGTCTTTTCTTTTTCATTTTACTCTTTGATCTTCTCATTCATCGCGTAAATTTTCGCCCAAGAACCTTTTGTGCGCACAATTTTTATGCAAATATCCATGCGCATAATTGAATGGTGAGTCCACTCAAGCGTCGGAGTTGAGCCTATTTTGCAGCACATCTAAACTCGTTTAAAAAAAATGACTTGCGTATCACTTTGTTAAAAGCAAATGAATGCAATTCTTGTTTTACTTTCCCCCTTTTCAAAAACGATGTCAAAGTCCACAGCTAGATAGCTAAACTCTACGAAAAAGAGCTGAAAACCGGCTCGACTCGAACTGAACTTGATCGTGTTTTTATCAACACAAGACGAAAAAAAGATCTAATCTTGCCCATTTTCACTTTCTTGTACATATGGACTGTACCATTCACCACCATGAGATCATCCTTTTGTTGCAGGGTTGTACAAGTCTCGCTTCTGCTCGGCGCTCTTCCGCTTCTCTTCGTCTTCGTCCTCTTGCCATTGCTCATCTACTTCTGTCCGCACGTCATGCAAAATCTGTTCTTTCTCAATTTTCGTAAGTTTTTGTTTGTACACTACTGGACAATGAAATATGATATTTGAAAAAAGATCGTCACTTTCGCGTCTGTAACTCCCCTGTCTTTACCGTATTTCTAAATATTGATATTACCATTGTGTAGCCCTTGAAAGAGCTTTCAGAAAATGTATAACACTAATAGTTTAAACTCAAAGACAAAGGGAGTTACAGACGCGCGAAAGTGACGATCGTTTTTCAAATATGATATTTCATTGTCCAGTACTGTAGCTGGTTTTAATAGGTAGCTGGGGTGGGACAAATGCGACCTTTTTTGCGCACCTGGACATTTGCGCACCTTTTTGCTGGAAAGGCCTTAGGCAAGGCCGTAGAGCTGAAAATATTTCCATATGAAGGGAATCGTATGCGTAGATTCGAAAAATCAAATCAGACCTCGCTGACACGTCAAATTTGGGCTAAAAGGCAAAACTGCGGAAAAGCGTTAAGTTGCGTAGTTTTTGCCTTTTTAGCCCAAATTTGACGTGTCCGAGGTCTGATTTGTCGAAATTCGGAATCTACGCATACGATTCCCTATATAGAAATATTTTCAAGCTCTACGGCCTTGCCTAAGCCTTTTCCAGCAAAAAAAGGTCCGGGTGCGCAAAAAGGTCGCATTTTTCCCACCCCCAGGTAGCTAATGTTTTTAAAAAGTTTGGTAGGAGGTCAAAATGTAACTTTTCTCATTATTTTTTAATAACTTTTATGCTTTAGGTAAAATCCCGATGACCGACTATGAGAATGTTTCGGCGAACAACGTGAAATCGACGGGTCGAAGTTTCTATCTACAGGGTGAACAAGGGAAAATTGGAGTTTGGTGAGTGTTTGATGTCTTGAATATCTGATAGTTAGATAGGATAACGGTACCTTTATGATTTTTAGGCATATGTGGCCACGGGAGTCTCTCGGCTCGATACCACGACAAGAATATAATTCCGACTGGCGAGGAAATGGAGGAGTCTCTCTCGAAAGAAGTCTACCCGGTTGTACTCTACGCGCATGGAAATTCATTTGATAGGTAACACTTTATGGTAATTTTAAAAACATTTTTTTTAGAACAATTGATCACCGATGCCAGTTGTACAATGTGCTTAACGATATGAACTATCAAGTGATTGCTTTTGATTACAGAGGTGCGGGCTTAGAATAACATCAATAAAACACTCTATTAGAGAATTTATGTTAGTTAGCAAAGAAATTTTTTTAGGTTATGGAGACAGCGAGGGCACACCAACAGAGGAGGGACTTGTGGCCGATTCACGACTCGTTTTTGAATATTTACGGAAGAAAGTCGGCAAGAATCTTCTCATCATTTGGGGGCACTCGATGGGTACCGGGTAGATTTTGATTGACGGCAGCTTTTTATTGGATGCTAGATGTGATCTCATAATTTGCTCTCTTTACAGGGTATCAACGAAGCTCGTGCAAGACTTGTCAAAAGAGAGTAAAGCGCCTGATGGTCTCATCTTAGAGTCACCGTTCAATAATCTTCACGATGCCGTCATGAATCACCCATTTAGTTTTGTAAGTTTTTCCTCTTGATCATAAAAATATTGTTATCTTGTGTTACTTTTGCACAAAATTTAACTGTTTTTGCTAATCTCTATAGATTTGGGGTAAAGTTGATTTAGACTTACCTTTAAGTATTTTTAATTTTATATAGCATTTAACCTTTTCTTTCTACAGAACATTGAGCAAACACTCATCGCAATGGGCTTCTCGGTGTGCTTTTTCTATATAAAGTTTCTATATAAAGTTTCTATAAAGTTTTTTTGAGCTATATCTAGTTCTTTCATCTTTTAGCACCACAATTATCTAAGTATTAAATTCTTTTAAGGGTAGATTAACCAGGTATTAAATTCATCTAGGTATTAAATTCTTTTAAGGGTAGATTAACCTAAAATTAAAGCGTTACAACATGCAACTATATATGATAAATTTAGCCAATTCGCTGGATGCCCGACACGTTGGTGAATTTGTTGATTTTAAATCCATTGCGCTCGGTCGGATTGAACATGAACAGTGATCAGCGAATTGTTGAGTGAGTATTAGATTTGATTGTTAGCAGTAGTTTTATAGCAGCATCTAAACCGTTTACTGCAGATTTTAAAGATGAGCAGTACAAACAAAGTGACTATAATATTTTTAGCATCACATGTCCGATTTTCATCATCCACGCCGAAGACGACCACGTAATCCCCGCGAAACTTGGACGACTTTTGAGAGTTAGTTTTTTGATTAGCTTAATTAGTTTTAATTTTTATCTACGCTAAATTCATTGTTTATTTGCTTGAAAAACATTTTTCAATTCAGGACGCGGCAAAGCAAGCGGAACGGGACGTCGAATACCTCGAGTTTCCCTCAAATCGGCAATTCAAACACAAGTTCATCTATTTGGCTGACGAATTGCCGGCACATGTGAGGTGGGAATGGCTTTTTTGCTCAATTCGGATTGAATTTTTCAATGTGGTTTTTTATGAACAATAGAACTAGGAGTTTACTGAAGATGTTTTCTTTTAGAACCTTCTTCGCCAAATGTGATAAGTTACGCCACGGGAACAACTCACAGCGCCTAGATTGAGTATAAGCAACCCTTATACTTGGATTAGCTAACCCTTTTCAATTAATTTTTCAACACCAGTTTGTAGCTAATCAGCTTGTTATCAGCAAATAATCAACGAATATAACAAGCTAATCAGCTTGTTATATCATAGTTTTTTCCTTTTAAGCGCCTTTAGGCTTTCTTTATATGTATTCAAATTGTTGATCTTTTCTCCTGCTTATCATTGTTGGCTTTATTCTCACTGCAGCACTATGCAAAAAAACCTTTAATCAATGTGTTTCTTTCTATTTTTTCTAGTATTTGGTGATGAAAGATTATTACGACAATGCGAGGTATTTTGTGATGCTTTCTCTGTCTTACATTTGTAGATTTCCGATTGTTTTCTTGAAATTTGGTTAATTTAAAGGATTCGTCCACCGTAAGACTACAGTGTCTTGCTGTAAGATCTGTACAAGTATTGAGTTGGTGAATTGAAAACTGCCGGCTATTTCGCGGGACTCGCAGATAAAAAAACAACAGCATTGAACCAGCTGAAAGGGGGTTTGTTTACTTCAACATTTCCTCAAATTATTGCGAAAAAACTATGCTTCCAGCTTTTTATTTTTTGGTATTTTTCTTCACTTCTTCTATTGCACTCGACGATCTGCCACCGGGACATATTCGTCATGTCATGATTCATGAGTTCCTACAAGAGCACAGTGCAGGCTTGGCAGCTGCTAATATTAAAAAGGATATATGGGGAGGACTCACCTTTCGAAAGAACGTGTCGAGTATGGTTTGCCAAGTTTCAATCTGGGGACAAATCTTTGAAAGATGCAGAGGGCCGTGGAGCGGCATCCCAACTGAATGATTCCAAATTACTCGAACTCGATTTGCCCCAGAAGAAGTTTATGCTCTGCGTTTTCTGGGATATGAAGGGGGTGGTGTACTGGGAGTTGCTGGATAGCAAGACGACCGTTAATGCAATCAAATACAGTGAACAGTTGGGAAAGGTGAATGAATCCCCGAAGAAGAATAGGCCCTCCAAGTCAAAGATCGTTCTCATCCACGACAACGCGCGCCCTCATGTTGCAAAACTGGCTCGCTCTAAAATAAATAGCCTTGTTTGGGAGCTTTTGGCGCATAGCCCATACAGTCCGGACCTCGCCCCTTTTGATTACTATTTATTCCGGATCATTAGTAATGAGCTTGCGGGAGAACACTTCGATTCGGAAGAAGCAGCCAAAATTTGCTTTGAAAGTTTTTCGATTCATAACCAAAACCCTACCACGAAAGAGGAATCCGCAAATTGCCTTTAAAATGGGCAGAAGTCGTCAATAATAATGGAAATTATTAGGAATGAAATTATGGTTTTGTGTTGAATAAGTTTTAGTTCAAAGCCCCGCAGTTTTCAATTCACCAACCCAATACTTGAAGTGGATGAATTTTCGGAGTCAAAAAGTTTGAACCTTTTGTCTTGTCCCAGGCCCTTTCGTCTTGTACCAGTTTGAACCTTTCGTCTAGTCCCAGCCCGAAATTTTAGCATTTCTGTATCGGATACAAAAAGTACTGTGGAAATTGTTCTTTTTTTGCAGGGTCACCCTCTTGCAATTTGCATACTACTGTTTTTTAAAATTTTATTGAAAAAGTAGAGATTTCTTTTCCCAACCTCTTTTTCTCCTCTTTTTGTTATTTCTTTTATCCAACTACAGGTGCTTTTTAGCAAATAAACCTTTTTCCTAAATAAATTTATTTAAAAAACACATTTATGATTATTGCAAGTTCGAAAAAAGAAAACAATGAAGAAAAGAAACCCGTGACATTAGCAGTAATCAAGAAAAATAAATGAGATCCATGGGAATTTGAGAATCCAGGAAATGGGGAGAGCAAATTGGAAAAGCTGGCCCTACTTAGTTAGAATAATTACGTTAGAATAATTACGGTAAAAGATTTTTAAGTAAACTATTCAGGCGAGCTCAATTTGAACACTCTCGTCGTTTTCTTCGTTTTTCACTGTCAGCACGATCACCGGTGGATGGGCATAACCGTTGAGTTGCTCGAATTGTCTGAAAGATTAAGATTTGAATGAATTGTGAGCCAAATCTTTAGATGATCGAGTTTAATAAACTCTGTTGTCTCAAAATTTCAAAAAGTGTATAGGAAAATCGATTTAAACGCACTTAACGATAGTTTTTTTTAGCTTTCTATGTTACACTAGATCCTTCTAGATACGTTGCAATCAATCTGAATATTATTGTATATTGCTATATTGCTATATTGCATATTAAAGCAACTACTCACCGCAGAACCCGCATCGTGCGCACGATAAGCACCGAAAGAAGACCCCACGCCATTGGTAGCATGAATTCACACAAGATAAATGCCTAAAAATTATTTAATTGCTTGTTATTCAATTGAAAATAGAAATCTGAAAGTTCCAATAACAGAAATCCTTATAACGTACAATGTCTTCTGTTCTCGCTGGATGCGATTTTAGCTTTTCTTTCAGAATACCCCGAAAGTGACGCACTGGCCAGACGATTGACCTGAAAGTGATTAGGATTAGAAAGATTTTTTTTTGATTTCCATTCACCTATAAACGACGAAAATGAGTTGAACGACGATGCATGGAACGGTCAACACCGACTTCCGAGTCCACATCGCCGCTCCCAATCCGAGTACGCAAACAAAAATATCTCCGAACATTCGAGCTATCTAAAAAGTGAGATTAAGATTTATATGATGAGAATATGACTAGAAGTTTTGTAGAAGACTAGAAAGAAATATGACTAGAAGTTTTGTAGAACACTTAGTCATTTACAAATTCTTGCAGAAAGTCTAGTCATTTGCAAGTTTTGTTCAAAACATAGTCAATTTTCTTGCAAATTTTTGTGGCCTTATTTTGTACAATTTATAAAGGAGAATTTATCTTTGCTCTTACATTTACTACTTCGAGCAAATGTAATCTTTAGCTTTGTCATAGCCGTTTTGTAAAAACAAGCTTACAACAGAAATCATGACTGACTTTTGATCTTTGCCATGAAATGAACATAACAAAGTTTTGTAGAAAATTTAGTTAAAGTTATGTAAAGCTTTTGCAAAAACGATGGGTTTTAAAGCACTTTGAATCATCAATCACTTACCAAGTAATACATCTCGGCTTGATCGATTCGAATATAAAATTTCCAAGTGTTCTCATCACTCGCGTTGTCATCACTGAGATTTAACAGCTTTTTTAAAAACATAATCTCAAGCTACCGTAATAAATATCCCCAATGGGTGATGTCGATGATGCAAAGAATGCCGAAAATGAGCTTGAGCAAGTAGAATTGGCGTTCCGGGTTGAATTTAAAGCGACCCGACGACTCGTCGGTCATCTAAAATGATCTCAATTGACTGTTGTTCTTAATTTACTGGATTTTTATTGTTCAAGGATTGCAGATAAAGGCAGGCTAAAGGCTGAATATCAATCTCCCCCTGGGGATGTGCTCATTTAAAAAAAAAATGATATCTGTTTGAGCTAAATTAACCCAAAAGTTCAGCTTTTCAACACTCTTCAGTCATTTCATTTCCTACGGTAAAAACCACTGGTGCAAACACAAGTCGAATACGGTGATCACGATGGTTTTGATTTTGCCAAGAAGCTCTAGTTTTCGAGGAAAACGCTTTGCCAACTTGGGAATCTACTCGGGAAACGAGCGCTAGAGGTTAAGTGGCCTCTCTCGCTCTCCCTTGCCACCTCGATGGTCTAGTGGATAGCGGAGGCCACCAACAAGCCTATACTTTTGCCGCGGGTTCGAATCCCCTCTGTGTTCGAATTCTCTGACGGGGGAGAGCAGGGGAGGCCACTTAAATTGCGCGCCCCGTTTCCCAAGTCGATTCCCAAGCTCGAACACGGAGGGAATTCGAACCCGCGGCAAAAAGTCATCGCGCAAATTTTACATTCAAAATTTCAAATGCTAATTTAAATTCGAAAAGCTTTTTTCAAATGTATTATTCAAAAAAAGCGCCGTTATTTGTAGCAATATGTATTCGAAAAAATTTTTTGCACAAATCAATTTGTTTAATCGTCGCTTTAACAGACCATTAACAGATTAATCGAATAACAAAAACAATGGGCAAATTTATTCAATTGATTGTTTAACCGCGAGGAACACACTGGTAATACCTGTTGCGAGTGGTTGTTGTGCTCATTGTGGAACTGTCGTTGCACTTGCAGGGCCGAACCCCTCCCGTTGGACATCGAATCACAATGGGCGGGTCAAATAGTATTGTTTATCCACTTTTCGCTTTCAAATCTAAAGTTTTATCGAATAAAATACAATTGGTGAAAGTTGAAATAAAAGAAAACTTTAATTATGCGAGATTTTGGCATGTATTGTACTTCAAATACCGTATTTCTTCGAATAGAAGACCGGGTAAAGAGTATGATCGCGTACTCCTGCGTAGCAGCCCTTTTTAAAATTTCTTTTCTGCCCAAAGCTTTCAATGAAGTGCTATAGGGCTGGAAAATGACTCAAAAATCTGTTAGCTCATGTGGTATTTTTGAGCCATTTTCCAGCCCTATAGCACTTCATTGAAAGCTTTTATGCAGAAAAGAAATTTTAAAAAGGGCTGCTACGCAGGAGTACGCGATCATACCTTTACCCGGTCTTCTATTCGAAGAAATACGGTATGCACAAAAATGATATCAAACAAAAAGCTTCTTTTTTTGACTTCAAACTTTTAAACCATGGAAAGTTTAAAGTGAAAAACAGAATCTGATAGATATTAAGTAATTTAAATTATATTTATTAGTGAGTAACTTGTAAAAACAAAGCTCAAGCCACTCAAGCTCTAGCCAAGCCTAGCTCAAGCTCTAGCTCAAGCTCTAGCTCAAGCTCTAGCTCAAGCTCTAGCTCAAGTTAAGAGAGTAGCACAAGTAAATTTATAACATGCTTTTGGGCAATCGAAATCCATAAGTAAATCATCTAGTGTCAGAACGATTTCACTAGAATTTTTGAATTCAAAAAGATCAATGGACTCTGTTGATAAAGACCGTTGAATGAATCGATTAATGAGGTAAGTTGCGCGGAGAAAGTTTGGCCACAAGAGGGGAAGGGGAGATAATTCGACGAGACCGGGGGATTGGTGTGTATGGGCACACCGGCCCAAGAGTATCGATGGGATCTTTCAGCCGGACACAACCGGTGAAGGGGGGCTTCAACGAATAGAAAAGAGTGGCCGGGGTGGATGCGAGAAGGGGCTCCACTCCATCCCCCGTGCGGATTAGATTAATCAGAAAAGAGAAGTCGACTCCGAGTCTCTCAACACACAAATGGGTAAAAAAAAAAGATCCCTTTCTCCTTTCTTTTGTGTTGATGGAGTGAGAGTCAAAGGAGACATCGACTATCCAGCAAAACTTGAGCGACCACTTCAATTTCTGGTGGAAAGAACAAAAGATCAAAGCGAATTTTTTTTGGGAAACCAGGCTTAAGCTCTTTGGCTTTACAGCTCTGAATTTTAGATCTGTAGAGAGTAGGTACTTCAGTTAATAAGAAATTCATCCAAACACTGGAACTGAGTACACGAAATAAGTTTTATCAGCGATTTTCTGTTTGTAAACAAATTTAGGAATGGAAAATTCTTTAAGAATAGAGCTATAACTAACGATTGTAGATAGAATATAGATAATTTATAGAATTTCTGACTCGCTTCTAACTGGGGAACCAGGCTTAAGCTCTTTGGCTTTACAGCTCTGAAATTCAAATCTGTAGAGAGTAGGTACTTCATTTAATAAACAAATTTTCTGAAGTGACGAAGTGACAAAGTTCTGAAATGACTGACGATAGGATAATGGCAACAAATTTTTCCCAACTGATCGATCAATGGGAAATCGTTTCAATGTTGAATTTCAATATTGAACCTTCAATTCCATTTCTAGAGATAAGCTAGAGATGAAATTGAAAAACAAGTTCAAAAGGTTAAGAAAACTTTGCTTTTCTGGAGAAACGAGTTGAGAGTTTACTCATTAATCTTTAAAATTTGTACCCAAGATGGGTTGAGAGATAGATAATTCATCTAGATTTCTCTTTGCTGAAAAAAGCTTTGAGCTAAAAAAAGTAAACATAACTTTAATGAAAGCTTTGAAGAAAGCGAATGATGTGAGTTTTGAATCATCAATTTGTACCAATTCCCATCAAAAACTTCAATCTGTAGTGCAAGATCGCTCCAAGAAAAACAAATAATCGGGATAAGCCAACGAATAGGAAGTGATTTTTAAAGGCAAAATTTTTCCTTGGCAATCATTTTATGCCCCTAAACAACTCAATTTTTCACTAATTGCAACTCCGAAACATTAAATTATCGGATTCGATGTAAACAACAGAAATTAAACAATAAGAACAAAATAACAAGAGTTGTTAATCGACTAGAGCTGCTGCTCAAAAGTTTTCTTAGCTAGTTTTCTTAGCTTTCTTAGCTATGTCTTTCAAAGCTTGTAACATTCAAACAAAAAGAAGCAAAAAGAAGCCATCCCTATCTCGTTTGGAGGAATCGAAGTGAATGAGCCAGTGCCTTTCTCCCCCAAATTGAATGCTCGCTCCAGGCTTAAACGAGCCGAAACAAAGCACTTCACCAAACTCTTCTCCTTCTTTTTTTTTTTGAGTCTCTTTTATTGCCCAATTCCTTTTTTTGTTAACACATTTGCCAAACCAGTAAAAAAAGTTGAGTAATTAAACCGAAATGAACAAAAAGAAAGAAGCAGGATTTCTTTCTGTTCCCATATACCCAAAAGCCATATGCTAAAAGCCGCGCGATTATGTAAACATGAAAATTCTCATTGTTGGCTGAACACAGCACTCATCTTTCGAGTATTTAGGATATTGTAGCCAAAAAAACTAATACCGGATTCAAATTCCCCACCCCCTGAAAACACTTGTATGCAAATTTTCAGCTGCTGATAGCTTAATCTGCTGATAATGTCACTGGTGTCTTATTTTCAAAAGTTTTCAAAATACCTACTTCCTAAAACTGTAATCTGATTTCAAATAAACAAAAAAACTCCCCAAAAAGTCTCATTACAAAATCGATCTTTGAGCATAAAGTAAAACTTTTTCTCCTTCAAATCGTTGCCAATTTTGATGATCTCATCAAGCGTAAATAATAGAGTAGTGGGTGAAAAAAAGGGAAAAGCTAAAAGGATACTGGTTTCTGCAAAATGACTAACCCTTTTGACTGGGGTTAAAGAATTTGCAGAACTTAAAAAAAGGCTGAGAGTTAAAAAAAAGGCTGAGAGCCTAAGCCTCTGCCTTGACTGTCTAGATCTTTAAACAAATCGATTGAAAGTCTTTCAAGGAAAAAAAAGTTGGAATAACTTTACACTAGATTTGCGCCGAACTATGTCCGACTTTCAGCTCCAAGAAGTAGTCCTTTTAGATCTCAGAACTTGGAACTCTATGGAGAATTAGGTCTACTGATCCTGGCACTTTTTGGGATCAGGTCGGAACTTAGGCTTTGCCTTCCTTCACAACTTTATTCAACATGTGACAAAGGAAAAGACTACATCCGTCCAATGGAATACGGTGGAATTGAGAAATAAGAATTATAATGATTAGTAAGTGTACATAGAAGGTTTTTACTAATCTTTAAGGCTTTTATAACTCATCAAAAGTAAAGCCTCAATTTTGCCGATTTCTGAAAGTAAGTACAACAGAAGACAAGTCAAGTGGTCTAGGATTTCAATCTAAAAGAAAGATTTGGTAGTGGGATTGAGTGGGAAAGGGGAAAAGAGTTGAGTTGATATGACAACGAGAAGTCCGAGAAGGGAAATCGGGAAAAGGGAAAGGGGATGGGGAATAGAATTAACCTGGAGGGGAAAGGCAATCCAAGGGGACACTGCCAACACTTTCACTCCATCTTGTAGAGCTTTCGAAGGTCCTTGAACGAGGGAAAGTTGTTGATACCAGGCTCTAGAAGATCTTTGGTTTTTTCTTTTGAGGACAAAGTTAAAAGCCAAAAGCCAGAGCCTCGCCTTGTCTTGTTGGCTTGCAAAATTGCCTTTACAACAAGCCTAACTTTTCCAAATCTTTTTTTGTTTATAATAGATCAAGAGGATTGAGTTCTTTCTTTTTTTCTTTCTTTCTTTCTTTCTTTCTTTCTTTCTTCCTCCAGGATCTCCAGGAAATCAATTGACCCTCAGAAAAAAGATTAATAATAAGTATTCTTCCTCGAAAAGCATTCAATTTGGCAATTGTTAAACATGATGAAATCCAAAAACCACAACGTAAAGAAAAAAAAAAACGTAAAAAACCAAAAACCACAACGTAAAGTTTCAAATGCTTGTCAAATGCTTAAGATTTATATGCGTTACAGTAACCCACTTTATTCAAATGTTTATTACAGTAACCCGTGTGCAAAAAGAGAGACCAAAATGAAATTCAAAAATTGATTAGTAAATACAAAAATAAGCTTCAAAATCCATCGAAAAAACACGTTTTTTCACGAGGATCGCAGTTTGGAGTAATCATGTGTTGAGGAGACTAAAATTCGTCTTTTAATTCGTCTTTTAAACTAGGATTTCTTAAGATATTACTGTAAATGAGTTAGATTTTTGTTTTTTTTTTCACTTACTCTTCTTCTCGTGATTCCGTGAACGGCCGCTAGAGCTCTCACCGGTTGCATCTCGAAACCGGCAGCTGCGATCATCTGCGCGCTTGGCTAAACGAATCGGCCGAGTACAAGAATTTGAATTTTTAAGTTGCAAACTAAAGCTATACTTTAAAACTTTACAAATCAGAGATTTTATTTTGCTTGATCAATTTCTTTCAACTCACATAGGGCAAACTGATCTCAAACTCGGCGACTCCCGGTGAAGGAGACCAGATTTTCGGCGATCTCAAAGCCTCCACAAAACTCGTCTAAAAAGGTTTGATTAAAATGAAATTTGACAGCAAATTACAGATTTTTATTTGAACAAAAATTTACGTTTAGAAAAATGGTTTCTGCAACGACTTGAGCAATTGAGGCAATCGATTGAATCGAGGGAGTTGGAGAAAAGAAGAGCTTCAACTCCTGAATGAGTTTAATTGTACACATTTTGTTAAGTCAAATCCAAGACATGCTTATCTCTTTTTTTCTCCAAAATAACCTGATACTTGTGGGGTTGAGGGGCAACATTTTTCTCTTCAAAATTGCTTTTTCTAGGGCAGTTTTTTGCGTGGATCACGAAGTTCATAGTGAAAGTTTGGGGAAATGCGTTTTAGAACGACTTTCGACGACGAACGACGTCGAAAAACGACGTTTTAGAACGACCCGAAGTCGCCGCCTCTACAGTGTACTTCAGTGTTCATTTTCGTAAAAGAAGGGCTCAAAAGGAGCTTTTAATGAGCTATTTCCTGTTCAAAAAAAGACTTTTTCTGAGATCATTTAGAGTCCTACGTGCAATTCTAATCAAATTCGAGTAGAAAATTTGAAAAAAAATTCCAAAATTTCTAAAATTTTCATTTATTAGGTTGATGCAAAAGTCTTTTTCATTTTTTTCGTACTTCTTTTGAAAAATAACAAAGTCATCAATTAACCTATGGTTTGCTCTAAATGAAAAGTGTTTATTGTTCAATTTCCCATCTTTTCAAGTCAATTTGGGTTCACTTTCAAGCAAATTCGAGAGTGAAAACGGGTTTTTCATAAAAATCTATAAAAACCTCTATAAAGAAATTGGCTGAATCAATTTCTCTGAAAATCTGAAAAAATATCGAACTTTTTGTGCTCTATCTTTTATTTATTAACATCAAGATTGGTTTCCTTAGCTAAAGCGTCTAAAATGCATCATCGAGCCGTCGCCTTTTTTGACTACCCGACTTCAGGCTCTCAAAAAAATCTAGACATAAGACATTTTAAACTCGTTTTAATGTCATTTTGCAGAAAAATAATTGGCCTTTCGAATGCAATAAACCGTTGTTCAATTGGTGCATTTGTTACTTTTTAACGGAAGTACGAAAAAAATGAAAAAGACTTTTGCATCAACCTAATATATCCCCTACATGGGTGGAAACCATGAAAAATCCGAAATTTTCATTGATTTTTAAGGTCTAATTTTGTTATTTTTATGTTCTAGACACTCAATTAACCCAAAAAAAGTGTTTTTACATGTTGAAAAAACTCCTCCGAGGCCTTACTAGAGAACTATTTCAACTAACCACCGATTTTCAAAACCGGACCTACCTACAAACCCTCGCCCGTAGAATTCAAAGAGACACATCTTTTTTTTATTTTTTACTGCTGGACCCTGGTGTTCGAGATATAAGCGTGCAAAGTTTTGGCTAATTTCGCCAAACTGCCAACTCGCCTATAAGAGGGCGCCAAGCGGAAAGGAACAAAGAGTAGCCACGGCCTAAGCGATAGTGCGCTTGACTACAAAGCCTCTGCCTTTTTTGCCTGCCGTTTCAATTCGTCTCGTCGATCAAAGGTTTTGCTTTTCTTTCTGAAACATAAAAAACTGTTCCCTAGTTAGACTCTCCTTATACAATTTAGGGGATGGCGTATGGTTTTGCACCGCACTGTACAAGTGAAGTATACTGTAGAGGCGGCGAAAGTCGGTTTAAAACGCATTCTCTCAAGCTTTCACTATGAAATTCGTAATCTACGCAAAAAAAAACTGCCCTAGGAAAAGGACTTTTTGAAGAAAAAAAGAAAAAAAGTCTTTGGTCACTCACCTCATTCTTTTGCTTGACGATGATCGGTGCTGAGAGTGAGCGCGCTCTCTTTCGTGGCTCAATCGAATTTGGAGCATCGGGTGAAGTCGAGAATTCAGCGAGACCATTGTTCCACAAAATCCCCAACGAGTCGGAGCGACGAAAAGCGCCGAATCTGGGAAAAATTTCAGAGTGAACGTGGGGAAAAAAAAAACTAACTTTGACCCTAGCGACATCGAGAGTGCCACCGCGTTCCCGTCCTGATCCACGACTCCAACAAAATTGTGTTCAGAATTTGTTTGCTTAAAAAGTTGATCACTTTTTGATTTAAAAATTTAAAGAAAGAAGCTAGATAGAATTGAAAAATTTCATACCGCTTCGATTTTTTGCTCAAACGAATGCCTTAGGCTTGGATGTTTCGAGAAATGATTGCTGAATTCATCGCTTTTTGAAGAAAATCGAGGATCGGCTAAAATAGAGTTTTTCATTAATCTAGATTCCAAAAATATTCTTAAAAGACTCATAAGCAGAATTTGAATCAGCGGATTTCATTCCAAGCGTTGAGTGCACGAGGCACGAGTAATCACTGTCGTCAAAGGCGAAAGAGAGCTCCCTTTTATTGACCCCCCTCCCGGCTGTGTGCCAGAGAGCGCGCGATTGTGCACGCCAACAAAGAACGCGCAAGGCAAACTGGTTTTTCTTTTGAAAACCCTTTTGATTACAAATCTTTTCAAAAATTTCTATTTTTTTTTGCTTCCCAAGATATTTCCCTGATAAATCGCAATTCTCAAGTGATCAGTGAGAAGTTTCTTTTACAACTTTCTTCTCCACTCACCAATTTCCTCGATTAACGTCAAAATTTGGTTCTCCGACAGCAAAAGCTCTGCAAAAAGCCGTTCACGAGATAGAGTTTCGTTTTTTTGGAGTTTCTCTGGAGTTCATGATGCATTACATTATTGAATAATGGCATAAAACCGACCTTCAATCTTGCTAATGAGCAACTGAATAAGAGAACTTAAAGCAGGTGGGGGAAGAGCAAAGATTTGGGTGTCTTTTGAGACAACTCTTGGCATCACCGTTGAGAAAATCGACTCATAGTTGACGAGATCGCTCTTTTGAAGATATCCGCCTGAAATGGTGATTACTGTTTGAATATCATGTCAGATCGGATGTAATTCTACATAGTCAGGCTACTTAGCACTTGAATACTGTATCGAATCAAGCGCTTTACAGCTTTAACAGTTAATTTCATTGTTGGAATTGTTGGAGTTTTCGATTTTCTACTAACAAACCATTTGTTTTAACCTCTCGAACAATTTGATTGGCAATGTCGCCACGATAGAAGAGCTGTGATGGATCTCTTGAGGTGGCTATCTAAAGACTTGATAAGGCTATGGATTAGACTCAAAATATTAGATTGTTCGTTAAGTTTTTGAACACTTCATTTATTTAGAAATAATCAATTCACCTATTGACCTACGATTTGCTTCTTTAGAAAGCCCTGATATTTTTCTAGCGATCGTTGAAATATTAAGAAATGTTTTATTTCTGATTTTTTTTTGTTCAAACGTGCGAATTCGGCTTTGATTTAGACACTTTGGTCCAAAGAAATCGATTTCCTTGTCAAGGGGAAAAAGAACTGACGGACCGAAATCCTTGGGATGAATCCAAAAATTCACTCCCTTCAGCACCCTTTTACAGGCACTTGGGATCCCATTTCGACCGGCGGAGAACCCGCCATTGCGGCCAGAATCCAGTTCCAGAAGCCGGAACTGGGTTTGCCAATTCTACAGCCGAAGTTAGTTTTGGGAAGCGGTGACCACATGGGGCAGACAACGGATTGGTTACCGGATGACCCAAAATGGACGCTTCCGATTGGACGAGTCAAAAAAAAAAAAGACGATATCTGCTAATGTAGCGCAAAAAGTTTGGTTTATAACCAAATTTTCAGAGGTATCTGTTTAGCCAATTCTTTTATATCACCTTTTATCGAAGTTTACTCAAAACGAGCTTTTTGCGCTCGGATTTTCTTGGAAACGGGCCCAGATTGGCTTAAAAAGATAGAAAAGTCTACAATAAACATCTTTTATTTGAGGCAAACTGTAGGCTAATTGATAAACTTTTCATTTATAAACAGATTTATAAAAAAGTGTCGGACTTATCGGCTAACCTAATAGATTTAAGTCCAAACTCACCCTTCGCAACGTGTCCGCCAGCTGAAAATCGGTGACATTTGTTTTGTTTTGGCTGATGAGCGGTAGAAAATGTTTTCTATAAGGAATTTGTTTGACTTTTTAGTTGTTAAGGTAAAATCTATTTACTACCTCAAATTTTCATCTGCTTCAATCTCAGATCTCTTCGAGTGCAGCGCTTCAACAAAATTATCTGAAGCATAATGCATTTTTATGAGTGTTCTAAACTCACCAGATGGTTGGAAGCCCATTTGGAGCAATTCAATCGTGGGCAAAATCAGCTGAATTTACTTTTATAGGATTTGAAAGTTTTTGAACTACCTCTGTCCAAGTGGCCCTTCCCGATGGAAAACGGCGAAACGTTTGCCATAATGCGTGTAGGGTTCCCGGAATGGCTAGTGATGGATAGCCTAAAGAAGGGTGAGTAATAAAAGTAGGTAAATCTGCTAATGTTTATCATTGTAAACTCTCCTAATGATTATCATTGTAAACTCTCCCAATGATCATCATTGTAAACTCTCCCACCGCATATGAAAATATTTCAACTCGAAACTCAATCCTTTGATGCAGTGAATTCATTAAGCCTTGAATAAAAAAGTTGCAGACAATTTGAGAAAACAATTTCCATAATCAATTGCAAATCGAAGTGCTCACCAATAAATCTCCGCATCGGATCTCCATTAAAAGTCGAATCAGTGACCGATTGGGGCGAGCAAGAAAGGCCGTTAATTGAGACAACCGAATTTGTTCGCCTAAACAATTTCTTTGTTATTTTTCGGAAATAATTTCAAGATACGGGTCAAATTTTGATGCTTTGATGAATGCGGAACCTATTATTCTGTGTAAATTTTGCTGATCCACTTATTCATTTGCTGAATAAAGTATACATTTACCTATCAGCAATGAGCGCTACCATCCCTCCACCCAATCCTCCTTGGTGTGGCTCCAAAGCACTCAAGCAAAACGAAATCCCAATCGATGCTTCCATCGAATTTACACCTCTCATCAAGAGTTTTCTGAGAGTTTACTTAATAAACATGAAAAGAAAGTATCCTAAAGTCTCGAGTATAAGTTCATCCAAGTATAAGTTCTACCTTAATTTACATTCGCTTTAATTGCTTTGAATTTCTTTTTGTTGGGTTTTTATTGTTATATAAACTTTTATTATTGTTCTTGGAGCGCGGGATACTACAGGGTGACAGCCTATCGCCATTGCTATTTGTTATGTGCATGGATACATCCAGACGATAGTGTTGAAGAAGACGCTGGAAAGCATCTCTTTCGACCGTCGACGTGAACTTTGGCCGGATGAAGAGGCCAGGGAGGGATCCATAAGACTGAGCACCGGAGAGGAGCAGGGCGGACGCGCCGAGCCACGCCCGGAGCAACAAATAACAGCATAAAATTGCTATAACCCTCAATAAATTTACTTCTATTATTGTTCTTAAAAAGCAAAAAAGTTATGCTGCAGCGGGGTTCGAACCCTCGACACGCCGCACCGGAGACAGCCGTCAATTTGCATGCGAAAACCAAACAGAACTTATACTCGCGACTTTAGGGTACTTGTTAATTATAGAAGAGTGTGAAAAATTTACTTTCCAATCTCAGAACAATGCTTGTTCGGAGTCAAGACGGTAAATCGTTGAAATTGTGGAACAATGGTGACTGAAGGAGGTGAGAGAGTTGTAGATGGTGCTAGAGAATCTATTAATGTAAAAATGTACACTTTCAAAGCTTACCAGGTGGTGGAGCTAAGGTAGTAATCACTCTTCTTGTTGGAGTGACCCAAGTCTCAAAAGTTGTCTCAATAGTAGGCTTTGGAGTGATGCGATTGCCGTTTAGGTCGAAAATTTCTGTAATAATGTAGTATATTAGATATTAGACTATGCAAATAGTGTCTTAAAATTCAAACCTTCATCAGAATCATCAAAATCCAGAATTTGAGAAGATTTCTCTTCAACTTCGCTTTCCCCATTCGACTTTTGCATTGTTTCCAAAGTCAACCAATTTTTCAGCTCTTTCTTTTCCTCCCGTTGCTCAATAGGACTTTTTGCAATTGGCAAATCCTAAAATTTTACTTTTCTCAAACTTTTTATAAGTCACTTTCCTGGAAAAAGTTTAGAAAATAATCCAAATCCTCTTCAACATCATTTCCCGTTTTATTGAGATGAGTGTAGTAAAGAAAAAGACCAAATGTGGCGAGGAGAAAGAGGAGAATCGCTGTGATCAACCATGGAACACCGCTAAAATTTTTTACTATTTTATTAGAACGATATTTTGTTTAGCTAGCAGCTCCATATCTGTTTTTATCAACACTCACTTCTTTCGTAATTCCTTTAACTCGACATTGTCTAGCCGGCGGTTCACCGTGTATTTTTTCTTCACCATTTCATTTTCCTAGAAAGATTTTTAAGAATTTTAACTGAAAAAAAAGAGATCAATAGCTTAAAGAATTGTGGTATTGAAAAGAAAACTTGGGGTGTTAGGAATGAGTTTTGAAATGACCATAGAAAAAAACGAGTGCAATGAGTCGACTCAAATAACCCATCGTAATATTTGGGGGTTTTTTACGAGAGTCAGTGTTCGTTACTGAAAAAGAAAACGATCGGGAAATGAATGTGAGAAAAGCTAAACAAAGAATGGTTGAACGGGGAAATGGTTTAGGGTTATGGATAGGGAAATGGACGAAGCGTTTGAAGGGAATAATTTAGTTTAAACACGTCTTGAAGAGTTTCCTGAAAATAAACGTTTAATCAGTTTCTCGAATTTGAAATTGTTCCTAAACTTCTAGTAAATTGTGGTACTTTTAAAGATCTGGCACCAGATTGAGGGTAGATCTAGCATCATTTGAGTACTTGTTGATTACCATTGTTCAAACTTGGACTCTATTACCATTGTTCAAACTGCCAAGTTAATCAAGATGAGAGTACAGACAAGTTTGGCACATACTGGTGTCTAAGTTTTCTACAAGACTCAGCTAGAATTTATCAGCTTTCTACTAGTTTCCATAAGTAAACAACTCTTCTACTACAGACTGGCTCACTTCAGAGAGCCAAGATTCGCCAAAGTTCGGCCAATCGTTCTGATTTTTCTGGTGGTAAATCTTAAGTATTTCTCCTGCAACGGTACCCATTATTTAATCGATTCAACCTTTAAACTTTTTTATATAACCTTTCAAAATTGTAAGCCAACTTTCGCTCGGCACGCTACTCATTTATGGGATTTTTTTTGAGAACGATCTTGTCAAAATCTCTTTGAGATTGAATTTATTATGTTAATAAAAAAATTCCACATGCTCTACGCAATTTTAGTGCAAAAATTCTTGAGAAATCCCATCAAAACTCACTTAATATCATCTGTTTTCACTGGGCATTCAGAGAAGCCACTAAAAAACAAGAAAATCTTATTTTTTTTTTAAGTTTATAGCTTTTAAATTTTATAAGAAAATATTGATTTATTGAAAATCATTAAAATTTAAAAGACTTTTTATTAAAAGAACTTTTAAAATTCATAAATGAGTAAGGCAAGCGAAAGTTGGCTCTCAACTTTGGAAGGTTATATAGAAAAGTTGAAAGATTGAATCAATTAGATAATAGAGACAGAAGACATACTGAAAATTTGAAAAAAATTCAGAAATCAGAACGATTAGCTGAATTTTGGCGAATCTTGGCTTTCTAAAGTGCGCTATAATTGTGGACAAAAAAGGGTGAAGTCTAGCAAAATAGTAAATTGAGGGAATACGGTTTTTTCTTGAAAACATAGGTCATAGTAGTCCACCAAAAAATGTGCTTTCTGTGGGAGAAAAGAGCGGTTTGTTGTGGTTTCCCGCAGCAGCCGTGTTTTGTGTGTGTGTGTGTAGATCCGATCCAATCAGCGGAAAATTTCTGGACGAGAAGAGTGTCAGGTGTGTGAGTGAAACTCGGAAAGGAAAAGGCAATGGGACACCTGACAGAAAGCAACCTTCTCTAGGCCCCAAAATCACCCATGAATCCCCAAAAGATCCAGATTTATTGCTTGACAATCGCTTTCTTGCATTGAATGAATGTAATCGGATAAAACAAGAAAAAGGGTTAGGAATGGATTGAAATCAAGCATCCGTTTTGTGTTTTTGGTTTAGAAAAAGTGAAAAAACTCTGTCAGAAAGTGAAAAAGATTTGGAAAAGATTTAAAAAAGGTAAGAATACCTTCTACAATAAAAAAGGTAACAATACCTTCTACAATAAAAAAGGTAGCAATACCTTCTACATTGTTCCTATCATTTTCTACATATATTCCCATCATTTTCTTTGAAAACTTTTGCCTCAAGTCTCAAAAAAACTTCTGAATTCAGAGTTCATTTTTCAATAAGCTCTTTGCTTACAGTATTTGCTATTTTTTTATTGAATCTCTTTTTCCATTTGGATTGGAATTTTGCGATAGCGCGATTTAGACGTATTTTCCGCCGGAAGAGCACTTTGTTCTTTGAAAAACAATAATTTTCGAGACAAATTGGAACCTGAGTGTTCAAAAGTTCAGCAATTTCCGATTGGATTTTGCTTTCCACCAAATAAGAGATGTGTTGCTTAGGCTTAGGCTTAGGCTTAGGCTCAGGCTTAGGCTCAGGCTTAGGCTTAGGCTAGGCCAGGCTAGGCTAGGCAGGCTAGGCAGGCAGGCTCAGGCAGGCTGGACTAGTGCGTAGGCTAGCGGCTTGCGCCAGCATAAGTCATTTGGGTTGGGCTGAACCCCACTTTTTAGGCTTAGGCTTAGGCTTAGGCTTGGACTTAGTGCGAGACTAGGCAACGCACTAAGTCTATTTGGGTTTGGGCTGAACCCCCATTTTTTTAGGCTTAGGCTTAGGCTTAGGCTTGGACTTAGTGCGAAGACTAGCGGCTAACGCCGCGCACTAAGTCTATTTGGGTTTGGGCTGAACCCCCATTTTTTAGGCTTAGGCTTAGGCAACACAGAACAAGTTTATACTGAAAAAAAGTTCTCAAATTATAGAAATATAAATAAGAAATTGAAAAAGTAACAGTTTTTAACTTGAAAATTTCATAACTTGCAGTCTGATGATGATTTTTTCGCCAATATTTGACTTTTAACTCGGCCACCGATTCTGTGAATCGCTTTATTGGCGTTGAGGATTTGCTGGGCTTTTTCAAACTTTAGAGAATCGTGAAACTCAAGGCTTTACGTAAATTTAGATTGAAAGCGTGAAACTGACGGTTTTACTTAAATTTAGATTGGAAAAGACTTAAAATCAAAAATGAAATTACTTTAATTGCTGAAATTACTCTTCGCAAAACTCAATTGTGCAGTAGATTTCATCAATTTTTTGTTGTTTTCCTGGAAATTTAAAGCTTTATCAACCCCAAAGGCCTTCGATCCTAAGCCCTATGTTCTGACTTGTCCACTCGAAAACCGATGTTCCGATAAGATGCATCAGCTACCGCTTCTCGCTTGCACACTTCAATTTCGGTAATATGTGCTCTGGTGTGACTCTATTTTATTATACCAGGCCTCTAGGCCCATTTTTTGCGAAATAGCCACTTCAACCCGTTATCTTTTTCTCTTCATTGACGGAGTTATCTCTGGAGTTTTCACTCTCCGGAAAGGATTCCTTTTCAGGTCCACCCACTCCCACTTCATATAAAGCTAAAGACAGCTGGGTGTTTATTTTCTTGAATCTTTGAAACACTTTGTATTAGCTATTTATCATGGAACAAGTTCATAAATCGGTTATCCCGACAATTTCTGCCTCAATCTCCGAAAAGCATGAGCCGAGCCCGGCCACCTCGATGGAGTCGATTCTATGGGATGAGAAGAAACAGGTGAGCACAAAACATAGAAAAAAAATAATCGTTGAAAAGCTTAATATTGAAGATTCCTTGGATGAGTTAGCAAAGTTAAACTCCGAATGTTGAAGTTAAACAGTACTTTTTCGTTCTACCATTTTGTGAACTTATGCTAGCCAACTTCTTACTCAAATATATCCTAAAATTAAATCTAAAAATTTTCTTCTCTCAAGATTCAGTTGTTTTCCAACTTTTAAGAGCAGACATCATTTCAAAACTTTCCCTTTCATAAGTGCTTGTTTGTTTTTTGGCATAATCGTCAACAATCGCTTATCGAAATAACCTTTATCTATTGGTAAACCATGCAAAAGTGACTTAAAAGTGAAATAAACCAAATCAGTAAACAGCTTTCTTACTTGATCAATTTTTAGAGGCCTCGTTCGCTTCGATCGGTGACATTCACGGGAGCAACGGTGATCCGAATCACGAGAGATGATGATGAGAAAGGGGAAATGACACAGTTGAATGCGGGTCAGTTGGAAAGTATTTGAAAATTCTTCAAAAGGTGTCCAAGGCAGCGGTGGCCGACTGGGTAGGAGTCCTGCATCCTAGTCAGGTGGTCAATCCCGCGATCTCGATCGAGGGCGCGATCGAGGGCTCGATCCCGGTGCTAGATCAATACATCTTTTTTCCAGATATAGGTTTTTCCTTCCCTAGGGCTTAGGCTTTAGCCTGCTTTTTTTTATTGTTTGTACCACATTATTAAATGTGGTTCAATCCACAATACATGTGTTTTTAAACAAATAGATGACTTGAACTAATAGAAGTTACAAAAACTGTTAAAAGGTAAACTTAATGAGTGAATTTTGTTACTCCTAGTGGGAAAACGTTTCCAGTGAGTCTTTTCACATGTCTTAATCTTAACTCAATAAAATTTTATTACTTGGTTTACAGAAATTAAAGAAATTCAACTGTTCAAACTTTTGTGATGAATCAATTTTAGTTGAACCACCGCGCCGAGCTAGCTTCTATGTGAAAATCGTGACGATTATCTTCCTCAATTTGGTCGCCGCTTCTCTTGTCCTCATTTTTGTTCTCTCAAAGAAGCACAACTGATTTTTCAATCAGGATTTTTAAGTGAACCCAAATCTGTACATACCAATACTATTAAAGAAACTAGACTTTTTGCAAGAAAATTCGCTGACTTTTTTTTCATGATTGCGATTGGGCTGATTGCGTCACTTTTTCATTCAACTTTCACCCAAAAAAAAAATCTTACTCTTACGGGTTCTTGATGGCGGGTTTGGTGCTTCTTTTCTTTTTTCACTTGTGACATCTTTCCAAATGTTTTCTAAATATTTTTTTTTGTGATCTTTTAATGAATCACCCCTTTTTATGCCCAATCATCATTTGGTTTTTTGATAAAAATGGTGAATTTTACAAAAAACAAGAAGAGATTTTACGATTCTTTCTGATTTTTTTTTCTATTTCTTGTGATAAAAGAATTCTTTTTTGTCGTAAAATCATTTGGCTCAAAGGTTGACCTCAATAATTTGACAAAAAGGATTGTAAAAGAGAAAAGTTGAACACCAAAAAGATAATGGGAAAATTCCGAATCACAATGTTTCGGAGAGAAAAAACGGAAATGATCCCCAAGGGAAATTGCAAGTAACAAAGGAAATAACAATGTTTAATGCGTGCAGCATAGAAGATGAGCTGTACGCCAGGCCAGATTCATGGCTGGATTCTGGTGGGGACTTTTTCCGGAAGAGACTGGCAGTAAAATGCTAGGCCAGGTGGTCTAACTATCAACCTAGCCCAAAAAAATCTTTGAAGCAATCCTGGCAAGAGTGTTGAATAGAATTTTTAATTGTCAAGCTAATCAAAACGTATTTCCGAAGTCGAGCACACTAAGGCCGACCGGTCATTTTCGAAGATCGACGAGGGAAGGCTTAGATCACCAAGCTCCGAAGATTTTTCGCGCTCCCAATTTTTAAACGTGTTTTTAAACGGGTTAAAGGCCCTGTTGAGTTGATTTTAAAACTGGATTTTGCTCAGAATTTTGCATAGAATCCGATGCACTATGCACTAGGTCTCGTAGCTTAACTCGATGCGAAGTTAAAACAGTTTTCTAGTAAGATAAATGAATTGCTTTCAGGAGATTTGTTTGAAGCTTTTTCAAAAGTTTTGCAAAAAATTCGAGCAATTAAAAGCGGTACATTTTGAAAGTTAAAGTGACATTGTAACAAATGTATGAAGTACTTTTACTTAAATTCATTTTCTAATTGAATAAGTCTCAAGTTATCAAATGAAATACGATTTTTTTAGATAGCCTAATAATTTCTCTTGAAAATAACTTTTGAAAGTTTTTGAAAAGCTTTGTTTTAAAGGTTTTTCATTAAGCTGAATGTTCAAAAACGACATGATTTGAACCGTTTCTTTTAATGAAAGCTCAATGTTTAAATTCTATTCAACACTCTTGCCAGGATTGCTTCAAAGATGTTTTTTTTTTTGGGTCAGGCTGATAGTTAGACCACCTGGCCTAGCATGAAGCTGAATGTGGGGGTGGCCCAAATACGACCTTTTTTTTGCTGGAAAAGGCCTTAGGAAAGGTCGTAGAGCTTCAAAATGTTGTCATAGAAGGGAATCGTATGCGTAGATTCCGAATTTCGACAAATCAGACCTCGCTGACACGTCAAATTTGGGCTAAAAGGCGAAAGCTACGCAACTTAACGCTTTTCCGCAGTCGCATTTGTTCGGTCGCATTTGTCCCACCCCCGCTGAATGTTCAAAAACGATATGATTTGAACAGTTTCTTTCAATGAAACTTATTTTATTTAAAAAAAAAGATAGCTCACAAAAAGTCTGTTCTAAAAAGAAAACAAATAATCGGTTTAGTGGTTTTCCTTATGTATTCATTTTTCATTATTTTTAAAAACCCCAATTCGCACATTATTCGAAGATACTAATTGTTTCAATAAAAAGTAAAGAATAAATTGTGAATTGATTCCTTTTCTCACTCTCCGAACCTTAGTGTGCTTTTGAAAGCGTTTCTGCCCTTTCAAATTTCGATCGTGGATTCTCGTCTCTTTGCCCCATCTTTCCCCACTCGTTTTCCCCTTTCCCCATCCCGTTTTTCCTCTCTTTTTGCCGCCATATTGATCCAAATTTTTTTTCCCGGTTTTTCCGCTTTCCGAGTTTTTCTTTTCGTCTTTTTTTTTGTTGTTTCGTTTCTGGTGGCCTTTTCTTTTCTCCCCAATCTTTTCCCCCAAATTCAAACTGACTCATTTTTGAAATTTCCCCATATTTCATTTCTTTATCGAAAATAAAAAGCTGAAATTTTTGAAAGTTGAAATTTCAGCTAAAACTTTCATTCTGAAGACTTTGAAAATTTCAAAATTTAGCTAAAAAATTGCAGAAAAATCTCAGAGAAGTTTGATTTTTCGTTTTCGAAATTTTTTTAATATTTGTAGTTTGAGTTCTATGTCAGCCAAATGCAGGGAAATTTTGAAATTCACCACAAAAAGTGATCAATTTGATAACTATAGCTTTTCAAATAGCAAATTGAAAGAACTTTTTGTTCTCTGATCAAGAGCAGCTATTCTAAAAGTAAACTTTTCTCACAAAAGATTCGAATACTTCACATTTTAAAATTTTTTCTTTCATTTTCTTTCAAACAATCCATTAAAAATGTTCAAAAGCTTCAGAACTTTTGAGCTAATCAAATCTTAGTGTGTTTTTTTTAGTGTTTTCTAAAAAAAAATATTACAAAAATGAAATCCTATTTTTGAAATTCGGTTTTGAAAAATCAATCCTGAACTTTCGAGGAAGTTTGCTTGCCTTTGAAACTTTGAAAACTCAAAAACTCACTATTTTTTCACGATAAAGTTTAGAAATAAGCAACTTTTCTTTCATTTCTACAATTGAATCTCTCTATAAAGAAATGAAAGGGAGCAACAAATGTTTCCTTTATATAAAGCCTTCCGTTATAAAGCTTAACATCGTCCGGGACCAAAATTCCATTTCGTTATATAGAGCTCCGTTTTATTGAGAGTCGACTGTACTTACCCTAAATACTATAATAGTATCCCACCCCCATAATGACGGTGCGGAGTGTTGCGTAGTCTAGTTTTGAACGAGTTTTTCTTGACACTGGTTTATGCTACAATGTGCGCTTAGGTATCAAAAAATAGCCCTGAATTTCAACTATTTTTTGATACCAAAGACTCATTTTTTGAAAGTACGGGCGCTTTGAAAAAAATGAAATACTAAAAAACTTTTGTGACTACACGACTGTACGAGGGGGGTGGGGTACTATTACAGTATTTACGGTATTACTAATTAAAGTACTTATTATTAATTAAAGCCCACTCGTTACCACTTTCAATTTGAACAAGTTCACTCAGCTTTTCGCTATCTAACTGCGCATCTGTCCTTCTATTGAATTGAATAACGAGATCTCAAGCACAATATCTTGTTGTTGCGATGATCGAACAGTCACCATTTCTCCACTTTTCTTCACTCATTTTTTCACCCGCTGTCATGTATCGATTTATCTGCTCGATTTTCGCAAACACTTTTCTCTCTTTTTCTTTTGCATTCGCGAGAGATTGTGTGAAATTTCTGCGAAACAATTCACACATCTGCTCTTTTTTTTTTGGGAACAAATGATTGTAATTGTATTCGAAAATTTCAAACTTTCAAAAAAAATCTCTTAACTTTTAAATTATTAATCAGTTCTGGATGAAAATTTTAGCTTTTAGTTTGAAATTTGAAGCAGCTTTGTGTTTTTCAAAAAGAAAAATATAGGAATTTGCTGTTTTGACGATTTTTTTCATACCTTTTTATGCTTATTAGTGTTGAATTTTTTCAAAAAGCTTGTTAGCCATTTGGTTTTTGATACTTTTCAACTTACCGTAAATACTGTAATAGTACCCCACCCCCATAATGACGGTGCGGAGTGTTGCGTAGTCTAGCTTTGAACGATTTTTTTCTCGACACTGGTTTATGCTACAATGCGCGCTTAGGTATCAAAAAATAGCTGAAATTCAGGTCTATTTTTTGATACCAAAGACGCATTTTTTGAAAGTACGGGCGCTTTGAAAAAAAATGAAATACTAAAAAACTTTTGCGACTACGCGGCTGTACGAGGGGAGTGGGGTACCATTACAATACCATTACGGTATGTTTCAATGTCAATCCGTTTTTTTCACGAAAATTTTAGATCGCAAAACTGTGCGGCGATGAAACACGACACGACTAGGTCAAAGTTTGGACCCAGCAAATGTCAGGTTGGGTTCTTTGAGCTAAATTTTTCAAAAAGTTTATTCAATAGTCGTATTTCGATAAGATTTAACTACAGTCGACTCTTGATACAACGTTTTTAAAATTCTAAAACTTTGTTTCTGCCTAGCTGCTCAGCCAGACGCAAACGTTGGCCGTTCTGGGCAGCTATTCTGGCCGTTGGCCGTTCTGGGCATTCTGGCCGTTGGCCGTTCTGGGCTGCTACGCAGTAAATTTGGGATCGTTAAACCGCGAATCAACTTTATCTATTTTAGTTCAATGGTTGCACCGTTTCCCTCTCGAATCCGACTCCATTCGCGTTGATTTGCCACATCGGCATTCACTCGACGAATAAACGATACACGTGCACTGGTTGGTTTGAGAATAATCCAATAACTCTAATAACTTTATCAAATAATGGCTAGATTAAAGGTAAAACGTAAAATTTCAGGCTGCACCTACGGCTGGGCCCAATTCCATCAAGCGTACACACACACGAAACGCTGCGAACGAGCTGCTAATGTAAAGGATAATATGTAGGTTTTTTTGAAATTTGAATCGAATTTAGAATTTGAATTTAAAACTGTATCTAAAATAAATGATGGGCTCTTTTTTCAGAGACGAGACGATGTTATTGGATTGGATCGAGCTGGGTCGAGTGTGCTTCCCCGATCGAGTCGACGAGATTCAGAAATCCGGTCAAAAGCAACTCATCAAGGCTCGGGTATGCGAAAGTTATTTGTTATTTAAGTTATTAAAAGGTTTAAGTTTAAAGTTTTTAGAAAGTTTTATATTAGTATCGCTTAAAAGTTTTTTTTTCAGGAAAACGAGAATCACGATCCGCTTCTCTCCGTCTCCGACTACAGCTTCAATGTCAAAGAGGAAATGGATAGTGATGAAGGTAGAAATTAAGAAGATACCACGTAAGCTTTGAAAAGACGAAATTTTACTGAAAGCTCCATTCGTTCAGGCAACCAATCGCTCTCTTCGCCACTCTCAGCAACACTAGCGGCGATAGCGAGGATCGTCGAGCTACCGGTAGTCTTAAATTCAAAAACCTAGGAAATAACTATTCTCATTTTCGATTTTCAATCAAATAATTAATCAGATAATACTTTGAAACATAAATTTTCTTTAGAATCACTGCAAATCGGAGGAATCCTGCTCGAGCAAATCTACCGCCGAAACGAGCGCGGTGAAGAGAAAATTTCTGAAGACGTGAGTGAGAGGTTTTAGCTTTATGTTAAACTATAAACATATCAACAATATTAATAGATATGTTCAATATTGAAATGCAAATTCAATTTCAATTAAAACAAACTGAGAATTTTAGGAAAGACACCGAAACCGCATCCACCGCCGATGTGAAACGCTTCAAATTGCATACGCCCAGCATTTTCACTGGTGAATTTGAAAAATTAAACATAAAAACTTATAGTTTTTGATATAAAAATCATTTATTAGATATAAGAATTGAAAATTCATCTGAAAATTCAAATTCAGGCTCGTGGGAGGAGTCACCGAAGCACGAATGTTCCTCTTGTCAACAAAAGGTTTGAGTGCTTCTTTTAGTTTCAATCCTTATACGCTTATTTCAGAATGATCTTGATCAGATGATCGTTTGTGCGGATTGCAATGTGATTGTAAGTTTTGACACGCTGGTCCTTTTATGGGGCTGGGAATACAAATGGCGCGGTTCAAACTCGCGACCTCTCGCTTACCGGGCGAACGCTCTACCAATGAGCTACACATATCCCATTGCCGTCAGGGGTTGGGCCTTATGCCTTACTCGATTGAAACTGTTCAAATTCAACGATTTCCAGATCTGCGGCCTCTGCGCCTACAAGAAACACAAGATGCACGATGGACGAGAGTTGTTGAATGAAGAGGTGAGTGCTTTGATTTCAAATGATAAAGTTCAATGAGACGAAGATGGAAAACCTAAAAACCAGTCAAAAACATTGACATTTAAAGCTAAAATTTCGTTAGTTAGAAGAGCTAAAGCAAATTTCACAGGAAAAACTGACGCTCTTGGATCTTATTCAAAAGTCAAGTAGAAAAATTATAGAACTTTTTCAATTGATTCTTGAAAAAAATCTTCTTTTTATCTATAAGAATATTAAAAACTAATCTAGACTAGTTATAACTCTTATCGCTTTTTGAAAAGCTCAACTTTCGTATCAGTGATCAGTGATAGTGATAGACTTCAGTCTATTTTTTATTTTTGTTTCTAGAGAAGCGTTCGATCAGACGACTCTAATCTAATCAGATTACGAAAAAAGACTGTCAGTCTCAATTTTTTTTTTACTTATTACTATCAACTATACATTCATCTTTTATTTTTTATCTTTAGATTTATGGACTCGCAAAAGAATTATCGGATTTGATTGACCAGAAAGTCGATCAGCACATCACACCACTCTCGAATCTGTGCAATGAAACTTTTGAGTTGTATGATGAAATTAAAGCGGTCAGTGAGAAGAAAAGTACTTTTTGTGACTAAAAATTAAAAACACACCTCTTCTGGTGCACTCTAACCAGATTTTCTCTTGAAAAAGAGTGCCAAAAAGAAGTGTTTCCTTTTTTGAACATAAATAATTGTTTTTTTTGAGCAGGTGCGTCAGAAAGCTTGCGTTACTTCACTTGCTAGCACAAAGTACGCAAAAACCATGAATTATCATTTCTTTTAGGAGATGTACAACTTGAAGCCACTCGTCTCAACGCAAACCTCGTGGAAGGAAGCTAATGAGAAAGCCGAGAAATGCCGGTGAGTTTTGGAATCTTACTTTTTAAGTAGTATTTTGATTTAATAAGTTAACTAGTTCAAATTCGAAAAGAATTTTCAGCAAAATGATCGACGCGATCGCCGACGTGTTCACCGAGTTCACTGCCGAGATTCAAAAGTCGAATAAAAAGCTAGAGGTGGGGAAAATTTTGAGAAAGTAGTCTTAACATATAGCTCTAGCAAAAATTCTGGTCCTGGCTCAACTTCTGGTCTTACCTTACCTGATCTGGTCTTGGACACGACAAAAAACATTCTTGAGACCGTTAGGAGCCATGAGCCAGAAATGAAGCTAAGCTTTGGTCAGGCTTGCAAGCCTCAAGACCTGGTAATCTAACTTTGAGCTCAAATTTCTCGGTGTTCGGCTGTTCAATTTATAAATTATTGATATCATTAGATGCGCTAAGTCTTTCTCTATCGAGTGGTACAAAAACTATTTAAATTGCACAGCCGAACACAAAGAAATTTGAGCTCAAAGTTGGATTGCCACTGTTAATTATGAAATGTCTAACAATTAGACCTGACTAGAACATTTTTGCATCGAAAATGCTAAAATAAAGAATAAAATTTTATTCAGGAAAAGCTGGAGAAGTTGAAAGCGCAAGATTTCGACGCAATCGATGAGAAGCCGATTGCTGACGCGTAAACTGCTCATTTTCTAGGTTTCTACGAATTTTTTATTATCTATAAGAATTATATTTATATTATTGATTATTGATTTGTTTTTAAAATTTTAAAATCAAATTACTATTGACATTTAAAAGTTCCACGCGGGATTTGATCTCTTTTCTCTTCTCTTCTCGTCTCATTTCTCTTCTTCTTCTTTGTTTTTTTTTTGGGTTGGTTCAAAAGTTGTTTTTCCATTCCGATTATCAAATATTTATTTCCAATTTTTTTCAATAATAAATAATTTGAAATTTTGCAATATTATGCAATTTTTTTTTTGATTTGACAGCACAACAACACCTAAATTTGTAGCCAAACTTCTCTTATCTTGTTGAAAACTTGCTTTATTTTGCCAAAATCTTGATGTTATCACTTTTTGCAGAAAACAAAAGATCTCTACGTCATTTTGAAATGATCACTGACGAGATTAGAGTGAACTCAAGGGATTTCTGAAATAAAATGGCTAAAGAAATGGATTACTCAACGGAGTGATAAGACTGTACAAATAAACCAAAACAGAGTCAAGATCAATTTTCCAAACGAAATTAAAGCATGAGTTTTGTGTTTGGCATGAGCTCTGACAGTGAGCTCAATCAGTAAAGGATTTGAAGCAAGATATTATTGATTGCCTAACCTAATGCCTAACCTAATCTGAACTTTAATTTAGCTATGAATTTGATATTGTTGATGTATGATGGTGCTGGTATAGCCAAAAAAGTATTAGGTGCTTGCAAAAGAAACTGTGGTTCAAAAAGTCAACGACTGTAAATAAAGATGATCCGGGTTGATTAGTATTTTTAGAAATCCAAAGATTCTCTCTTTAAAAATATAAAAAGAATTTGAAGAAGTTTCCTTTTAAAGAGCCTGTTGAATTTCCAAAAAAGGCAGCAAAAATGGGAGAGCTGAATTTCAACTCAAGATTTCTCCTCCGTTTTTTTAAATAATTGTTTTGTCACTAATATGAAATGAAAGAAGTTTACTAACTAAAACAAATAAAATAGAAATTAGATTTGTTAAAACTTTGAAAAAAAAACTTTAAAACCGAATTTTGATCTTTTTTTCGAGAATCAAAACTCTTCAAAGGAATTTTTGTCATGGAATGGTCTACCAAATTTGTTTTATTTTTATTTTGTAAATAGCTTTCTTAAGTTGGGCTTTTGATTTGTCAACAATTTAGACTAAGGTTTCGTCAAAAATTATCCTTTATTATAAGTTCAGGTCGAGTCGTTTTTTGATTTTTGAAACGTCTATATTCCGCCCAGAAACGATCAGTGCAGAATTCTTTTTAGATCGTTAAAAAAAGATGTACAATATGTAGAATCATTCAAAATTACATTTTCGAGTTATTCCACTCTGACCGATCCGGACTATGAATGACGATTTTGACGCTTTTCCCCTTCGCTCACAAAACCACAGATTCCCGTTCCATCATTGTTCGCATAAAGCCATTCATAACGCTTTTTCCATAGCATTACTAGTTGGGAAATAATATAATGGAATAGTTCACCAAATTTGTTTTATTTTTATTTTGTAAATAGCTTTCTTAAGTTGGGCTTTTGATTTGTCAACAATTTAGACTAAGGTTTCGTCAAAAATTATCCTTTATTATAAGTTTAAGTCGAGTCGTTTTTTGATTTTTGAAACGGCTATATTACGCCCAGAAACGATCAGTGCAGAATTCTTTTTGGATCGTTTAAAAAAGATGTACAATATGTAGAATCATTCAAAATGACACTTTCGAGTTATTCCACTCCGACCGATCCGGATTATGAATGACGATTTTGACGCTTTTTCCTTTCGCTCACAAAACCACAGATTCCCGTTCCATCATTGTTCGCATAAAGCCATTCATAACGCTTTTTCCACCGCATGACTAGTTGGGAAATCTTTTTGAGTCATTTTTGCATCAAAGTGAAGCTAATAGTAAAGTTGCCAAAATGAAACTCGATGCCCAATAAACATCTCAAAAAAAACCCACACTTATTTATTGACACACTTGGCCATTTCTCTTAAAGTCTTCAGTTCTTTGACCGCTTATTATTTTCCTCATCATCAACACCAAAAAAAAAACTTTACGAAAATAGTAATGTATAGAGTTGTCGTCAAGTTTTCTTTCAATTTCACCACTCTTTTCAAATAAATTTTCCTTTTTTTCAGTCTTTTCAGTCTTTTCAGCGTTCCAATTTGGGTCCTCGGAAAAACACAGAATCTCCTCAAAGAATCCTCAAAGAAAACCTCCTTTACCCTAAAGAACTAAAGAACTAAAGAAAATTTCCGACTCGACGCACCGACTTCAATTTTCGTAGATTGGAATTCTGAAGGGCAATTCCCTCATGGTCCCTCTTTTTCTTCACCAAAAACTTTTAAGAAAACTTTTTAGAGAAACTTTTTAGAGAAATTCCCCCTTGATCGATTTCTAGATGAAGGTTGATGAAAGCACTAGAGTTTTAACTTTTAGCAGCTTGAAAGCAGCAACTGAAAGCAGCTTTTAACTTTTAGCTTAAAACTTGCTTACTAAGTAATCGTCTTATTATAAATATTCTAGAGTCAAGCTTGCTTGAACATTTAGGTCAACTTTTCGAGGAAAATTTTTAATGCATTTCTGGTCTTTTGATTTCAATCAATAGTCGTTCCCTTCTAGTTTGATGTTTTCTAAAGTACAATCATTTTACCGTCTTATTCACCATGCGATTTTGATATGAATTCCATTCAATTCAGATAGAAAAGTTAAAAGTTCAAGTTCAAGAAAACACTAAAACTATGAAATAAATGAAAAATGAAATCAAATAAAATGCTGTCTACACCTTCACTTCTGCAATTATTTTTGCGTCTGCTAAAAAACAATCTTTATTATTCAAAGTTCCTATAGAAGAAAACAAAATAACCATGGAAATCCCCGTATTCTTTCTCAGAATCAACCAGCTATAAAACTATAACTAACTGGATGAATTTCTTTTAGTTTTGCAACGAATACCAATCCATTTTTTAATAATTTATCCTTTTTGGATTACAACTTGAAAGTTTAACATTTAACAAATGATTTCTTGCAAATTTTCTACTCGGCCCTATTTCCAAACTAACGGTTTTTTTGTCCAGTTAAAATCCTTTTTTTACGACGTCAAAATACGAATAACAGCATTCTTTAAGTGAAAAGCCAAGAATTGGACTTATAGAATGCAAAAAACAAGCACTTTTAAATTATCTGAAGACAATAATTGTCTAATATCATGTAAAATTTAAAAAAACTGAGCTAAAAAAGCTATCCGATTGAGCAGGAATACATAAATATTCACCAGAAAGAATCGGAGTCGGATAACGTAGACAAATGTTGAGATTTTTGCAACCTAGGCCTAACAATTTAATAATAATAACAATAACAAAGTAGCTAGCGAACTTTTTATGCTTGCAAGGCAAATTCTAAATGAAAGAAAACGTTTCCTTCTATTTCCTCCTAAAATTTCTTGGCTATTTCCGCATTGCTTTCCGAAGTCCGAAAGGAACAATGAATAGCAATTGAGCCAATTTTCCATTTCTCTTACCCTAGTTAAAACTTTTTAGTTAAGTTGTCAACACTCAAATAAAATCACAATCGCAGTGAAACATTTTACTTGGGGTATACTTTGTGCACAAAAATGGAAACCTACCCTATCTGGTGCCTTGAATTCTTGATTTTTCTGATGATTTGGTGTCTTGAGTGTGCCAAAAAGGTTTGTGTTTCCATTTTTGAGCACAAAGTACTCCTGTAGCTCGCCTAAGACTTCAGTTTTTTGACAGGAATCGATAAAATCGTAGACTCATTTCCTTTGTACTTTGTGCTCTTTCAAAGCTCACTATTTCTGGTGCACTCACTCTTGGATTCCTTCTCGTGATACTTCTATTGCTTTAGTGCGTCAGGAAGAGTGTGTTTCCATTTTTTGACTACAAAACACACGACTAGATCACCCGTTCAATGCACTCACAACAGCAACCTTTTGTCAGCAACAGCAACCGCAACAGCAACAGCAACAGCAATCTTCCATTGTCAGTTGTTTATCTTTTTTCAACCCAAAAATCAAAAATTACCCTTTCAATCAAAATCGATCACTTTTTATAGATTTTTGGTCATTTCACCTTTTCCCCGTTCATTTATTTCTATCAATTCTCATCTATTTGATTAAAGAATTAATTGGAAATGGTCATTGAAGAGAACTTTAAGATGATCAAGAGGAACAAGTTCAAACATCTTGTTGATCTTGTTTTCCTCAACTTTTCCCTAGCTTGTCGGTTTTGGCTCTTCGAACTCTAATTTTTCTATTTACTTGAACCGTTTAACACGAAAAAAAAAGCTAATTTTACCTCGTTTAAGCCGATTCTTAAAGCGCTAAGCTCATTTGCCATCTTCAACTCACCTTTCAAGATGAAAGGTGCCAAATTGCGGAGTTGAGAGCATGTGAAAAACATGAGGAATTTCAGGAAAACTCTTTTAACTGGCTGTGGGATTCACGAGGAATTCTGTTTTGACTTAAAAGTACCATTCAACAAAAATATAACGCTAGAGAAGCTGATCAAGCAAGATCCAAACTTTTTCGACTATCCTTGTGTACTTTATGTCAAAAAAAATCAAAGCCTGCTATGTGTTTCTGTTGAATGTTACGTGTCTTCTTGCTTGTGTGCCAAAAAGAAGTCGTGTCTAAGTTGTTGATTTTTGATCTGTTCCTAGTTTCGCGAAAATCATGACGTTTTGAAATGCCCAACTCGTTCATCACCAAGAAAACTTCAATGATAAGCCTAAAGAACGAGAAAGTAGTAAACTATTCAATAAGTTTAAAGAGCTTTGGAAGATTTCTGAGTAGCTACTCAGAAAGTTTGAAAGTTTAAAAACTACTCAATAAGTTTAAAAGTTTAAAAAGTTTGTTTGAAAACTATTCAATAAGTTTAAAGAGCTTTGGAAGAGTGAGTTTTAAGAGCTTTAATCCACTTGTTAAACAGTCCAGCTCTTGGATCGAAAGCTTACAAAGCTAAGAAAAGATCTCACCTTTTCACAAACGCTTTAACATTTTTGGGTGCAATAGCTTTCTCCAAATTGCTCACCATTTAGTAAACGCATTACGAGGAATACACTCGAGTAGAGACCACCAATGATCACCTCTGCGCACGCGTGATGGCTCAGTTTTCCCCTCCCCATGTGAATAGGCTTAAAAGCACTTAACGCTGAAGTTGATGAAGAACGAAAGAAAAACAAAAACCCAGTGCTTCGGAAACTTTTCAAAATACCAAAATCACTTTTGCGGGTGGGTCTTTGATTTGCTTCTTTCAAATGAAAAAAAAAGAACTTTGTTTTTGCAGATTTCCTGACTGATTTCCCCCTAGTGAGAACTCATTTTAAAAGCCTATTTATCTATTTTCTTTAAAGATTTACTATTTTTTCTTGGCTTTTTCGTCTCTAATAGCTTTAACCTGTGCATATGACCCTCTTTTTTTTACTCAAGAATTTCCCGAATAAATAGAGATTTTTTTGCTACTTTTTTTTCAATTTTCCATCACTTGGAACACTTCTCATTGGTCATTTCTCAAAAATTTTTCAACTTTTTCTGTTCTAAACTTTTACGAATTCAAATTTTCAGCAACAATGTGTCTGGAGCATGCGGAAACGAAGCGAATTGAAGAGTGAGTTGATTTGAAAATTCGAAAACATTGTAAAGAAATATTGTTCGCGTGCTTGGTACTCTTCACTCTTCACTCTTCACACGTTATTTCTTGTTTCGAGATATCTAATCTCACTTGAACTAAAAACACTTTATTCAATAGCCGACTGACTCGGAATCTTTGGGCTCTCACTTGAGCAATTTTCACACAAGATCGACAATTGAATTAAGCGACGATAAAAAACAAGAAACAATTTCGTCCTAATTAGGACACAACTTTCACACAAAATGAGAGGAAAGCAGAAAGAAAAATGAAAGATAACGAAACAAATGAACAACAGTTGCCTTATATGGCTTTAACACAAGATACTCAGCTAACAAGCTACAAAATAATAAATGAGATTTGGGGCGCGAAATAGAATAAACGCGCACCGATTTCCTCAAAATATTTCCAATTTTAGGCTGTCGTGTGTAATTAGTGGGAGTTAGGATAACTAACTATTCGCCACAAACATAAAAGATTCAATCTTTTTTTTTTTCAAAAACCCTAGCCAAACAGCTTGGCCGATTGCTTTGAAATTTTGTCTACACATAGAAATGTCAAGCATTTTACAGCTTGTGAGACAAAATTTCAGAGCAACTGACCAAAGAAAAACACAAAGATGGAATTAGGTTCGGCTTTGAAATTTTCTCATTTCTAGCGCCTAGTCTCTTTATTTAGCTATGGTTTAAGGATAGCTTTATTTAAATTCGAGTTTCAAAATCTAAAATCACACCTTTAGCTCTTTCATTAACCAATTCTTTAGTTTAGATTTCTCTTTCAATTCCTCAACCTTTTCTTTTTCCTTCCCCTCTTTCTCTCTCTCACTTTCACACGGTGATAAATCGGGTCAATCGCTCATAAACACCAAAATCTCGATTTCGATTTGTTTGTACGTTTTGATTAGCACTAAAGCTATCAATTTATTAAATAAAGATATTTATTTTGAATTCACATCGTAAATGATTTCTATTTCAAATTGGAAACATTCGAAATCTCATCTATTCTCGCTAAAAACCCGCTAACCGAAACCAAAATGAGTTGTTTTTTTTTGATTGATTGTCGAAAAAGGAAAATAAAAGAGAAAACCCCATAAAAACTGTAATGAAACGCTTTGTTTTTCAAAGTAAAAAGAGAAATCGTAAATTATCGCTTGTCAATCATTGCACTGAAAGTTATTCCTTTCACTTTTTGACGGCAAAACTTTTTAGAGATTTTCAGTAGATTTCAGAGGATTTGCTTAATGTTTAGACAATCATTTTTGGGATTTCAATATTGATTCAAAATCAATCGGTCAATCAATTCAAATAATTCAATCAATTCAATCAATCAATCAATCAATCAATCCAATTCAATCAAATCAATCAATTCAATCAATTCAATCAAAATCAATCAATCAATCTAATCAATCAATCAATTCAATCAATTCAATCAATCTAATCAATTACACCAATTCAATCAATCAATCAAATCAATTCAATCAATCAAAATTCAATCAATCCAATCAATCAATCAATTCAACCAATTCAATCAATTCAATCAATTTAATCAATTCAATCAATTTCAATCAATTCCAATCTTTTCAATCAATTCAACTCAATCAATTCAATCAATTCAATCAATCCAATCAATCTACCCAATCACCATTAATCAATTTCCCCAAATCAATTACTTCAGCAAAAGATAGTTTGACTTTTAACATAGATTTTGCGAAAACCCTTTTTACCCGGAACAACCTTTTTTTGTTCTTTTGCTCTAAATCTCTATTTGACTCTTTTCCATTTTCTCGCTTTATTTTGTGATTTTCAAGCATAACAAATAAAGCTTTTCCGAATAAAACTGACTTTTTTTTTTTATCTAAACATTTAACTATTATTATATCAACAGATTTTTATTGTAAGCCGTAGAAATCCTGATTCTTTGGTACCCAATCCTGTCCGAAAACTTTTCTTTTTATTCTTTGCTTCAAACTCCAGCTGGAGCCATGCATTTGTCTTGTATGTAAGAGAAATGTTTGCTCAACACCCTCAAATTCCTTGTTCCTTCCCCACTCCCCCTTTGACCCCTTCTATTCAGCCGTTTTATTTGCTTTTCAAAGTGTTTGAGGTTCTTAGCTAGCTTTTGATCAAGAAAATGAAGATTCTGAAAAGTTCGAGTTTCCATTATTTCCCTTTCCATTTCACCTTTTTTGTACTATCAAAACTTCAAAGCACAATTTGATGTTTCCTGTTAAAAAAGATCTTTAAAGACAGATTCGGACCCAGCTTTTCTTTCTCTTTAAATCTTTCAATTTCTCTGATCAATCTAGTAAATATTTTCACTCTATTACAAGGTGATCAAAAGTAAATGATTCTATTTTTTTTAAAATGAAAGCTAAAACAAAATTTCCCCCCTATTTTATAGTGTATTTTAAAAGCTGAAATTCTGATTGAACATTTCTGTCAGTAAAATTTTAGAAAAAGAGAAATTTCTAGCCTTTTCAAAGAAGCCTTACATTGCACTTCGAGGCAAACCATAGAGTGTGTTCCTCTAGAGTTTTGGAGACACTGCAAGGCTCGCGTAGTTCATTGGAGACACTGCAATGCTCGCGTAGTTCATCTACAAGGTGAGTGCGAAAGTAAAGCAAAAGTCAGGCATTATGTTTTCTTTAGACTTTCCGATCTACACTTTTGGTTTTTAACATCTCTAGATGCCTTTTCCAAATGGAGATTTTATGTTTAGATAATGCAAAAAGACCATCAAAAACACACCCTAAGCTATCTATTAGAGTGTATTCCTCCTAGAGTAATGCGTTTTTTTAGAATGCATTTATTTGAGAAAAGTGCCGTAATCAAACCGTTATTTTACATTTAATTCATTCGACTTTGGTATCATTCAATGAGGAATTAAAATGCTCAGTCAATGATACGAAAATCGAGCTGATCGAATGTAAACTAACGGTTTGGCTACGGTACTTTTCTCAATAAGGTGCTTTTTTAGAAAACGTATTACCTGAGGAGGAACACACCCCCAGCAAATCACCCATCAGATAAACACAATTTCGCATGTTTTTCAAGACTATTTTAGGCTTTTCTTTTGACGAAAACTTTTATTCTTTTTTAAAATAAAAATTAAACTATTACTTTTAAACAAAAATCTAAACTTAAAAAGGCTTTTTGAAGGATTTTTCAATTGAAAACAGGTTCAAATAGCTAGCTCTATGACAGTTTCCTCCAGCGAATGCTTTTTGAGAGCTAGGTGGCTTTAATCAGGCTTTTTGAAGGATTTTTTCAATTGAAAAAAAGGTTCAAATAGATGAGCTCTATGACAAGTTCCCTTCAGCGCACTAGAATGCTTTTTAGAGAGCTAGGTGGCTTTAATCAGGATGGTTTAGGTGTAGAAATGCTCCTCAAAAAGCTTATCTTCAAAATACTATATAGACGGTCCAATTTCGATCTGAGTTTTAGCTGAAAATCGAGCCTTCTTTTTTCTGCAAAGTATGCGGGAAATTTTTGATCATCCTGTACATCATCGATTTTCGATTGTCTTTTTCATTCATTCATACTAATCGTAGTTGTCCCATTCCCCCTTTTTCACTCCAACATTTTGCGCACACATCTGTTTTTCGCGCTTTTTTTTCTTTTTTGACACATTTTCCATCCTTCTTTTCCTCTCATACAAAATTTTTGTGCCAATTAAACAAATTAAACAAATTAAACAAATTAAACAAGGGAAAATATTTGAAAAATCCTTTTCTTATAGTATTTTTTTATCAAAAAAGCATTTAAATCCTCGAAAGTCAAACTTCTAAAACCAATTCTTTATAATAAAAAAGGAATAGTCAAAAATTTAGACATTAGTTAGGTTCCACAAGAGAATTTCTCCCATGATTGACATATTTAAGTGTCCAGGCTTCTGGACACTTAAATATGTGTCCAGAAGCTTCTCGTAAGCTCCAAGCATTTGCGCAGCTTTAGTAAAAGTGCCAAGCTGTAATAAAAATCAGGTAAAGATTTTCGGAGAAGGAATTGAACTCTTGGCACTTTTACTACAGCTGCGCAAATGCTTGAGCTTACGAGAAGCTTCTGGATTGAACTCGAGAACCTTTTTGCTTTCCGGGGCAATTGCTCTAACCACTGAGCTATCCGGTATTTTTTTATCAAAAAGCATTTGAATCCTCGAAAGTCAAACTTCTCAAACTTTTGGACCTGTAAAACCAATTCTTTATAATAAAAAATGAATATTTCTCTTTTACTTCATTTAGATTAATAAAAAATTGTGTAGAAGTTCTTTCTGAATTTATTTTCATTTCTATTTCAATCGAATAGAAATTGTCCCCAAAAAAAAAAAAATTTTGTCGACCAATGATTCACCGCAAAGATACGTATCAAAAAAGGAAACAAACGAAGAAAAAACTGTTACACGCCAAAAAGAAGAAGAAAACGCGAGAAATTGATCCATTTTATCGGTGATTTGCATCTGAATCGCTGAGAAAGGGTTTGGGGGAAAAGAAAAACAGAAAAGAAAAGTACAATGAAAACATTTTCTTCTTCTTTTCTTCTTTTTTTCTTCTTCTTCTTCTTCTTTCTTACTATTTTAGTCATATTTTTCAAAAATGAACAACTCATATTGTTTCTTTCTGATTTCTTTTTTATTAATAGACTCCTCGATTTTCTCATTTTTAAATTTCAAAAGTTTTAAAAGAAAAGGAACTGTGAAAAGGAAAATTGAAAGTATTTGTGTAAACGAATTAGATCTTATTGCCATGTCAAATTTGCCCTATACTTAATCTTTAATCGTAAACGAATTAGACTCCCCAAATTTGCCATACTAATCTTTAATCATAAGCAGATTAGATCTTCTTCCCATGTCAAATCTGCCGTATATTTAATCTTTAATCGTAAACGAATTAGATCTTCTTCCCATGTCAAATCTTCCCTATATTTAATCTTTAATCCCTAAACGAATTAGATCTTATTGCCATATCAAATCTGCCCTATATTTAATCTTTTTGGACCTGTATTTCCTAACTTGTAGTCTTTAATGTATTTCTAGTTTTCTTTCTTTTTTTTGTGAAAGTATTGTAGCAATATTTTATATGCGGTTATGATTATCTGATTCGCTTCTATTCGCCCCTAAATAAAGCACATAATATATATATATATATATATATATCCGGTTTTCGTTTCAAAGTCAAGATCATTCAAATTTCAGCTCCGAAATGGGCTTTGACACTTTTCTGCTAAAGCGAACCCTTGAGCATTTCGTTGAAGAAATTGGTGAGTCATCAAATTTTATAGCTATTGTAAAAGAAATGTCATAATTTTCAAAAATTTAATTGCCATTTAGCCGAAGAATCGAAAGATCTAATCGTTGAGCGACCGCGTTTTGCCTATGCTGTACTTGTTGTTGCTGATGGATCTCCAGGGGAAATTTGTCAAGTAAGTAAAGTTATGTCAATTTTTTTGAAATCTTGGAGAGAATTAGAACCGATTCTCACCAAAAATCAAAAAAATCAGCGGCTAATATCATTTTTGATGGTTTTTTGTAGAAATGACAAAAGTAAATCGATTTTTCAATAATTTATCAAGTATTAAAAGATGAAATCAGTTTTGCCGATCGTTTCAGCCAAGCATTTCAGGCATTTTTAGTCTAGAGGGTTGTAGAATTTCTAGCCAAAATTCAAACAAAAAAGGGCAAAAATTAGTCTCAAAAAAATGCAAAAAATCCTTTAATGAAAACAAGGCGGAGGCACCTTATACCGGAGGGGTTTGCCAGATGAAGAGCCATTACGCGCTGGCTCAGGGAACATCTCCCCAGTCATTTGTCCGTGAGTAAAGCCCAGTCGCTTTGATCGCCCAGTCGCTTTGATCGCCCAGTCGCGATAATTTTTTTGATGAAGTTTTATGCAGAAATGATTCTTCATTTGCTTTAAGCTGTAAATTTATACCCGGGGATTTTCGGGGTCAGCAAATCGATTGGCGCCGTTCATTCTATTGAGTCAAGTTGCCCAAATTATAAACCATATAAACCATATACCAATCTTGTTAGTTATTTTAAATCCAATCAAAATTTCGAACTTTATCGCCATTTTCCATTTCCCAGGCCTCTTGCGTACGACGATTGGACGTGGACGTTCAAGAGGCGGTCACTGTCACGTGAGTTACATTGATTCCAAAATATTTAAGAATACATACCAAAATCTGGTAAAATTTTAGTATCAGATCATTATTTATCGTAGTTTCCTAAAAAGTTTGCTTTTTTAGAGAGCCATATTTCGACGAGGAAATAGCGAGAGCTCTGCGGCGTTTAGAAGAAAGCAACACGTTCTTGAGCGCCAACACGACGGTGAGTGGGGGACTTTAAGAAGAAAAAAAATGTAATATACCGTATTTCTTCGAATAGAAGACCGGGTAAAGAGTATCATCGCGTTCGCGTACTCCTGCGTAGCAGCCCTTTTTAAAATTTCTTTTCTGCATAAAAGCTTTCAATGAAGTGCTATAGGGCTGGAAAATGGCTCAAAAATCTGTTAGCTCATGTGGTATTTCTGAGCCATTTTCCAGCCCTATAGCACTTCATTGAAAGCTTTTATGCAAAAAAGAAATTTTAAAAAGGGCTGCTACGCAGGAGTACGCGATAATACTCTTTACCCGGTCTTCTATTCGAAGAAATACGGTAATATTATAACTACAAAATTTTGAGGCAAATTTTTTTCCAGGCTGAATCCCTTTCCAATGCCTACACTCCACCAACGAGTCCCCTTTTGAATGATCTCGATGCATCGAAGACGATGATAAAACAATCACCAATTCGAGTAGAAAAGTTTATAAAAGTTTGATCCCTTAATGGATTTTCTAAAAGAAAGAAACTTTCTAAATCTTTTTAAACCTAAAAAATCTACCGTAAACAGCTAACAATTTCCATTAAATCAGCTTAAGTTTAAGAATCATTGTGATCCTTATGATCCTTATGATTCCGCATCGAAATTCGGCTGATCGAATGCAAACTAGCAGTTTGATTACGGTTAAAAAATGGATTTTTTAGAAAACCTTTTAGAAAAAAACAAGAAAACATTGATAAATATTGAGTGAGCTGATCAATTGACTTCTGACAGAAAGCTGCTAGTTTACATTCGATCAGCCAACTTTCGACTCCTCATTTAACCCTAAATCTAAACCAAAAAACCCAAATAGACTTAGTGCTAGGCGCTAGCCGCTAGCCTTCGCACTAAGTCCAAGCCGAAGCCTAAGCCAAAGCCAAAGCCAAAGCCAAAGCCAAAGCCAAAGCCAAAGCCTAAGCCTAAGTCCAAGCCGAAGCCTAAGCCAAAGCCATATTGAGTGAGCTGATCAATTGACTTCTGACAGAAAGCTGCTAGTTTAAATTCGATCAGCCAACTTTCGACTCCTCATTTAACCCTAAACCTAAACCTAAAAACCCAAATAGATTTTCAGCCGCTAGCCAAACCACTTTCAGTCCAAACCAAACCATTTTCAGATTCCCCCAGGCGAACAAATCCTTCGAAAGACGACCACTTTATAAAGAAAAAGAAAACGATAAACTTTTGATAATCTTTTTTATTTGTTCATTTTTTAAAACCCATGAATTGATTCTATAACTTTTCCTTTTTTTTCTTTTTGCTCATCATTTCACTTTTCTTTTTGTATTTTTTTACTCAAAATGTTTCTCTCTATTTCTTTTGTTTGATTTTAAATAATTTTTAATTGTTTTTATGTCAAAAAATACTATATTCATTGATCTCAATAAATGTTTATGCAAAAATCGAAACATTACATTTTGCAGAGAGAATTCCCCGAGCTTTCAATGGCAATTAGACAATTTGAAAAGAGATTTTTTGAGAAAACTTTTTCCAGTTTCTTTTTTCTTTCTCTAAAGCTTTAAGAAATCGAATTGAATAACTGAATTTAAGAAATTTCAATTTTTAATAGATTTTAGCTTTAAAAAAACTTGATTTTGTAGAAAATTCAAACCGAAAATTGCAAAAGTGTACCTTTCAAAATTTATTTCAAAATAAGATCCTTTAAAGCTCCTTTATAGTTGCTATTTAGTTCCTTTAAAGCTCCTTTAAAGCTCCTTTATAGTTCCTTTATAGTTCCTTTATAGTTCCTGATAGTTCTTATTTAGTTCCTTTAAGGCTCCTTTAACGCTCCTTTATAGTTTTTTTTATAGTTCCCTTATAATAAATTCAAAATTCAAAATTTACGATCAATCAGTTTTTTGATCGTAAATTCGTTTTGATCGTTTTTTTTTTTGGTTTTCTTTTCTTTCACGATACTTTACTCCTTTCTTTTCTCATTCTGATTTCTCAAAGATCTTCATTTTCATCGTTTTTCTCTTGTCAAAGACTCTTTAAAAAGATCAAAAGAAGGAAATCCCATTTTCGGGTGAAAGACGAGACGCGAGTGAAAGATCTGAATAACGTGAGAAGTCTTCACACTTTTTCAATATTTCAAAACGATTTTATAACCACGTGAAGTGATTTTTGCTTTTTGAAACTCTGGCAATTGCTACCAAGACTGTTCTTATGATTCAATGAGAACTTTGTTCAAAAAACTTCCCAGACTTTGCTTTCCCAAACTTTCCCCTTTTTTCCTTTCATCGACCCAGGTGTCACAAGCCATTTCACAACGCAAATGTTGTGACGACCAAGAGACCCAAAAGCCAACTACAATTTTCCCTTTTTCTTTAAGAAAATCTAATGCCATAATATTTTTATTGCTTGACAACGAAAAAAATGGAAAATGAAATCACAATATGAGGTTGGTGAGATGAAAACCTTTAGAGAAGTCAAACCTCTTGGAGCTCTAACTCGCGCTTCTATTCGGTACTTGCAAAAGAAACTGCGGGTCATAAAAACTATCATAAAACGACTGTAAGTAAAGATGATTCGGGTTGATTAGTATTTTTAGAAACCACAATATCTTTTCTTTTTAACGGTATAAAAGAATTCTGCACTGATCGTTTCTGGGCGGAATATAGCCGTTGAAATTTGTTGATGTTGAAATTCGGCTCCGCCAGGTCATTTTTGGTGTCTTTGTCTTTCAAAAATCAAAAAACGACCTGGCTTAAGCTTATAATAAAGGATAATTTTTGACAACTTAAGAAAGCTATTTACAAAGAAAAATAAAACAAATTTGGTGAACTATTCCATTATATTATTTCCCAACTAGTAATGCTATGGAAAAAGCGTTATGAATGGCTTTATGCGAAGAATGATGGAACGGGAATCTGTGGTTTTGTGAGCGAAGGGGAAAAGCGTCAAAATCGTCATTCATAGTCCGGATCGGTCAGAGTGGAATAACTCGAAAATGTCATTTTGAATGATTCTACATATTGTACATCTTTTTTTAACGATCTAAAAAGAATTCTGCACTGATCGTTTCTGGGCGTAATATAGCCGTTTCAAAAATCAAAAAACGACTCGACTTAAACTTATAATAAAGGATAATTTTTGACGAAACCTTAGTCTAAATTGTTGACAAATCAAAAGCCCAACTTAAGAAAGCTATTTACAAAATAAAAATTAAAACAAATTTGGTAGACCATTCCATTATAAAAATTCCTTTGAAGAGTTTTGATTCTCGAAAAAAAGATCAAAATTCGGTTTTAAAGTTTTTTTCAAAGTTTTAACAAATCTAATTTCTATTTTATTTGTTTTAGTTAGTAAACTTCTTTCATTTCATATTAGTGACAAAACAATTATTAAAAAAAACGGAGGAGAAATCTTGAGTTGAAATTCGGCTCCACCATTTTCCCTGGATTTTTTAAAAGTCAACAGGCCTTTTAAAAGGAAACTTCTTCAAATTCTTTTTATATTATGAAAAAGAGAAGATGTTGGGTTTTCTAAAAATACTAATCAACCCGGATCATCTTTATTTACAGTCGTTGTATGGTGGCTTTTTTTTGAGCCGCAGTTTCTTTTGCAAGTATTAAAAAGAAAACTCTGCTAACATCCTCTCTAAAAACATGACAGAATTCTGGCATAAATGGGTCAATAAATCGGCTCGATTGGGCGATTCTCGATCGAGATCTCCCCTCTAAAAACATGACCAATCGCCTCAATTTTTCAAAGAAATCCCCTTTCTTTGTCTTTTTTTTCTCATTCAATCAAGCAGCTGACTTCTTTGTCGAATCTTTTTTTTTGATCAATTTCCTCGATTGATCTCATCATTTTTTTTGGAAAAGCTTTTAAATATTGAATCACATTTATTTACCACAATTTTTGTGTAATTTGTGCTCAAAAAATCAAACAGAGCCTCAATTCTGGCGCACTCAATTCTTCGTATTTCTTGCAACAACGATTTGATGCCGCTAGTGATATTAAGAAAGGTGTGTTTACACTTTTCAAAAGTTGTTTGTTGTTTACACCACAAAGTATACGCAAAAATATGCCTAGGAGTTATAGAGCATTCCAAAATTTTTCAAAACAACGTTTTTTTGCGTGTGCTTGAAAACTTGCGAAAAAAAACTCTGCGAATTGTTAGTCACCTTTGAAAGTCAATCATAAATTTCAGATTTGGCAGGAAACCCATTGACTCGAGTGTGTTCCTCACGAGTAAGTAATTACTCGAGTAAATTTGCATGAGTAATTTTTTACTCGAGTAATAGCTCGAGTAATTGTCGAGTTTTCTAAAAAGTGCGCCTGCGCGGAAAAATATAAAAGCAATTTTTGCGCAGTTTTTTCGGGAGTGGGACAAATGCGACCTTTTTTTTGCGCACCCGGACATTTGCGCACCTTTTTTTCCGCACCTTGCCCATTAGCGCACCTTTTTTCGCGTTTTAAAAAGCTCTAAAAAGCTAATATTAACCAATTTCTATTCCAAAAGTTGTTTTTCTAGATAATTTTAGGGCGTAGAATCGAAATTTTGGCATATCAGAGCTTGTAGAAAGCGAACGGACGGAGTTATACAAAGAGAAAAATCAACAATTTGACAATCTGTGATTTGATCTAGCCGTTTTGCCTTTCAAATTGGTTCCACACGCTCTGATATGTCAAAATTTCGATTCTACGCCCTAAAATTACCTAGAAAAACAACTTTTGGAATAGAAATTGGTTAATATTAGCTTTTTAGAGCTTTTGGTGCGCTAATGGGCAAGGTGCGGAAAAAAAGGTGCGCAAATGTCCGGGTGCGCAAAAAAAGGTAGCATTTGTCCCACTCCCAAAAAAAAAAAAATTTTTACATTGGAAGAGAATTTCCCACCAAATCAGTTAAACGGCTGAGTATCTTGAAAAAGTGTCATATATAATGCGGGGCTCGTTTTGCGGATTTTTGCCTCATTTTTTTGGCAATAATTTTTGCTAAAAGTACGATAATTTTTTCTCAAGTGTGCGTTTTAAAAAACGCATTGCTCGTTTTAAAAAACGCATTACTCGCGAGGAACACACTCTACCATTGACAATGCTTGGAAGTTAAATGTTAATTGTCAAAAGAATGCATAAATGCTAGCACAAAAATCCTCAAGCTTTTAACCTTTCATTTTTCCTTTTATTTCTACGTGTTCATCTATTTCGTTTTCTTTTCGATAATTGGTTGCTCACTCATCCCCATTCCCATCATCAACTCCATCCATCAAATGACTTACTTTTATTTGACTATTCTCAAATAATATCATTTCTACACGGCATCAAATTCCCCAACTTTCAACATTTTCTTTTCCTTTCATTTAATAATATCTTACAAACTTGATCCAATCTTTCAGCTTCAAATGGAGTACGATCGACTTATGCAAATGCCCAGCTCATCGCACACCAATGAAGACTATTTAAATCTCAAAGCCCAAATGGGGATGAGGACACCGTTAAATGGGTTTGTGAATTGGCTGTGCTAATATTAAGAGTTTTTTTCATCATTTCTAACTTTCACATTTTGTGTATTGTTCCCTTCATAGCCTCTCTCTCTCTCTCTCTTCCCTTCTAACACACTTTCCAACGAACTTTTCAGAAACCGAATTTTCTTTGAGATCTTCTCCGCGAAAGGGTTTCCCTTCTCAAAATATTCATCTAATTTTCAGCGATCAACGCACATGAAGATGTGCATAAAAACTAAACTCTAGAGTTTTCATGCTTTTACAAAAGCTCATCCGGTTCATTGTCCATTTTTTTTTTGTTTAAGGATTACTTTTTTTAAAAAAAACTATTAAACTAAACTGTTAAACTAAACTATTAAATAAACTTTTAACTATTAAACTAAGCTATTAAACTAAACTATTAAACTAAACTATTAAATTAAACTATTAAACTAAACTGTTAAACTAAACTATTAAACTAAACTATTAAACTAAACTATTAAACTAAACTATTAAACTTACATATCAAAGCCTCAGATCACCTTTTTCCCCTTAAAGTTTTAAACCTTTTTAAAACAAAAAAAAAACATTTTCCTCCACAGCTCCAATCTTTGCTCATTCAAATCAGACTTCCTCAAATTATCCCCAATGTTTCAATGCTCAGTGTCTCATTCTAAAAAAGTATTCCCAAACATTTTCTCCAATCAAAATAAAGAACTTAAATTTCCTCTCTCATTTAGAGAACACCCCGCTTTTTGACTTAAAAGGCAAAAAAGGCAAAAAGGCAATCTTTTTTCGCTCCAAGACTCTCTCCGATAATTGCAAGAATTGAATGAACGGGAGATTTTTTTTTTGCTCAAACACGTAAAAAGAAATTGGAGTAGTTGAGGGAAAGGTTTTCCCCTTCTTTTCCCCACAAAAAATATTCAGTTTCACAAAAACACCACCGCAGAGCATTTGGGAATCCATTTCCCCTCTCTACTTCCAGAAACTTTTGAAAAATTCAATTTCAACTTCCTTGCACTATTCATAAATATCTATGTTCTAAAAATATTCAAAAATTGATCTACGTTTTCCTTAAATTTTTTTGATATCCGATCTCTGAAATGAGTCACGAGAAGCACTTACTGAAAGGCATTTGATATTTCTTTTTATTTCGAGAGGCGGCTCCAGGTTAGTGTTTTTCTCAAATTCTACAAATTTTACTTCAATAAACATGAAAATGTTAGCCGCAATTTATTCAACCTTTTCCCATATTTTATCTAGCCTGCCGCAACCACGTGCCAAGAGGTTTGACAGAGTTTTTGCTTGGGTATTCACTACGTTAGTCAAGGATCTAATCAAGGTTGATCTAACGACAATTTTTCCGGATTAAACCTGGAAAACAGATACTTTTTTTGCCCAGTCTGAGCTGATCTTTCTTTGTCAGGTCTGTCTGACTTGGTTCACGAAAATCCCTGGCCTGGCTTCTGTTTTGGGTTCTATTAGGTTGAGTACAAACAAGGGAATGGTCAGAAGTTAATATTTGGGATGAGTGATACCTCATTCGATAGATCTCATGATGAATATTGATGACCAAAAAAAATAACTATTCAAAGTAGCTATTCAAAGTAGTTATTCAAAGTAACTGTTCAAAGTAACTATTCAAAGTAGCTATTCATAGTAGCTATTCAAAGTAACTATTCAAAGTAGCTATTCAAAGTAACTCTACAGGCTGACAAGAAGCAAAAATGACGTTTTTGACCCTCCTTGACGGAGCCGGAACTTTTTACTGAATCAATACTTTTAAACGATCTTTTTAGCAATAGAACTTGAATAGAATTTTTAAAAAAATAGCAAAATTTGATTCTCAAAGCTATCGATTTTAGCCAAAGTTTACTGAACTTTTTTATAAGAATATCTCAGGTTTCCATAATACTCTACTTTTCAAGATTATTCAAGAACTTATTGTTTTTGTTTTATACTTTAATTTTTATGCAATTTATACGGATGAATCCTATAATCTTGAAAAGTAGAGTATTATGGGTAAGCAAAATACCCTACACTTTTTGGGAATATCGTTTTTTTGCAAGCTTTTCGTACGAAAGAAACTTTTGGATGGCAATGGGACAATACTTTTGTGGACCACTGTATGTCTTTCACTGAAATTCATTTTCTAATTGACTACCTCTCAAGCTACCAAATGCATATCGGAAAGAAAGTTGGAAAATTTTGATTAAACAAAAGTATGGCAATGGGACAATACTTTTGTGGACCACTGAATTACACAACCCAATATTAGGTCTGGTTAATATTTAAGATTTTAATAAAAATCTTAAAATCCTAGTCAAAATACGAGCCCTTTCATTCAATGTTTTCTCATAGAAGATGAGCATATGGCTTTTCTGAGGAAAAACCACCGATTCCTTTCATTCTTTTCAAATTGTTGTTACAATTTTTGTGTCGGCTGCTTTTGAGTTCAAAGTTTTTCTAACACTTTCAGATTTATTGTCGCTAATTATCGGCACTGATTTGCAACTTTCATTGATACCGTAGGGTAATCAAAGAGCTTAGGATTCATTTTCTTAAACTTACTTAGAAATTCAAGGCTAAGCAGCTGATATTTTGGCTATGAGGGAATGCATAACTTGTAAAAAGTAAGAAATTTAAACATTCAAAATATTTGTCGCTAATTATCGGCACGCTAATTATTCAAATTCAAATAAATTTTTAAAAAGCTTACCTTGAGAATTCAGACTTTTTGCGTAAAAAAAGTGATATTTGAAAGTTCAAAAAGGTTTTATTTTCATAAAAATTATCTCTTGATCACGTTTTTCAAAAGAAATGATTCTTTTGGTGTGCTGTTTGATTTGAAGAAGAGTAATCCATCTCACTCAACCTCTCACCACCAAAATTTCTCCTTGACAAGCCCCATACTCCTATTTTAACACCATCACTAAACGATTTGAAGGTTTTTTTGCTTCATAGTTGTCCAATTTATGTCCAATTTTGAATTAGTCAAACTTATGAGACTTGTGAAATCCCAGAACATGCTCGGTATTCGTTATCTCCTAAGTATTCTCATAACCAATCTCCTAAAGTATTCTCATAACCAATCTGGTTAAACATTCTTTCTTTAAAAACTTCAAAAACATTAACGATTCGACTTGTTTTAGGCTTTATACCCTATTTTCACTCATTTCCCCGGTCTTTACACTTCACACTGTTTTATTTGATCTTCACTTAACTGTAGCTGAGGCTTTGAATTGTAATCCGATCCATTTCTAGCACCTTTCAATCAAGCTCTTCTGCTTTCTTTTTTTTGCATTGTTTACTTGCTGTGATATTTTGATCTTACAAATAGATGGATTTTGAGAAATGAATTCGACGACAACACCAACCACGATAGAGACATTTCTTCTGCAACCAACGAGACAAGAAGACCAGCTATACAACTTTGATACAGAAATCGGCAAAAGGTGACTCAATTTTCGGTCTCAATGCTTTCACATTTCAATCGACTTTGTTTTCACATCGACTTTTTGATTAGTTTCATTGATTCATTCAAATTTCATCTCCTTTTGAGTTCTTGAGCTTAAAAAAAAGCTAACTAATTTGATATTTTAAACTTTTTACTTAAAAACAAGACTGGTTCGTAGGCAAAAGTTCTGGGCCAGGCCTAAAGAATAAGCCCCGCTCAAAAGCTATCAAAACAATTTACCTAATTCATTTAATAAGCGCAGCCTTCGAAGGTAATTGAATCTAAGCGCAATCTTCAAAGCGAATTGAGTTTAAGCAATTGCTTTGCGTTTTGTTTTCATTTTTTCCTTCCTGCAAAATCTCAAACAAGCAAAAATAATTTGAAGAAAAGCGAAATTTATTGCAGCTTTCGACAAAGATTAGCCAGCAAATTTTTTAGATATATTCCAGGATTCTTTTTCTATACCTAATTTTTTTTGCAACTTGTCCCAAAGTGCGTCTTTCCTGCCTTTTCCCTCTTTTCCCCTCCCATCCACCCATCATTATCATCATCAATCCCTCATTAACCCATTTCCAAACCAAAAACTTCATTGAATTCACTTTTTCTCGACTTTTTTTTAAAGTAATGCAACACGTGGCTTTTCACTTTCTCTTTCTAAACGAATGAACGAATGACTTGTTTGACTCATTCGGAGAAAACGTATGAAAAGTCGTTTTCAAGTAAGTGAAAGCTTCAATTTACAAATGAGCTTGCCCAACTTTGAATTAATAAACCTTAAAAGTTTTTGCATAAACTTTTCGGGACTTTATTTTAGTTTGTTTAGTTACATCAACTAGTTGGCATCAAATTGGCTTGAATTCTTGCATCGAATCGAACTTATATTTAGCTAGAATAATGAGAAAAGTTCTACTAATCTTACTAATAGAAATTTCCACTAATCTTGCTTCTTTTTTTCGCTTTCACATGTCATACTTGAAAAAGTACATATTTTGAGTAATATTCAACAAGCTAAAAAGATTTTTATTTCCCAAAAACAGCAACATTTCTCTCTTTTAAAGGTTTTTGATCATAAAATCCCTTGAGCATGAATAATCGCCAAGCCCAGCCAACAGAAAAAAATGAGGAATTCGTGGACAAGGTTTTTCTACTGTTGGGAATATAATAGTTCTTTTAAATCATTTCCCACAAATCATTTATTTGTTAACTTAAGTGTTTTTGAAAGTGCAAACTACCGTGCAAACTATCGTGACCATATTTTGTTCGTCATTTCAAACCATTGCTTCTCTTTGGTCAAATTCGTTGTCGAAATTTTGTTGTGAAATGAATTACTTAGTAGTTTGTCTGTTTAAAGAAATTGTTAAAAACAATTGCATCAACTATTCCAATTGTATCATCAACTATTCTAATTGTATCATAAAGGATGTCAAAGGAAACACATACGTATACAAAATCTATACAAGATTTTATTAAACACCACTTAAAAACGTTTCCTTTTTTGAGAGTCTTATGCATGAAAGCCATTTGTCAATCCTTTTCTTTCATTCTTCCATTCTCCTTCTTTTCTCTGTCAATCCTTTCTTTCATTTTTCTCTCCTTTTTTTTGTCTCTTTCAATTGTTGTACCCATGTGTGGCCTCAAGGGGGCAATTGCTTCCGTTCTCCCCTTCTCACCAATCCCTCTTTACCAACTCAACTTTTTTTTTCTTGTTTCTTTAAAATCACATCTTTTATTCATCATTTCCTTTTGAAATTCTGAATTCTAAACTTATAAATGTTCACGAAAACAAATCGTATCTGGCAAAAAAATGAAATTGATTCGGATTTCATTTGAAAGATTTTTTTCCTATTACCTTTCGAAGAGCTTTGACGGATGAAACAGTTTCGAAGCTAAGCACAGAATTCTTTTTTATGTCGCTTTAATTGCTTTGAATTTCTTTTTGTTCGGTTTTTATACATTTTTATTGTTATATAAACTTTTATTATTGTTCTTAAAAAGCAAAAAAGTTATGCTGCAGCGGGGTTCGAAACCTCGACACACCGCACCGGAGACAGCCGTCAAGTTGCATGCGAAAACCAAACAGAACTTATACTCGCGACTTTAGGGTACTTTTACATTTCTTGTGGCCTCTCCCAGATTTTATTTTTGAATATTTCCATTTCCTCAATCCAAATTTCAATCCAGATTCAAATTCCAGATATCGAAAGGCCAATATTCGAAAGAAAAACGAAACGCGTTTTCTAAAATTCCTTCAGCATTACTGAATCTTTTTTTCTTGCCTTTCATCTAATTTCCTGTAATTGTTGAGTGCAGAAGAATGAAATTGATTTGGATTTCAATTGAAAGCTCTTTTCCTTTTAGTTTTTGAACAAAAATATGTTCAATATCGTCTCAAAATACACCAAAAGAATTTTGACTTTTAATTAAACTTGCAGCATCAGCTGTCAATGTGATTGAAGGCTGATGCTTTCCTTTTTCTTCGCCAATTTCGATCTTAACAGCTCAGCTTGCCCCTATTCGTTTATTTTTTGACTCAAAAATTTGATTCAGAGATAACTTCTGAACAATATCGAAGTAACTAAAAGACTAATTGCTAACAATTGCTCGATTATGACTCGATTTTTAGCACAACTCGGGGGAAAAACAGCTTCTGGGTTTATCATCAAAAAACAAACTCAAAAAAGCATCCGGCCATACCGCCTCCTTTTTGTTCCATCAGGTGTCCCTTTCTGGTGGTCTTTCTCTCGATAATGTGTGACTGATTGTGCCTCTAAAATCTTTTCAATTTCTCTTTTCGTCTTCTCGTCTTCCAAAATGATTAGGGCCATTTGTTGGCATTGCAGCGAAAAAGAGGCAAAGATTTATTGATCATCATTGCACTCAGCCAAAAGAAAAGTTTCTATTTTTGGTGAATCTTCGGTTTTGATCGATTTTTACAGCTAAAAATTCGAGAAACTTTGAATTTTCAAAACTTTACTCGTTTTTTTCTCGATCTTTTGTGAAGTTCCTATTATTTTTTTCGTTTTCCCTTTTCAAAAATCCCCCATTGTGCTCGCTAATCTCTTGCGTTTTTGGGGAATTTTCCCTATATAAACAAATTCTTGTTCACAAGCAAATTTCTCTCAAGATTTGAGGCAATTTCAGGCAATTTCAGGCGATTTTCCTTTTGTAAATGCCCCACGCTAAGTAAGATAAGAGGTTTTGTTTTAATTTTATAAAATAAAAGTACCCAAAATCGACCCAAAATCGACCCAAAATCGACCCAAAATCGACCCAAAATCGACCCAAAATCGACCCACCAAACAAAAGAAAAAAAAGGCCCCTCTCTCAATATTCGACCCATCACGATCTACCGAAGAGGCCAATTGCCAATCGATTGTTTCCTGCCCTTTTGCCAACAACCTAAGTCGTAGAGCAGATCAAGATTTCACACCTATCTAAAAAAATTTAATTGAATCGCGATATATTTTGAAAATTTCAGCGGAACGATCGTCTCGCAAAAGATGGCCTCACTCGACTACAATCAAAATGATTCCGAGATCCCGATGCTCATCGGCTTCTTTCTGATGAATGGCGTTTGTGTGGGTGAGTTGAAATTTTGTCGTTTGAGTTTATTTTCTACTTAACAATTTTGTAACAATAGAATGTAATTCGAAATACAGAGTTTCTGAAAAGTTCGATCCACTTTAGAAGATTTCTCTCTAAATTAAAACTTTTACAAGCTGAAAATGTCTAAAATTAGAATGGTTACACAATTCTTTTACACTAGGCCAATCATATAAATTGATGGAGATACGAAAAGTTTTCAAGTATGGCTTCAAAAACTTTTTTATTAGTATTATGTGAGCTAATACCGCTTTTTAGCTGGGTCATTTGTCAAATTTCGTTCTCTAAACCAGTTTTGGTTTCTTTAAAAGTAAACTTTGATAACTTTTATCTGAAAGAAGAATGAGTTTTCTTTAAAACTATACTTTATATAGTCAGATATTGCTTTTGAAATTATCGATTTTGAGAGTCTTAAACAATTGTTAATCGAGCTTAAAAATTGTGGAAGTTCAAGGGAAAGTTTAATGGCAAACCTGATTGAAAAAAAAAACATTCAAAAAACAAATTTTAGAAATTACACAATTCTTTTACACTAGGCCAATCATATAAATTGATGAAGATACGAAAAGTTTTCAAGTATGGCTTCAAAAACTTTTTTTTTAGTATTATGTGAGCTAATACCGTTTCTTTTTAGTTTGGTCGCGTGTCAAATTTCGTTCTCTAAACCAGTTTTCAAGAATTTAAAAAAAAGACAGAACTTTCATCTTGTATAAGAATGCTAAACAGAACTGACAATCAGTTTAAACGATTTTATTTTGTTTTAAGAGCTCAGGCTCATCTTTCTATATAGTAAATCTAAAGTAGATCAATCGCCAACGGAATCTGAGTCATTCCCAAAGGAAGTTTTCAGACTAGGCAGGTCAGAAGCCAAGCCTGAAGCCAGCTCTCGACTGGATCTTCAGGCCATGAGACCTAGTTGAGACATTGCTGCCTAAAATTCCATGCTGTTTTCAGAATTAGCTCTAATATTTTAATATTACTATCACATACATTTTCCAGTTTTCTTCCTCCTCTTCGGCATGTGTGTGATCTTCTCGTGCATGCGTCGACCGACTCTCTTCCAACCGAAGCGAACTCCTTTACTCATCCCGCCACCACCTCCGAAACCAGAGCCCAAATTCAAAAGTTTGTTTAACTCTATTAGTTACTAAACTTTTAAATTACTACTTTTAGAAGACAGTACTGCAAGTAAGTTCTCGATTTTGACAAGTTTTAAATACACATTTGTACGCTCGTTGAACTCACAATTTACCCCCGAATTCATTGATTTTTTTTTTATTTGAAAATGCATGGAAATATTTTTTCAGCAGAAATTCGCAATTTTTAGGTATGGTCTCAAAGATGATCAGGACAAAAGATATGGGACAGTTGAAAACGGAAGTCATGGAAGAAGTGCAAATTGAGAGACAGCCGATGAATGGAGGAAAAATCGCTGGTTTCGGAGGCGCGAATGGGAGCTTGCAAATGACCGGTGAGCATTGAAATCAGCAAAAGAAGATAAACCATAGGAAAAGCTACCGTAATCTGTCTTTTATCTGAATTTTGATTCTATTTTTGAGCACAAAGTACGGCTCGTAATAAAGGATTTCAGTGGCTGCTTTGGAACAATTTTTAAAGTCTTACAAATGTAATAACTCCTTTTAATCTATGATATATGTATATATATAATAATATAATAAAATAATATAATTTTCAGATCGACCAATCATTCGAGAAACCCTAGTAACTGTGGAAAACCTTGAAGAGCCAACGGTTCTCGTGCACACTCCCGTTGACGAGATCACAGAGTCGACTCCACTGCAACACTCGCAAAGTTACCGAGAAAAACAAAATCCGAACATAAAGAAGGTAAGATTTCGATAAAATTAAATGATATATTCGCAAGAGTTTCAAAAAATTATGCAATTTTTGTCCTAAACTTTAATCTCAAGGCTCCCCAAGTGCGATTTGCCGAAGATGCAGACATTGATGCGGTATATTGTTTTCTCACAATAAAAATCACCAATTCACATTCAATTTCTCTGAAATTCTTTGTAAATTTTGAAATTTTAGGAGAATTAAGTGTGAATTTTGATTCCCACATCACCAATCCTCACTTCTTCTCTATTATTACTTCAATGTTTTTTTGCAGTATTCAGTTCAGTGAACTTGTTGTGATTGTAATAGAAGAATACTATAGTAAAACGATCAAATCAAAAGCTGAACAGAGTTTAAACAGATATTTCAGAAAACTCATTTACAGTATTTCCAAAGGAAAAGTATTCAGTTTCGATTGAATTTCGATTTTCGATTGAATCCGAAAAACTTTTTAGTAGCTGAATACTTTTATAAATACTTTAGAAAGATAAAAATACTATTTTTCTAAAAATAAACAAGAATGGAAAGCTTTCTATTCTTTTAGAAAATGACTTTAGGTGCTTTACGGAAGGGCCAAGCGATTATCGGGCGGCCGAGTTTTTGCCCAACTTGCAACACATTTTTAAGCACCTTAAACTTGTGAGATCAGAAAGTTTTAATAAGATTTAGATAGCTTAGAACGTCAACATTTAGAAACTATTTATTTCAACAAAAGTTAATAAAACAAAAGTCTATGTAAAATCGGGCAGGAAAATGGTCAAAACTCGCCCCTCACGATCCTGGTCGGATTCATGAAATTTGAATCATCACATATTAGAAATATTAGATTGGCACGAAAATTTCAACAACTGGAGTGTAGAAAAGTTTAGAATGATTTATAATAGAATGATTTTTAGGAACGAAGAGCTTCATTTATTCCGGTGGTGGAAAAAGAAATGGCGGAACATGGTGAACCATCACCCTCATCTCTCATTCGAACAAATCTTCTAGGTCCACTTTCTTTTGATGATCTTTATTACACGTCTTGATTAACTTTGTATTTTTTTTAAGTCTACAGATATTTGTAAACTATTGTTCCATTAATAATTGTCATCTGTGATTTCTGAAGCGGTTTCCTTACCTAATTCTTCTCATACTTTACATCTGGTCATTTTTTTGGTGTATTCACTCTGGTCAAACGGGTCTATTTTTGCATAAAATTTTTTTACTTTTTAAACTGTGATAGAGGTACACAGGAAAAGGAGAGGAAAAATCATTTTAAGTGAAAAACACAATGAATCCAACCGTTGACCCAATGCAGAAATCTCTAAAATGTTATAAATCATAAACAACCGGAAAAATAGCTATAAAACCGGTGAAAATACAAACGAAACTGTTGAAAGGTGGTTAAACTTTATCCAGAGAGACCGAAAGCAAATAAATGAGGGGGTTTTCTTATCATTTTTACCCCATAGCAGACACCATAAATTGGAAAAAGAGAGAAGAGATTGACTGGGAGTGAAAAGGACGAGCAAATCGAACACAACTTGTCTCTAATCATTTTCAACACCAGGAAATTTCGCTAGCTTTGACAGATTGACAAATTTATGTTTTTTTGACTATCCCTAAACTCTAAACTTCTCTATTTTTTTGCGCACCCGGACATTTGCGTACCTTTTTTTCCGCACCTTGCCCATTAGCACACCTTTTTTCGCATTTTAAAAAAAGCTCTAAAAAGCTAATATTAATCAATTTCTATCCCAAAAGTTGTTTTTCTAGGTAATTTTAGGGCGTAGAATCGAAATTTTAACATATCAGAGCTTGTGGAAACAAACGGATGGAGTTATACAAAGAGAAAAATCGACAATTTGACAATCTGTGATTTGATCTAGCCGTTTTGTCTTTCAAATTGGTTCCACACGCTCTGATATGTCAAAATTTCGATTCTACGCCCTAAAATTACCTAGAAAAACAACTTTTGGGATAGAAATTGATTAATATTAGCTTTTTAGAGCTTTTGGTGCGCTAATGGGCAAGGTGCGGAAAAAAAGGTGCGCAAATGTCCGGGTGCGCAAAAAAAAGGTAGCATTTGTCCCATTCCCTCTTTTTTTTCGTATTTTATGCTCAAAACTGGAAACAAACATTTTTCTTTGTATTGAATAGGATTTGTGACTTGTAAACATAGTTTTAAATGCAAATCTAGGTAAATAGATAGGTAAATTTAAAGGTAGATAGATAAATTTTCATCAAAACTGTGCTTATGCAAAAGTTTCCTTTCTTCTTTTCTCTTTTGCTTTCTTTCTTTCTTTCTTTCTTCTTTCTTCTTTCTTCTTTCTTCTTTCTTCTTTCTCCAAACTCTGAAACTTTAGGCTGAAAGCTTACACTTTCTGCCACACAGAATTCTTCATTTTTCTCACAACAATGTTTTGGAAATAAAGATTTGAAGAACAGCAACTTGGGTACACTAGAAAAGGTGCTTTTCCATTTCTGAGCTCAAAGTACACCCCCGTAATCAAATTTAGGAAATAAATCAGCTTTTTCTGTGCATTTTTTCATTCGTTCGCTTTTTTTGAACCCAAACCTTCGCGAAACGATTCCCTTGCAATAAACACTAAAGAGAGAAAAAAAATCGACAGATTGCTCGGTTCACTTATCAATTTTTGAAATTCTTCTTATTTTTCCGCTTGTTTCCTTTCAGAGATTGTTTCATGCCCACTCACTCGTTTGTCTTTATTTCAAAAACCCCCAAAAAGATGAAATTTCTTGCACTTCCTTCCATGATAAAGTACCTTTTCCCTTCATCGTTATTCATTATCAATAATTTATTGAAAACTCTCTCTTTTTTCACTTTCTTTAAGCTATTTTCACCTCATTCTCTATGTCGATTTGTTTTTACTGAAATGAACACACTGTTTTTGCATTTTGTTACCCGAAAAAGTGATCAGCTTAAGCGTTGTTTTAAGTTGATTTTGTTTTTGTGATCTTCAACTCGTACAATGGACTTATCAACAGGATGGTTGGCCTTAGTTTAGCTTTCGCAAGGTCAAAGTGGTGCAGGATTGGTGTGGCAACAATTTTCCCGATCTAATCAACTTTAATGAGTGACCATCGATGTCCCAAGACTTGAATTCACTTGATTACAGTGTCTGAACAGTGCTTGAAGCCAAAGCTTGTGCAAAGCCGCATAAAACTATCGATTCGTTCAAGAAAACCTTGATCAAAACATGGGAAGATCTTGATTTGGTTTATTTACTTGCCACAGTGAACAACTTTCAACCCTAAAGTTTCAACTTTGAACTTCAAGCTTGTTTTGCCGCGTTTCTTATTTTTTCGAGCACTATATTTCGAGTAACCAAAAAGTATCTTACGTTGCAATTTGCAATTCGCATTTTTAGCCAATTTCTTCTTTTTCTTCAGCTCGAATTCCTCTTTTGAACAAATTTCTCATTTCAAACCCCCAGGAATATTTTTTGATTTGGCATCTATCAATCATTTTTACAAGGAGACACTCTCACATTCATTTTTCGCGTTTGTCTACTTTTTTTTTCTTTTTCCTTACTGATACTGGGCTCTGCTCAGTGAAAGCCTTTAAATTTCAACAATTCTTTAAAATTTTCTTTTAAAGCTTACAAGAATTTGCTTTTTGTGCATTTTATGCTCAAATTTGTAAGCAATTTCCTAGTACACTCAATGCTGCATTTTAAATCAGCTTTTTCTGTGCATTTTTTTCATTTGTTCGCTTTTTTTGGACCCAAACCCTCGCGAAACAAGCGGATTCCCTTGCAATAATCACTAAAGAGAGAAAAAATCGACAGATTTCTCGGTTCACTTATCAATTTTTGAAATTCTTCTTATTTTTCCTCTTGTTTCCTTTCAGAGATTGGTTCATACCCAATTCAGAGATTGGTTCACACAACATTAACTCATTTTAAATCAAAACTAAGAGTTCTGTGCGCTAGACAAATTGGAAATAAAGATTTGAAGAAAAGCAACTTGGGTACACTAGAAAAGGTGCTTTTCCATTTCCGAGCTCAAAGTACACCCCCGTAATCAAATTTAAGAAGTAAATCAGCTTTTTCTGTGCATTCTTTCATTCGTTCGCTAATTTTGAAGGTTCACACAGCATTAACTCATTTTAAATCAAAACTAAGAGTTATGTGCGCTAGACAAATTGTGTTTCGAGTTTTATGCGCAAAGAACAATTCTATTTTGTACTAACTGTCATTATCCATCAACCACCCCGTAATCCAACCAAATGAAAGCAATCAAAATGGAATTTCGTTTGAAAGGGTATTTTTGCTATGTCGAGTTTTTTTGTGTGTTAACTATTTTCTAGGTTTCTTTTCACTTGATTGAACACATTTTTCTTGTTACCGTATTTTCTGTAATAGTAGTGCGCACTACTACTTTTTCAACCCTCCTCCAGCCTGCACTACTATTATAGATTGCACTAATATTACAGAAAATACGGTATTTGCTTTATAGATCGATCAACTTTTCGCATAAAACTCGATTCTCTTCGATGAAATGAAAAATGAAATGGAAAATGACCACAAAACATCCGACACACAGGTAAAATATTGCACATATTGGAGAGAAAAAGCAGCTGAACTTTCACATTTCCAGTATTTCTACAAATTAATAGATTTGAGGAAAGCTAAAGACAATGAAAGACAACTAAAGACATGAAATTCACAAATTTCCCTTTAGTTGCCTGAAGTTTTACCCAATCAACGAAGTCGCTCGAATACGATGGGCTCCTATTTACATCTCGACGCCGACAAAATTCTCAACGCATATGGAAAATATGGAACATATCAAGTAATCAAGTATCAAATTGGATTTGTCAAGCAATTACCAAAAGAATTGAATAATAATTTTGTTCTGATCACTTTAACCAGTGATCAGAACCAGCTATCTGCGAAAGAGCAGCCTTCAAAACAAAATCTTCAGATGATTGTCTATTTTCTTACGAATGTCGTCATTTTGCTTTACGCGATGAACATGATGGTGATGCCATTTATCACTGAAGATCCAGAGTTTCTATGTGAGATTCCAAAGGGGAATAAAACGGTTAGTTTTAGAAATCTTTTCTAAATCTAAATCTACATTTTATTCATGTTAATTTTTCGCTTTTTTTGGTTAAAAGCGATTAGATTAAACTTTATTTTAACACTTTATTTAGCTTTATTTATTTCACTGATTTAGCTCTACGAACCATTTGACAAATGTACGATGAAAGATCTTAACGATTGGCACATACAGTGTGAAGCGATCCCAAACTCGAAATATGTCTACAATACAACGATTCATGAATCAATCGCTTCTGAGGTATTCGATTTGAATCATTTAGCACTTATCTAGTAATTATACTTTATACTTTCACTTATTCTTTCATAAATTTGAATTTAAACTTACAATACTTTCAGTTCGATCTCGTTTGTAACGATTACGAATCAACCGAGCACGCCTCGTCGATCTTCTTGTTTGGTGAGTTGTGTGTGTTGATGTGGAAAACATCCGATCACGAAACAGAAGGCAATTTTAATGGATTGCATTGAACGGAGATCTCTAGATCTCTAGATCTATTAGGGTGGTGCAAAAGAAACTGCCGATTTGACGGTAAATTCAAAAAAAAAAGATGGCGTTCGATGGTGACATGATCACAATGGAATATTTTCGCAAGATCTCGAGCAGATTGGCATGGATCGGCCTGAATAGCGTCCCTCAGCTTGGCCTCGTTCACGACTTCTGGCCTCGAACTTCTGGACTTCTGCTCGTAATCTTCCAAAGTCTCGTCTCCCTCTTGGAATCGTTGAAACCAAGTCTGACACTGCCTGAGAGACAAACTGCCATCACAGCACAGAGAGAACGATGCGATTCGGCAGCAGACTTTCCAATTTTGAAGTTAAACAGTAATGCTGCTCGTAGCAAAAACTTTTGCTCGACCATGATCTAAATAAAAAATATAAGGATTTTAAAATAAAATAAACAACAACCAAAAAATTCAAATGTCGAAATAAATAGCAAACAAATATGCGAACAAAACCATAATAAAATAATACCGTTAGCATCGCTCCTTTTCTGATAAATGAGAGCTGATACCCATCGGCAGTTTCTTTTGCACCACCCTAATAGACTTGTCTGTTTTGTCTGCTCGAATTTGTCTGATCGAACATCTGTCGGCCCTCTTTTTGCCGTTGACAATTTAAGGTTTTTCGTTTCGATTTTAACTATTTTGAATATCATTCGATGCAGAATCAAATTGCGCCTAGAATGATACGAAAATCAACTCTAAATAATAGGTTGATGCAAAAGTCTTTTCGTTTTTTTCGTACTTCTGTTAAAAATGTAACAAATTCACCAATTAATCTATAGTTTGCTCTATAAAAAAAAGTGTTTTTTTGTTCAATTTGCATCTTTTTAAATCGAATTTCGGTTCACTTTCAAGCAAATTCGAGAGTGAAAAACGCCTTTTTCGTAAAAATCTATAAAAACTCTACGGAAAAATTGGCTGAATGAATTTCTCTGAAATTTTGGCGAAATATCAAACTTTTTTTCTCTATCTTTTATCTATTGACACGAAGATAGGTTTTCTTTAGCTAAGGTGTCTAAACCGCATCATCGAGTTAGCCCTTTTTGACTACCCGACTTCATACTCTCAAGAAAATCCAGGCATAAAATATTTTTAAACCCGTTTTAATGTTATTTTGCAGAAAAATAATTGGTTTTTCTAATGAAATCAACCGTAGTTTAATTCGTGCATTTGTTGGCTTGAAACGGCAGACGAAAAGGAACAAAAACACTTATGCATCAACCTAATATAATATCCACACAAGGTTGTTGACAAAAATCGAAACCCCGCCCATTATAAGCGGGACTTAACCTTTTGCCTCATAATTTTGCGTGGATATTACATTTTGAGTTCATTTTAGTATCATTCGATGTACAATTTTATTCTGCATCGAATGATATTCAAAATAGTCACAATTAAAGGGTTGGTGCTGAGAAAAACTTTAAATTGCCAACGGCAAAAAGAGGAGCGATAGAGATTTTCGTTAAAAGTCTAGTGAGTTTATCGATTCAAGATATTCAGCCATATTAGCTTATAAGCTACGAGACAAATCTTTAAACTTCAACTCTAGAATTATAGGCGGAATGATCGCCTCACCTGTGATCACTCAACTCTCTGATATGATGGGCAGGAAAGCGATGTTCTTGGGAGCACTCTATTTATCTGTTGTCTGCAACCTCATTGCCGCTTGGGTGCCCAACTATTTTCTCTTTTGCTGCTGCGATTTTTGTGCGGGATTTGGAACTACGGTAAATTGATTTGCTACAATTTCGCCTCTTGTTTCCTCCAAGAGATATTTCTAGGGTTTTGTGAATACGGCTTTCATTCTTTGTACAGAATCAGTGTCAACCTCATTCCGCGATCTCGTCCCCGCACTTCCTGCTATATTCTGGGTAAATTGGAAGCATTATAAACCGTTATTTACAATCCTAAAGTAACCAAAGCTCAACAATTTACAGGTGGTCGGCTATTTGATGGCCGGAGTGTTCAAATTGTTCATCGCTAATTGGAGATGGCTCTATTTTGCGATCTCTATCCCTGGAGTGTTGACAATTCCACTAATCTGGTAAGTCTTGGAAAAGCTAATTGGGGAAGTTATCAATAAAATATTGTAAAAAGGTTGGCTAATCTTTCAGGTACACTCCCGAATCGATTCATTGGCTGATCACAAACAAAAAGGCATGCTGGAGTCAAAAAGTTTGTTGTGTTAATTGTCCTAAAAACGAATCATTTCTTTATTCAGATACATCACAGCAGCAAATCGAGTGAATCGACATCAACTCTCGTTGTCATCTTGCAAGTTGAGCGACGAGGAAATCTCTCTCGATGAAAAACCAAAGCGAACGATGCTGGACTGTTTCCAGCACAAAGGACTTTTCATCCAGCTTTGTCTTAACTCTTGGGTCTAGTAAGGAAATGATCTTTTGCGGATTTTAACGAAATTTTAGCATTGTAATGAGTGGGACTTATTGGGCGTCTTTCTCTCTTCTCCACTGAACTTTCTGATGAGAAGATGACCGGTTTTTCCTCTCTGGCTTTGTCGAGTTACCAGCTGGTGGGGAATTTTGATATTTTTAAACAGATACCGTAATTCTTGATTTTTCTATTTTTCTATTTTTCAATACCTTCAAAAACTATCGTTCTATTTTTCAAAGCTTACTTTCTTGTCTCCAACCAGTTTATCGTTGACCTTGTGACTCCAAATCGTTTTGATGCTTCCTTTGCATACTTAATGATTTCTAATTTAGTTAAAGCATCAAAAGCTCGACGCTTTCTTCCTTTAGATCTCGAAAGAGCATTGCTAACTGCATCTTCTGCATCGTCAGGCGTTTTGTTCTTCACCACTTGCATCTACTTTTAAACATCATCTTGATTCTCTTCTTGCAAATCCTCATTCAAATCGAGCATACCTAAAAAGAACATTAATAAAGAATATTAAAAACAGTAAACAAAAATAGGAAAGAAAAATAAGGTTTGGTATGTGCTTTGAAAAAAAATGTTTGGTATGTTAAAAAAGAATGTCGTTGTAAAGAAATATTCTTTGCGTGCTTGGTACTCTTCACTCAAGACACGTTATTTCTTGTTTCGAGATATCTGATCTCACTTGAACTAAGACACTTTTATTCAATAGCCGATTGACTCGGAATTTTTGGGCTCTCACTTGAGTAATTTTCACACAAGATCGACAATTGAATTAAAAGTGACGATAAAAACAGAAACAATTTCGTCCTAATTAGGACACAAACTTTCACACGATGAGAGGAAAGCAGTAAAAAAAATGAAAGATAACCAAAAAACAAATGAACGACAGATTGCCTTATATAGGCTTTAACACAAGATACTCAGCTAACAAGCTACAAAACAATAAATGATTTGGGGCGTTTAAACATGAACCGATTCCTCAATATTTTTCCAATTTTTAGGCTGCCAGAGTTAGGTAACTTTTTTAGTGGCTATTCACCACAGTCGTTCTATTTTTCAATATCTTCAAAAACTGTCATTCTATTGAAGCATGTCGTTCTAATAGAAGAATTACGGCATCTAAATCTTTATTTACCTATCTTGCCTAGCTACGAGATTATCATTATTGACTTTGTTTCGGGGAAAATCAAACCAAGTGTTTAGGTTTGGTTTGGTAAATTTACCTCCACAAAAACACAACCCAAGGTGCATTTAGGTTGGCATAAAGTGTAACAAATCTTGAGCTAGTTCCGAATTGAATTTGAGATTGCCAAAAGTTCACAAGGCCGTTTAGGTATCCTTGGCACTTGGCTAATGGTGGTTTTCTCACGGAAAGCTGTCTCCTTTTGGTCTTTGTTCCTCACCGGTGTCTCTCTATTGTTAGCCACTTATCTACCAGGGTAAACTCAAAACTCATTGACATCACTACCTTTAAAATTCCAGGATCCAAGAATTTTCTCATGATTTTCCCGCCAGCCGGTAAATGCTTTAACTCTATCGCCTGGGGCGTGCAAACCGTTGATTTTGTCTGAGTTGGCACCCAACGACTGTTCGGTGAGCTCATTTTGAGATAAATGGATATTCTTTTTTAAGCTTTGGCTTTTCAACTACAACACTCATAAGTTAAAGTAGAGTTTTTAAAAAGTCCAATTGGTTTTACCAGCTTTTCATTTCAGCAATGCTTTCTCTGGAGTGGTTTCTTTTCTCGGTGATATCGGATCGGTGATCGCTCCCTATTTGAAGCGATTGGTTTGGTTTTGTCTTGTAAATAAGACTTTGAAAATTTTGACTTAATCAAGAATTTATGTATTTTGAATGAATTTTCAGGAAGCCGTTCATGCGTCTGCCCCAAATCTTCTCATTGCCGTCACCTCTTTCATCGCCGCTTTCTGCATTCTCTTTTTGCCAGAGACAAAGGATAAAAAGGTGATTAAAAGGCTTAAGTAAAATTAAAAGTCAAGCCTTAAACGTTGATTTTTACTAACAATAAAACTAAATCTTAAACTCTAGCTACCCGAAGATCTCGACGCGTTCGATCCCGGTCCGCTTGGTCGATTTTTAGAGAAACGTGAAAAAGAAAAAACGAAAAAGACAAAAAGTAATGGCAAAGATGTGAGTTTTTTTTGTTACTTTATTAAATTGATTTCTCTTTTGCTTTTAAAATCTTGTGATAACTTCCAAAGAGTTTTCAGATAGAAGCACCAATGTTGGAAGCGATCCCGGAGGAGTCAAGCTCCCAGGAGAACACAAACTGAACTGAAATCTACTGGAATAGAAGAAGAGTTGAAATTTTTAGAAACTGTGTCCATCTTATTTTTTTAAATTAGAATTTATTTAGCTCTTAATTCTTCACACGAAGCAAAACCTCAAGCTTCACTCAATTTTCGTAGTCGTTTCCCCCAATCTTTAGCAAAATCGGGTCTACAAAATGCTCCAGTGTGCGAGTATTCTCTACGTTTCGTTTCCGGGGTAGGCTAATTTCCGCCATTTTATTTGCGCAAGTACGTTTGCGCAACAGGGTCATTGCGCAACTTTTTTTGACGTTTTTAAGGGACTGGCGCGAAAGCAGAGCGGTGCGCTTTCTAAAGCGTGGATGCGCTACCGTACCCCGCACAAAAATTCTCTTTTGCCATTCTTTTCATTTTCCTTTATTCCATGGTGGGATCGGAAACTTTGCGATACTTGCGCAAATTACCCTGTTGCGCAAATAAAATGGCGGAAATTAGCCTACCCCTCGTTTCCACTACGAAATGACGTGCCTTTTTTTTCTTTATGATTCACTTTCGACTTTTGATTGTTCTCTTGTGTTTTTTTGGCTGTGATTAGTTGCTTTTATGTGATAAGTTTTAGCGTGGTGAATCACTTGACGATAAAGCGTTTTCACCCTATTTATTATGAACTTTATCACACCAAAGCTCAAATCAGCAAAATTATCAGCATTGAGGATTAATTGAAAGTGTTTTACTTAGACATTGCATTGATCCCGGAATGGAAAAGTCTGAACAAGATCGAGTTAAAGTTTATTTCTAATGAAAAGCCAGTTTTCTGGCTCTGTGCCCTTTTACCCTTGAGTCTTTCATATTCACGTGGCCCCAGCTGGATTGGCTAATTGCCTGTCGAGGATCAATTTTCGGATTAACTGTTAGCTCAAAAGATTTCTTTCGACAAATAAATAATTGATTTCAAGCAGTTTTGCTAGAAAATAATGGAATTTCGTCAATATTTTCATTGCAAAACTGCTTAAAATCAATATTTGCAAGGAAAAAAAGTGCACAAAGACTCTTCATTTGATAAAATTTAGCTAAAGCGAGTGTTTTGCTGAAAGTTTTGTGCTGTGTATTTCCAGTTAACTTCAGTGTGTTTACGAATTTACTGTAACAAAGATTGCTTTCTGCTCAACTTTCCATTTTTTAGCTCCTACTTGAAGTGATTCCGAATTTGTTTTTCTGTTCCTATTTTGTTTTTTCTGTTCCTATTTTGTTTCTGCAATTAACCCAGTGTTTATCATGTTATAGTGCAGAGAATTCTCTCTCAAAAAACTCTCAAAAATCTCAGTTTGTTCAAAAAGATTACGAACATGTTAATCATCATTTTGAAATTTTCATTTCAACCAAAAATACTCCAAGAATTCATTCGTTTTCCCTTGAAAACAGAACAAATTTCCGTTGTTTACGGATTTTTCGATGAAATTTCAAAGAATCATTGTTGTTTGAGGCCTTTTCTCAACTAAAAAAGGGAAATGGCTAATTTTTTGGCGACAGGTCGTGTCCCTTTTTGGCTTTTTTTCAAAAATTACGTCGTTCTCTATTTCAACATCTTTTTCTGGTGCTCAAGCGCAAATGGAAAACAGTTCACACGTGAAAATTGGATTTACGCTAAAAAATCTTTCTCATTTAATAGACCTAATAAATTTACTAGTATTTTGAAAAGCCAAAAATTTGTTTGCTTTTGTTATGCCTTAAATAACATGAACTTTTTTGATCGAAAAATCACGTTTTAGTGATTTTTTGGTAGGAACATTTTGGGCCACCCTCTTCCCTTTTTGCCCCACGAGACCACTTTCTTTCCCTTAAACTTTCCCTATTGATTTTATTCCCAAAAATTTGTTTGCTTTTGGGATGACTTAAATAACATGAACTTTTTTAATCGAAAAAATCACGTTTTAGTCATTTTGATAGGACCATTTTGGGCAAAAACATTTTTGCAATCCTATCAACGTCAAAAGTATGACATCGATTCACTTTTGAATTCGCTAAATTTATAATCGTATTGCCAGCACAATAAAAATGATTTGACTATGTTGATTCACGTTTCCAGGCAACAATTTGGTGCGGCTGTGTGGAAGGCGTTTGTTTGGCGTTTGTTTGTCGACCTTTTTTGCCCCACGAGACCACCCTCTTCCCCTTAAACTTTTCCCCTATCGATTTTATTTAGAAATTCTCAGCCAAACCGTTTATCATTAAATTAAATTTAGTAAAAAAAGCTTTATGACTCAATTTTGGTTTCTAACGTAGCTTTAGCTTTCATAGTACTCGGCTCAGTGTTTAGATACCCAGCTCTTGGCCTGAAATCAATCTGCTTTTCATTTCTCAGTCATTGTCCACAAAAACACCTATTTACACTTAATTACTTCATACAGGGTGCGTCATAATTACCTTGAAATCGCTTTTACGAGGTCATAGATGTGTAGTGCAACCGATTCCAATATTTTTCTGAATAAACTTTTACATGGTTTCTCGTAGCGGTAACCATTATCTATGGATGTTTTCAGCTTTTTATAGGAGCTACCACAAGTTCAAGCACACATCGCGGGCGCAACTCATTTAAAGGTTCTTGGTCATCAAATATGCCAAAATTGTATTTCCTTTACAAATAAAGGCATATTTGCAAATTTTGGCATATTTGATGACCAAGAACCTTAAAATGAGTTGCGTGCGGGCCGATGTGTGACTCTGAACTTTGGTAGCTCCTATAAAAAGCTGAGAACATCAATAGATAATGGACACCACCGCAGGAAAGCATGACAAAAGTTTATTCCAGAAAAAAATTATTGAGATCGGTTGCATTACTCCTGCAACTATGACCTCGAACGACCAACTTATCGACCTTGCCAGGCAAATATTTAATCCTTTTCGGTGTCAAAAACAGATATTCCCTCAACTAGTTCAAAACTCTCGTCACACTAGCCTTTTCTCGCTTGCATCTTTTCACTTTTTATGCGCTTTTCCTCATTCTTATCCTGGAAACAAAAAAGCTATACTTTCCATTGCAATAAGATTTTTATTCAACAAATTCCCAGCCATCCGATGCCTTCTCTCATGAACGGCACTACTCATTTCTACGATATTGAAAAGATTTTTGAAGAGGTCAGTTTCGAGAATGTTTATCGTACTTATTTGTTCACTTTTCTGTGATATTTCTATAGTATTTAGACAATAATAATTAGTATTTTTTTTTTAAAAATTATCTTTTTTCAGCCCATACTACTTCAAAATACTACTAATTTCAGTCATCGCCAACTTTCCTGGCTGGTCTCTTGGTGCTTTCCCTTCCCGCTGCCGATTCTCATCCGTTTTTGTTTGTACATTTTGAATTTGATTGTACACGAGTGAATAAATTATCAAAGTTTATCAAATACACAGCTAAGACCCGTCATAAAAGTAATAGCACTTCGGAGATTGAGTGGAAGAGAAAATATTGAAAAAAAAAAATTGCAGAAAGTCACCAAAGTTCTAGCGGGATAAAAAAGTTGTTCTTTTAACCATCGGTGGATAGAGGAGAGAGTTGCAGAAAATCTCAACCCTGTCAGTGCTTCCAATGTCCCGAACTCGGGCGGTGTACTTGAGAAGACGCGTTTTCGAGAATCCTGAATGAGAATTCAACCTTAATGCTATAGATTTAATATTTCCTATTATTCAGGCATCTCTTTTGTACAAGCTACGCTTTTGTTTTGTTTACTTTTTCTTTTGGTTTCAAAAACTTTAGTAAAACTACTTATTGGATTCTCTACATAACAATTCGCTACTTTTAAAAGAAATTAGACATTTCCCCAGTTACTCATATGAAATGCCTACATAAAATCATATGAAATCCTACATAAAATCATATATGAAATGCCTACATAAAAATCATATGAAATGCCTACATAAAATCATATATGAAATCCCTTACATAAAATCATATATGAAATGCCTACATAAAATCATATGAAATCCCTACATAAAATCAATATGAAATGCCTACATAAAATCATATGAAATCCCTACATAAAATCATAAGGAAATGCCTACATAAAAATCATATGAAATGCCTTACATAAAATCATATATGAAATGCCTACATAAATCATATGAAATGCCACTCACCATGCAATCCAGATCCTCATCCATATTGGGGAAAAGAAATGAGAGGAACACGAGAGGGATTTTTGATCCTGGACATCATCCCGTAGCACCGGATTCCAGTTATCTTTGAGTCCGCACGAAAGAAGAATTCGGAAGAGATGAGTGGGCAAACTGAAGTTTTGATTGTACAGGATGACCGCAAAAGTATGGCGACAACTTTTTGGAAAAACTACCTGGGAAATATCTAATTTCTTTTGAAAAGTGGCAAGTGTAGAGAATTGCAGCATATAGAGAATTTGTAGTCCTAGTTCTCGTCAACATTTATCTACCAAAAACCTTTTCTAATCGGACTTAATTTTTAATGTGAGAAAAGCGATCAAATGACAGATTCGCCAGAGTGATCTCGGACTAAGGTTCATTCTCAAGCGCTTTTTAAAATGAGCTGTATGAAGTCGAATCGGGAAGGGTTTTGGTAGATAAATAATGCCGAGAACTCGGGCCACAATCTCTATATAACACTTGCCACTTTGTGAAAGTCATCAGACATTTCCCAGATATCTTTGCAAAAGTTCTCGCGCTATACCTTTGCGATCAACCTGTCCAGCCGACTCAGAAGTCTTTGATCCCACCCCCAAATAAAAGCCTAATAACAAACATTTCCCGACTCACCTTCCATCTCGTGTGTGCAGCCGGAGATCACCAATAGCGGCTCTTGATTTGATAGATATTCGTTCGTCAACGCGTTCAATTCATCCCAGACTCCTTAAACCCCATTTCTAACAGCATATTCTCAAGAACAAACCCTTTGAAAAGACATTCATCTTAACAGATTCCGAACATGTATCTTTGGATTCGTATCGACAACCCAACATGGGTTGTAGTGGTTTTGGGGGGACGCCCCATAAAATATACACCCTTCCATGTAGTCTTCGGAAATTTTTGATACACAACTCTCAAAAGAAAAGCTAGCTTATAGGTTGACTTAAAGTAGGACATTTTGTCATATTTTGTCACCTCTATAATATGGGCAATCGTTATGCTGTTTTTCTCAGTGGCCATCTCGTAAACGATTTTATCCACCGCTGACGCAAAGAACTGATTTTTGGGAGCTAAATTTTTTGGCATTAAACGAGGCATCCAAAATTAGGGGACCACCGGGATTCTAACTAAAAGCCAAATTATCGGCGGATAATATAATTTTTTGATGAAGTTTTATGCAGAAATGATTCTTCTTTTGCTTTGAGTTGTAAATTTGTACCTGAAGGTTTTCAGGGTCGGGCAATCGGCAAGCGCTATTCATTTTATCGAATCTACTAATTGGCACTCTGTTTCCAATTGGTTTAAACTTCTTTAGATTTAGCGAGAATCGGTCTTAATTCGTCCCTCCGGGGATGATTTTTTGTACTTTTATAAATGCCAACCATCCAACGTTTCTCTTCTTTCCAAAACGGTTAAATCGCAAAGCTCTTTTACACAGAATTGAACATCCGTCAAACTTGTTGCTGCCAAGTTTCTCGGTTTTTGATGACAAATCGCAGAAGGAGCATCACATGATTGGTAACCGAGACCGCATCCCTTTATTGTCGGTAATTGAAACGCTCTTCGGGGACATTCACTAAAGTTAAGAGTTTAATAGATTTTACAAGTCCAAATGGTCGTACTAAAGTGTGTTCTAAATTAAACTCTAAACTAAAGTAAATTTGCATGAGTAATTTTTTACTTGAGTAATAGCTCGAGCAAAATTGTCAAATGAGAAATGCGTTTTCAAAAAGTGCGCCTGCGCAAAAAGAAAGATAAGAGCAATTTTTTTGCGCAGGTTTTTAAAAAAATCATTTTTTTCACGCTCTGGCTGTCCCTCTCGTGGTATTCTTTTCTAGAATATAACATCTACTGGGCCTGCAAGCTGGTCCAGCCAGGCCAAGGGCTTGGTCTCAAGCCAGCTCCTCCTAAGTCAACGAACCCTCTGAATTCTGTCCCAATCGGTGCCTCCAGTATCATATCCCCTGTCCTTGGATTCTCCGTGTAATGGCACCTCGGTGGAAAGGTTTTCTTGTTAAAAAGAAATGATTTGTCCCATTGTCACATGGGAAAGCTTTTCGAATATCCGCTTGAGTTGTCGCTAAATTACCATTTCTTTGAAGTTTTTCTTTTCTTTCTTACTTACAGCTTCCCATCAAAATGAAATCGAGCTAAAGGACCGGTGATCATTTTTAGCTTTGGATCGAAGAGTTTCGTCTTCAAGTTGATGTGAGTGTAAAGATCAGCCATTCCTGTTAACATTTTCTTGGCATTTTCTTTACTTCTTAGAATCAAAACCATGATCAGAGAGTACAATGATGTTAAAACAGTCCATCAGATTCTTGTCGTGCAGTTTGTTGAAGAAACGCCTGAGCAAAAGTGATCAATTTCGGCAAGAGCGTCGCTTCTCTGAAAAGAAAATTGATATTGTTAGTGGATTTTGACACACAAAGCTTTCAATGTTTTAAAATATTGGGGAGATAGAGACAAATGGAAATTTTTAAAACAGTAATTCCCACCGAATTCCCTCTTCATTCATCCTCGCCCAATGTGAGGCCATCGTCCGGCTCGCTGGCAATGTAGACCATAGTGAGTGTCGGGTCGTCTTCGTCTTCGGGCTTTGATAGCCATTCAGCGACCCAGATTTCAAAGTTAGCTTTCGAATATTTCCTCGCGCACGATTTTACCTCATCAAATTTCAGTGGGTCAGTGATGTTGAAATTGAACGCACCCAGATAATCCGGCTGAAAATCGGGTGTGATTGCTGCATCCGATCCACATCATACACGCCGTTTTCTTTGCCAGTTACTCGCTTGTAGAGTGACCAAATCTAAATTTGAAGTCAATTACAAGTACAGTGCTCATTAGGGAAGGGTACGAGCTCAAGGTGAGCTTTTTTCTGTCCACCTAGTGCACTTTATAAAACGGGTATGAGGAATTCGAATAGGAATCAAAATCTGCCAAATGACTTTCCCTAAAACTTCAATTGAAAATTTGGCGTCAAAATGAAAAACAAAAAGCTGCACCAGGGACCAGACCCCTGAACCTGTGAGCGGAAAACTAATGCGTCACGTCCACTAGGCCTCAACGTACTCTTCTTGATTGGGAAGAGCCTTTTCAAGCATCCGTTGAGAAAAGGAGAAAAATACGATGGGTGGCCTAGTGATAACGCATTATGCTTCCGCGCCACAGGATCAGGGTTCGGTCCCTGGCGCAGCTTTTTGTTGTTGTTTTCTCGTTTTGATGCTAAGTCGAAGTCTTACACGTCTAGTCAGTGATGTCACTGTCATCTAATTTGCAGCACTGGTAAACCCTCACCGGATCTAGTTGAAACAGCCTTGGTCGCTGATTGTGTTTACCGTCAAGAACCTTGTCTGAGATCGCTGGACTCATAGACCTGAAAGCCTAGATATTCTAAAGTTTAAGGTGCAAGTTAAGCAAATAGGAAAATAGAGTTTTAACAACAAACATAGTGTTATCGACTAATCCGTGATGTCCCGGATAAACTCCAGTGGCAATTGTGTAGTGATTTGGGAAAGTTTTTGTCGGATAGGACTGGAATCACAAACTAAAATCCGAGCTTATGATTTGGAAGGCTTATAGAGTATGATAATAAAATTAGCTAAAGCCTCACTTCAGCCGTCGTTCCGCACTTCTTGATGTGCTCAAGATTTTTCACTGCTCGATCTCTGATCGTACTCTTTCGAGAAACCATCAGAACGAGATCACTACGAGAGGCTTCGTTTCTCGAAAAGAAATAGTTTTCGAGCTAAATGAATGCAGATTTCATTGAACCTTCAAACGTCAAATAGACGTCAAACTTTGTGTTTATTCTTGACTCTGTACGAAGAGTGAGCTGTTTTAAAGGCAAGAAAACTTGGATCTATTTTTGTTTCCCTTTTTTTGTTCCCGGATCCACGATCCCTGGCACAATAATCAATCATCGACTCACCCCGGGCATTACATCCATTTTTCCCATGCTCCTCCTTCTCGATACCATCGATACGGGTCAGGATCGACATATCGGACTAAAATTCTGATTGGCATCTAGAAACAAAAACAACATTATGTGGGTTTTCAAAAGCAAAACACGGGGTACCCAGGCAACTCACCTCGGGAGATTACTCTCAGGAAACGACCTTGGAACGGATCGAATTTAGAATCTGTTTTCAAGTTTGGAACTAGGGCAGATCAAAACTGCCACACCTCCGGGACTCAACCCGGCACTTCCACTTACCGAGCAACAATAAAAGCTAACCTTACATACACCACAACGAACTGGCTTCCATTACTCCAGAGAGAATTAACTTTCAATTTTTCTATGATTCTAAAATTTGACTTACTTTTTCCGTTGGTGGTATGTGGTATTTGCCTTGATTGATCACCGGTAGATCCTCTTGTCGCTCCTCGAAGTTCACTTTTTTTACCGCCTCCTCCCGGAGCTCTCATTTTGTCCAGAAATAATTCGTTTTCCTGTATCATTATCGTTTGTTTTTGATCCTTCCTTCCTTAAAACGACTCTTGATGGCTTGATCGCTGGCGGTAATCTAAACGAGATCTTTGTGTGTACACTTTGCCAAGGATGGGAACACACTTGCACTAAAACTTTGATACTTTAAGATCTCTCTCACCCCCCTCTCCTTCCATTTCATGCGTACTCATCTCCCGATGGAACTCCATCGCCCGTCTTTTGCTTATTATTATTGTTGCCATTTAAAAGTAAACCAACGGTTCGGAAATTGTTGAACCCTTGCTTCATCTCCTGAAAGAAATTATGATGGACTTAGAGAGTAATTTTTGATTTTAAAACCCAACCATCAATCCCTTTGTCTTCGCCTCTATACTCTCATAACGGCTATTCATTTGGCTTAGCTTTGCTGCGAAAACGATGCAAAAGATGAGAATGGCGAACGCCAAAACTGCAACCAAAACGAGCAGAAAGTAGACCTGTAAAAAGAAAATCTTAAAAAAGAAATATAAATAGTTTTAGCAAAGAAAAACTTTGAATTCACTAACCTGACAAAATTTCAGTCTCAACCACGAGCGCCGTGACTCCTCTGGGGAAATCTTTTCTGAAAAAAAAAACCCGTGGATACTCAAATCAAAGTTATCATCAATTATCAATCTGATAAGTAACACTTATATTTGATAAAAATCCCCACTTTAAACTAAGGTAAGCCACTTTAAAAGTAAAGGATTATAGGAATACAACTTATTTAGGTGCTTTTTGTTAAATTTTACTACTAGATAGTTATGCTAGTTACTACGTACACTACTGGACAATGAAATATGATATTTGAAAAAAGATCGTCACTTTCTTTAACTCCCTTGTCTTTACCGTATTTCTAAATATTAATATTACCATTGTGTAGCCCTTGAAAAGAGCTTTCAGAAAATTTATAACACTAATAGTTTAAACTCAAAGACAAGGGAGTGGACGCGCGAAAGTGGTGATCGCTTTTCAAATATGATATTTCATTGTCCAGTACTGTAAGTTACAATAAAGTAGATACTGGTTTATTTAACCAATTCAATCAATCCAGTATTGTTTAATCACAATACAGAAATAAATCCTATTGAAACCCTAATCTAAACTACCCAATGCTATAACAGAACTTGGAATTCTTAACTTCAGCATAACTCTTGACAATATTTCATGCAATTTCTTCAAAATTCACCAATGTTCACATCATTTACATCATTTGAGGCTATAGTTGTAGCAAAATTTGGCGTCTTTGGAGGAGATGGGGATCATCGGCGTCTGAAATTAAATCAATTTTCACTTAAAAATTGAGAAAGTTTAGAAATTATTGGGTAGGTGAATTGAAAACTGCCGGCTATTGTCATATGTCAAAGTTTGAGCACTTTCTTCAAAAGAAACCCATTTTGGTGTCAATGGAAAAGTTGTAGAGAATCAAAAATTGAACTTATATCCAAATTTTCAGAACGATTCAAAAACTAGTTTTCAAGAAATACGAAATTTACGACTTTTCACAAAATTTGCATTTTAAGCGAAACTACTAAGTGTATCTTTTTGGATATTTGACTATAAGTCTAATTTTTGATTCTCTACAACTTTTCTATTGACACCAAAATGGGTTTCTTTTGAAGAAAGTGCTCAAATGCTCAAACTGGGACATCTCCAGTCCTCGATTTTTGAGTCTCACCCTTGTCTCACACACAAACCAAAATCCTACTACGAAAGAGGGATCCGCAAATTGCCTGTAAAATGGGCAGAAGTCGTCAATAAGAATGGAAATTATTTGGAATGAGTTTATGGTTTTATGTTGAATAAATTTTAGTTCAAAGTCCCGCAATTTTCAATTCACCAACCCAATAGTTTAAAGCTTTCAAGCTTATAAGAAAATCTTCAGTTTTGACGCATCTGTCAGCCATCTTCAAAGTGGATTCCGAAGAAGAGATCAAAAAATGGCTGACAGATTGATTTGCGTCAAAGCTAAAGATTTTCTACACGAGAGACATTCGACTTCTACCCAGTAAAATGGACTCAAATCATCTAAGCTTTCATGCTTTCTCAAAAAGTTACCAGCACTAAAAGAGCTAAATGAGAGATTTTAAGAAGTAAAGGGTAAAGCAAAGATTTTGAAATGATTAAATTTATCTCTTCCCATCGAAATATTTCTAAAGTTTCAGATAAAATTGAAACTGATTAAGTGAAAAGTTTTGAATTTAAATTCCCCATTTAGTATTTTGTGACCTCTCCCTTTCTTTTTCTTCCCAATGAACTTTCCCACCCCTGAACCCCTCGTAGCCACAATTTTGCACAAACATTTCAAAAGATCAAACTCAATCTAAAAAAAGGCCAAAGAAAAGTAAATGAAAAATTCGAAAGAACAAATAGGCGCGCTTTTCAGCTTTCATCTGTTCTCTTTTCAAATGACGGGATGATTTTTGATTTCTAAAGGCTTTTCTGAGTCTGAGTTGAAAAAGTTGTAGAAAGTTAAGGAAATTGGTAAAAGAGTTTTATTGTAGCTTCCATTATAAAGGTATGAAAAAGGTGAATACCGTATTTTCTCTAATAGTAGTGCACCCAGAGCGTCGCCTAAATTGCTCAAAATCTCGAAAAGCGCTTATCAGAACCTATCGATTTGGGGTCGGAAAATGTAGCTGATGATGAGATCTTGTGGGAAATTAGAGTGTTGAGCTTCTAGGAAAAATTGGAAACCGTAAAATAGTCATCAACTCGGCTCGCTGGGGTGCACTACTATTAGAGAAAATACGGTAGATAAGATTTTGTAGAAACAATTAGCAAAATCAGCTAGTAGCAAGGATTAATTAATTGCTAAACTTGCAGTCGACCTTTGGCTTAATTTTATTTCTTTATTATTATTTTGATCTAAATTTTTTTTAATGAAACAAAAAATCTTCAAATTAAATGAGCATAAACAACTTTAGATTATCATTGTTTCTTAGGGTTTGGAAACTGATAACATGGAAATTGATAGATGACGGTCAAAATATTTAGCAGCACATGCTCACGGATCGAGCTCCGAATTAGTTTTTTGGACTGCTGCAAAAGCTCGAGAGCTTTTGAGATTGTGACGGGAGTCAAGACTTGGGCATTGTGACGTGTTTGACCCTAAACCCAAGAAATGACAGCACAACAAAACCTAAACCCAAATGTAGACCCAATACGTGTAGACTATTTGTGCGATTTTTTAAAAATAATTTTCCACATTTTGTACAGCTTTCTTTGGAAAAAAAACTTATTTTATAGGAAATCTTTCTGCAAATCAAGCAAATACACATTCAAGGAAGAAAACTTTAAAGTAAAACAGAGATTTTGAGATGCTACATAAAGATACATGAATGAAAGAGCCACATAAAGCTATCGTAAACACCAAAAATACGAAGCCATTAAGAATGAGAAAAGAAACTCATTCAAAAGCCTTCATGGATATTTCCTCTAAAAATTCAAAAGGTTTGCTCCTTTAAATCTTTCATTTTTTTTGTTTAGCCAATAAAAAACCAAACCCAATTTGAAAATTTTGAACTTTAAACAAAAATGTTGAAGATACATTTAAAAATGCCATTTAAAATAAAAAAAAAAATAAAATGCCAAATGCCAATTGAATTTTAAGGTTTTGAATCATAAATGTTTCTGCAAATAGATAAATGTTATTTAGATAATTTCCTATGCCTTTTTGAAAAAGAAATTATAAAAACAGCTCTAAAATGATCAGCTAAAATCAGCTAAAATGCATTCGAAATAATCGAAAGAAAAGTCAGTACTTTTTCTGAAAAAATCAGCTCATATGATCTTAGGAAACGGTTATCAAACTTCACGAAATGAGCAAGAAAGCACGAAGAACGATTGTAAAATTGATATAGTATTGGTCATAGAATCGTTCTTTTTTCCCCCTTTTCTCGATCTATTCCACCGGGCGTGACCGACCGATGACCATTGCCGAGCAACCCTTCCCCTCCTCTTTGTCCACCATTCTTTTTTTTTTTGCTGACTTTAGCCCCAGCCTTACTAGCAGCTAAATAAGGAAAAGGATACGATGAACCAAAGAAATAATATACAACAAATGAACACTGAACAAGAAACGAATTTAGTAAGATAAAGAACCGAATTTAGTAAGATAAAGAACCGAATTTAGTAAGATGAGGAACCGAATTTAGTAAGATAAGGAACTCGCTAAACCTTCCTTTCTCTGATGATAATTCGAAATTCAAAAAACTTTAAATCATTTCCAAAATATCACTATCAAAAGATCAAACACTTTGAGTGAGTAAAAACGAGTAAAAATGAGTAAAACTGGAAAGTTACCAAGTAATCAAGTAATAAAATATCAATTGAAGCACCGCGTAATAAAAAGAACTTATATTATCTAAACAATTGATGATAAAGAGCACTATTTTGTCTCTTTGACAGAAAAACAAACAACTGACACACTTATCGATTATTTTTTTTTTGTGAGTCTCTTAATAGTCAATCATTTTTGATGAAGCAATGTCATTTTCTTGGAAAAAAACGATTTTGTAAAGTTAAGAGGAAAAGAAACGAGAAAAAAAATCTCAAAACGATCACCACCGTTTTTTTTTTTTTGAAATTGACTATAAAGACACCCAAAAATAATCGATTATGAAAATTGCCGTCAAAAAAAAGGCGAAAATGCTTGACAGAAACATATTTTCTCTCTAAATTTACTTTAAAGTTTAAAATTAAATTGTTTTTAAACCTTTATAAGATTTTCTAAATTTTCAAATTATTTAAATATCACTTACTCGTTCATTTGGCATCATTTGAAGCCCAACAAAATTGGGACTGACTCGGCGTCGAATCTTGAGTAAATCTTTAAAAGAATAAAATAATTAAGAATAAAATAAAGTATATAAAAGAAGTTATTCAGGTATGTGAACAGTTTTTCGGATGAATTCTCCAATTTCATACTAATCTCAGCAAAATTTTTAGTTCTTTGCGGAGAGGCATGCCCGGAAGCGACCGAGAGATGAGACGAAAAAAACTGATAACGTGTATCAATGGGGTTAACTCTAAAAATATTTTTACTTCAAAAAGTGATGCTTCAAATGAAATTAGGATAATTTATTAGAAAAGCCCAATATATTTGTTTCGATTGAACTACCAATAACAATATCTTGCAATTTAAACCATAATTAGTCTTGGAATGTTGGCGAGATTTTTATCTTCACAAAACATAGAGTTTATCCCAAGCCGGCGCGTCATTTTGAATCCATTTCTCGGCATTTTCCAGCTTCGATACACATCGTCCAATGGGTGACTCACAGGTCTTATCACTGAAATTTTAAGACCAATTATTTGTTCTACTATTTTAGACTAACGGTAACTTTTCAACAAACTTTAGAAAACAGGAGCAAACTTGATTACGAAACTTACTCCTTTGAACAAAGATTATATCGTTCAAGAATCGTTCTATCATAGTCTGGAGTTTTGTCCCCGAAAATCTCTTTCACTCGATCTCGGATTCGATTGATTAGCTCAGGATCCTAGAATTTTCTTAGAATTGTCTCTAACCGATGAACCTTTTCAATCAAGGGAATATTCGGCAGAAGAGAATCGTTTCCAGAATCTTTCTCGTAGTTGATCTTGAGATAAATGGCATCCTTCGAATTCATCTACATTTATTCACAATTTCTCAAAGTATCCTTCAAAATACCGATCTCATCTTCTTATTCAAGAAAAACTTTGTGACATCGGTTGAGGAAACCTCACGAACGAATTCATTTGCGTAGATCATCTACAAATTTTGAAGTGGCTTTTGAATCTAATTGGCTTTTAAGAGCATATCAAGACAACACTCGAACCGTACTTTGTGCTCGAGCGAACGCACGCTCCCTAGTGCCTTTGGTTCATTTGTCCGAAAGCCCTTTTGCATTTCCAGTATGCCAGAGGGCTTGCGTCTTTCAAAAGCACAAAGTAGGGACAAGATTTTCAAGTTTACCCACCTTTTTATCCCAGGATTCTCAAAAAGTTGCCCTTTTTTCAATCCGTTGACTGCTTCCGAAAACGATTTTTCGCGAATTTTCGATTCAAACGCAAATCCAAAGCGAGCGAACACAAAAGCGCCTAAAATCTATGTGCTCAACTCAATTTTTCTGTTATTTTACCAGCTGTGACATCTCTCTCACTTTGGTACTCTAATAAATCGAACAATGATATGTTTTTCTTAAATTTTCTGTTAGTTTCAATCGAAAACTCTCACTTGACATAGAAAATCTCATCGAAATCATTGTAAGATGTGTATTTCGTTTGAGATAAATACGAGCAACTTTGAGCCCAAAGATTTTCCATTGTGTTCCCGATGAGAGGATTGAAAGCAAGCTAGAGAGCTACGGATTTTTGAGCAAAGCTTTTTTTACCTGTGGATCGTTTGCCGTGATTGGATACGGGATATCGACAAGACTCTGAAATTAACCAAAAAGCTCTGATGATGTTTAAAAGTCTCAGGCTTAGACGCAAACTCTTCAGTGCTTTTATTTCTGTTTTTACGGAACAAAGGTAGAAAAATACAGAACCTCTACGAGTTTATAAAAGTCTTTTTGTAAAGCTCAGTGAAAGCCAATCCACCTCTCAAAACTCACCAAATTTCTGTAATGATCGATCACTTTCTTCACGTCACTCGATACAAAATTCCACGCTATCAGAAATCTTGTGTACCCGATTCCCCGTGCCAACTCAAAATAGAGAAGCAAACGGCGCCAATCGTTGAACCTAAGCAAACGATTGTATGAATGTAAAATGTCTATCTAGTAAACACAAAGATCTAAACAACCCATTGCTCTTCGTTCTAAAGAACCAATTCTAAAGAAGAAAGTCAACACAAAGGTCCAAAGTGATTACGTTTCTCACCAAAGCAATGGCTTCAAACAAGAGGTGATCCCATTTTCTTGAGCTTCCGGTCCAAACATTTTCCTCACTCCAATTTTTGCGTTCACATAGCCGCGTCGCCATTTTTTCACCGTTATCTTAATTGAGTTTTTTTGGATTAACAATTCTCGAGCTTTGCATGATTCCTCGAAATCTCGTACTTCTTTAACATCGTTGAAATATTGGTACTTTCTCGTCGTGATATCGATTGAGGTGTACTTGCACTTGCTTGGGCAAGCTAAACATTCTAATTTTACAATTTACGGATGTTATGGATGCAATTTTCCAATCCCTCAAAAATTCCTAAAAAAATTCAAAAACCCCACGCGTTGTTGGTACAATCCAATGGATGGGAATCGCCCGATCGTCAACATAAATCAAAATTTCGTCAATAAAGCGACTCTTCAACCTTTCGCAATTTCCCAATAAATTCACGCGGATTCGTGGTGAGTCCTGTGACCTGAATATTCAAAAAGTTCACGTTTTATGAAAAGAGTGAAATCAATTAAATATTTGATGTCACCGTGCAAATTTTGCAAAAATTTCTCCTTTAGTGAGCCAGAGTCAGAGACATTATTGACGGTTTTTTGTGTGTTAAACTTTTTGGTCTCATTTGAATGGGATTTTACACGAATTGAGACCCGGAACTGTAGTTTATTGCAAGCAGGAATCAGAATTTTCGCTTTTTAAATCAAACAACTGCTTTCCGTTTTTTAAATCCCAGTATTCTATATATAGTACATGTAAACAATGAACTAAAAGCCAGCCAGGCCTGGAAAAGCTAGCAGGAAACTTTCAATCACATCCTAGGTTCCAAGCCGGATCTGATCCTAGAGCTGACCCGATCCTAACTTCTAGTTGGCCATTCTCTAGCCATTCGCCAAACCAGACTAACTATAGATCAGGCCAGCAGTAAGCCAGAAACAAGTTGACCTGCTGTATCACTAGTCTTACTTTTTGTGCGCCAGGTCAAGTCAACCCAACGCTAATTTTTGGGTGGGATTCTCTAGGCTAGCACCAGCTTTTGGTAATCCAATGGACACGCCTCTAATTGTAAGTTCCCTTTTTAGAAAGTTAAAATGAGATCAATCGTAAAAATAATGAATATATTCAGTTCGTTTCACGTAAAGTGCAATCAATAACATGAATTGCATTGGTACTGAGCAAAATGAAATGAAAAAATTCAGCAAAATGAAAAATAAAACTGGCAAAGGTGTAAAAAAATCGACTAATTTCGGAGCTGACATATCGTAACGCTTATTGTACCTGGTTTAATTAAAAAAGAAATCGATTCCGTTTTAAAAAGTTTATTGACACCTACCGATAGTCCATGAAAGCGTTCCACACAAACAGATCATCGCCTTTTAGAGAGTTTCGCGTTGTTGTAGTTGTTGGTTTTGAAGGAGAAGCTTTTGTGGAGTTTACGAGCATGGTCTTCTCAATGCCGATCGCGAATCGCGTGGCAAAGCTTGTAGCCAGCGTCAATTGGAACGGGCCCGTTGACGGCAATTTGAGATACAATAGACAGAAGATTAGCAGAGCAATTAAAAGCACCTAAACGATAGGGTGAAATGTAAAGAAGCAGTCAGTGCTGGCTAATTTTCAGGTTAAATCAAGCCAAGCCAGGCCAAAGTTGGTATTCAGGCTAAACTTAGCCGGAGTTGACTTAATCTTCAATTTTGAAATTTCAAACCATTTTACCAAGTTGAAAAACGAGATAATGGCCTTTCGAGGAACCATAGAGAGACCGATTTCGTAGATTTTTGAGAAAAATGAGACGTTTTAGGAAAAACATGAAAACAATGGTTTTGTTGAATAATTTACAATCCTTTTGCGCTCAAAAGTGTATTGTTTTTGTCCTTGTTCTTGAGATTTGTAAACGAAACAATGGTAATTCACAATTGCAATTTATTCGATGGACAGTAAATGACAGTAAAATTGAGGCTAACTCCCGTAGATGAAACATCCCGTTTATGGAGCCACGGTCGAGGGTTCCTCGGTGGCCCATGGACCTTCCTGAAACAGGATTTTGATGGAATCGTCATGAAAGTATTGATTGATTGGCTGATTTTCACTATCTTCTTTAGCTTTAACTAGTCCCCTTACCCATTCGCAGATCATTTGAATCGCGTTGTCACAGAGCATCTGCTCTTGCACCCATTGTTCCTTTGAAGTCCCTTGCGATGAGGCAACCTCCCAGCCGCTCGACCAGCTGACCCAGTACTGAAAAGGGAAATAGCAATCACATTGAAAGTTTTTGTCTTATTCTCAAACATAACTTTATCAAAGTCTCTGCAAGTGCTTTCAAGCCAGAAAGAAACCATCCAATAAAATAAGTAGCAATAAAACTTAAGCATTACTTTTCATGCCAGACTGTAGTACTGTAATGTAGATGCAAGATGTAGAGGATTCTAATCTCGAACACTAGCCTTAGAACTGTACTAGCACTAGCTACGGTACAGTAATAAGCTAATTCACCTCGCTCCACGCGCCCGTTCCCCACACTCCGTGGCAAATGGCCATGTACTTGATGACGAACTCGCACATATCCTAGAAATTCTATGACTTTTTACTCGATTGTAACTCACTGATCCGGGCTCTGATGGCACCTCGTGGCTGTTCGATTTCTCGTGGCTCTCGCCTGAGGCTTTGTCCTTGCACTAAAGCGGCTTCGTTTCTATAGTCCCAATCTTCTCCTCACCTTTTCGTATTTCTCATCGAACAGGTTGCACATCTTGTCGTCACCCTTGAAGCTCACCCAATACATGCAAGTGTACATGAACTCGTCATAGGTGATTGTGAGGGAGCCCCTTGGGTTTCTTTCGGGGTGTCCGGGTGCTGGAACGGGGAAATTTCGTCATACTACATTTGCATTCAAGATACAAGTATTGCTCCTGTGAAGAGCCGGGTATTTCCTTCTCTTTCCCCTTGTAGTTCCTATCTCTTACATCAACAACGATGATCATGTAGTCAATGAAGATCGACATGCACTCGTAGACTTCGGTGAAAGTCATTGTCTCGAACGTGACGTAGCCATTGAGCTAAAAAGTCTAATTTTAGATCTATGCCACCATCAATCCTGCCACTTTCATTTCTTCCCGCTTACCTCAAAGTACCATGACATGAAGCACTCGAACGTCTCACGGTATTCGACATTACTGCAGAAGGAGACGAAGAAACGGAAGATGTCCCAAGTGCCGACCGATTTTTGGGGTGTTGGCTGAAAGTTTCAGAATTTTGTCAGGAATTCTAGAGTTAGGTGAATCTTTCAAAACTTTTTTGCGGTTCACTTACGATGGGCATCTCGGTTGGAGTGCATCCGCAGCACATTGCCTCCAAGAAAGTGTAGATGAGCTCGATCCAGTCGATTGACCAGGCTAGATATTTCATTTGTTCTCGATACTACGATCAACCACAAGTTACAAATCGATTTTTAAGTTGTACAAATTTTACTGCATAAACTCACTCCAGATGAACTCTCCCCAGCATCCGCAATCCCAGTCGAGTGAGAAGAAGATCGCCTTGAACTTGAGGATCCACTAAATAGCATAGTTATTAGTTAAGAATCTCGGGTAGTGATGGTCAAAACAATAACTTGACTTTAAAGTCATTTAGTTTTAACTCATTCACCTGAACCCAGAAGAAGGAGTCCTGGAAACCGCACTCAACCGCGATGAATTGGAAGAAGATGAAGATTCCGGTGTTGGATTTGATCTAAACCGTCATTTTGCAATGAAAAACCAAATACCCTTTTACCTCATCACAAGTCGGGGCAACAGTTGGCTCGTCTCCGTCTCCAGTTTGATGGCTGAAATCGTCACCGGTGGGGAAAGAGCTCGAATACTCGGCCATCGCGCACGCGCATTCATTGAGAATCGTGTAGTCGCCGACGAGCCAGACTTCGATGGCGAAGTTGACAAAGAACTCCCAGCTGTCCTCTCCCGCTGGTGGTTGTGGGCCTTCTTCAATGACTGGCTCATAGGTGGAAGCCAACTCGGCTGGTGGGACGCAGTCGGGTCCTCCGCAAGTGCCCAAATCGCGCGCACACTCGTGCGTGGATTTCACAAAGTGCTTAGCCTTGTCCTTGTTGCTCGAATGGGGGTGCTTCTCCTGAAATGAGCGTTTGGAGAGCTTCTAGTTTTAAAGCATTGCTGTCTATAGTCTAGAATGGTAAAAGATCATTGTAAGAACTTTTTCCTGAAAATGGGCTTTCGATTCAAAACGAAAAACTCATCCATATTCCCACCTTGTGGCCACGGCACTTAGTGTTGAGCGAGTCTCTCCACGTCTTGTTCACGTAGAGGAAGCCGATGAAACGGAAGTACGACTGAATAAAAATGACCTCAAGTACAGTTAAGAATCACAAACAATAATGTAGGCGCACTCCTCCTCGGGAGTAGAGATCACACATGTGGCCTCCGTTGGAACTCCGGTCGTGAAGCCAGTCTCTCCAGTCGTGAAGCCAGTCTCACCAGTTGACATGGCCGTCTCTCCAGTCGTGAAGCCAGTCTCTCCAGTCGTGAATCCAGTCTCACCAGTTGACATGGCCGTCTCTCCAGTTGAAAATCCGGTGACTTCCTCGGTGACCATCGTGGAAACCTCGGTGATCATGGTGGGTGCTGGAGTCTAAAATTGGGAACTCAAGCACATTGCTGTTTGAATAAACTAGATAAAAGCTACCGTGTACGGGAGGGTCCAGTGGCAGCAAACGTTGAAGAATTCGGTGATCCAGATCTCGACCTCGGTCCAGGTCACGGTCACCTTTGTTCCGCAGAACGCTTCCCATCTGGCGAAGAACTAAATTAGCAGCTATTTTTGGTAAGGGTAATGATTTAGAGGGTAATGATTTAGAGGGTAATGATTTAGAGGGTAATGTTTATAGGGTAATGAAGAAAGCCAGCCATGTCAAGGCGTGTCAAACTCTCTCTACCTCAACGTAGACGGTCCACGAGATGAAACCACCCGACGTGGCGATTTGTTCCATCATGTAGGTGTACATCTGCACGTTTCCGGTCAATGTCACGGTGCTGGTGATTGGGGAAATGTTGAGGATGTTCTTCATGTAGATTGTGATGAACCACATGACTTGCTAAATTTGGAAAAGTTTCTCAAGCCATCCAAAGCTAAACCTCGTTCTGTTGATCGATAAGCTGGTAGATCATCTCGACGCACGGCTCGACCATCTCCATTCCACCGCATTCACCACTTGTGGCAACGATGGAGACATCTCCGCCCTTGATGATGCATGACTGAAAGTGTTGTTAAGGATTTTTTGCCAAAAATCTCGACACTCACGTCCTTGATCACTTTACTCCATTGAATCTCCTTGGGGGCGCCGGGGCAACTGTAGAAATAGTTGTAGAAAGCGGTGGCAAAGCTGATACGAGTCTCTTCGGTGGAGAAGATGTAGCCGATAACTTCGTAGTATTGTTCCACAGAGCAAGTGACGCTCATGTCGGGTGAGCACTGAAAAGACGATTGTCACTATAGAAATCTCAAAGCATATCTTTAGCTGAAGAGTCTTAGCTGCAATAGCCCCAAGAACATCCACTTTAATAGCTGCAGTAGCTTTACAACACTCACCCCAGGCACGAGCATTTCCGGGTACATCGAGTAGTAGAGACCGAGTTGGACGCATTGCGTGTTCGTCTGATCGATGGCGCCTTGGCTCATTCCGGTGGTGACGAATTGAGTCCAGCACGAGTCCGTCTGACAAAGCGCATCTTGAGAACAATCTTCCAAAACAACCAACCTGGTTCCACACTTCCGATTCCCAGGTATATCCTTGGTACTCGTAGCACGCGAACACCTTCTTGGCTTTTTCCTGAAAAGACAAAACTCATCGAAATTTCAGGGTTCGAATTTTGCCATTTCCAATCTCCACCTTTTGCGAGTCCTCCAATGTGGCTGGTGGAGTTGGTGCCGGGGGTGGTGCCCGTGTAGGTGAAGGTGTCATATCCGCAAGAATCCGTGTATTGAGTGACCATGTCGATGTAGAAAGTATCCGTGTATTGGAGTCCGTAGAAGATCCACGACATACCGTACAAATAGTTGATGTAGCCGTAGGTGGGCTCCGTGGTCACGAGCGTCAACTCTCCCTAAATATAGAAACGATTCGAAAACAGCAATGAAGTCCTGTTAAAGGCTTTGATTCTTTTCTTCAACCTTTTCGTAGCTCTCGAGCAGAGTGATGAAGTAGGCGGCGGTCAACGTCTCGTTGTTTTGATCGGTGGTCGATGAGCCGTTGTACCACACATCGTATTCCTGGAAAAGTCGTCTTTCTGGTGCCAAGTTTCCAACAAACTAAGTGTATGAAAATTTGAAAATGCCTCTTACATAGGAGATTGTCCAATAGGCGGTCTCAATCGAGAAAATCACCGACACATGTTCGATGAAAGTCGACGAGTAGTCGCCTCCACCGTAGCCACACTGAAAATGGCATAAAGGAAAAGGATATCTAGTAACCTGTTAGTACTTTTCAGATAAGAATCTGTTATCTAGACAATTTTACAAATGAAGGAGTGTCTGATTAGATTGGATTCGTTCAATCAAAACTCACCCCGAAGACGGCAAGAGAGGACAAGCCCAAAAGGCATGCTAAACTTAGTAGCCTCATTATTACCTGAAAAATGAATTCTAGAGTGAATTTAGCTGTCAAAAACATTATATAAGCAATTTAAATGATAAATTAAGCTTTAAGAGTACAGTAAGACCGTACAGAAACTTTTTGAGTACGGTACGAGTTGGACTTGGTCAAATTTTGTGAAATCTGAATAGGTAGCAGCTAGCTAACATATATTTATGTGTAAGTCTATGAACTTAAACAGCAATTGATAGATAGCTTTCGATGACATGACTACGGTATTCAAAAGAGACGCTGAAAACGTCTGGGAAGGGAAAAGGAAAGTCTGGAAAAACGCTGAATGTCGAATTGCTGAACTGCACGAAATGTGACCTATTCCGACTGGCCGCACCTGTATTTATATGGAAATTTTAATTTTGTTACAACTCCCGCCCGACCGCTATTCATCCAACGCGAGGAGAACAATACGGGCAAACTGTCGTCATCCGAAAAACCCACAAAACTTATTGAAAACTTTTTGCGAAATTGAATTGCTTTTTGTGTGTGAAATTTTTTTCTGCGGACAATGCCCGTTGCCCGGGTTGAATTTTCCAAATTCCCAAATGCAGCTCAATGCTTTGTGGCAACCGTTAGCACTACCACAGCTCCAATCAGCAATCAACGGCGCTGCAACCTAACCATGTGGATTCTTATAAGAAAAAGACAATCGAATTGCTTTTAGAGTTACTTTCATTTGTAAAATTTCATCTGTACTGGCAAGACAAGTGGGCTAAAAACTAAACTAACTTATCGATTATTGCAAACGATATGAGTGAGAACTTGCTCAGTGTTCTAAAATTTAGTGCCTGGCCTCTCAAAGACAAAACAATAAGTAATTCAGTTCGGCCGACATCGAAAGTTTACGTCACAATGAATGTCGATCATTTAACTTGAATCACAAAACTCTTTTAAAATAATAAATCGATTTTGCAGATGTTTAAAATTCAAATTCAAACCAGTTATTAATAGAAAAATCGTCTATGTGCATTTGTCGGGATCACATGAGTTTTTTTGGATTCTTCAAATCAAATATGTGACCGAACCGATCGTCAATCACCAGAAAAATTGAGCAACGAAACAATTTGACCTTTTTTGGGAAATTTGTAAGTCGAATAACAAAGATTTTTTCAAATGTAACTACAAAATGAGCTTCTGCTCAAATATTAGGTTAATGAAAATAATGCGAATTTTTTGACCCGAATCTTTGTTTCAAAAGCAACAACAACGAAAGAAGATTATTATAAAAGGTATTATCTATTTTTATTTAGGAAATCATGCAATCTTTTACTCAATTCAATAATTCCATCTTCAAAGAACTGAACCTTTTTAACGAAAAATAGTTGGTGACCGCATCTTCGACTTCTTGGTAATCCTCGAACAGCTGATCGGAGATGAACTGCTTTAAAGACCTGAATAAGTGGTAGTCTGATGGGATCAAATCAGGGCTGTATGGGGCTGTAGAAGTTTCCAATCCATCTCTTCGATTTGTTGGAGGGTTATCTTTGCCGTATACAGTTTTGCATTATCATGCTATGGATTTTTGAAGTGTCATGTCGAGATTTCGATAAAACTTGATTCACAAGCTCTAACTGCTCACTGTAAAGTTCAGCTGTGACAGTTTTACCCGGTTTGAGCAGTTCAAAATAAAACAATTCACGATAGTTTCACCATATGCACAACATCAACTTCTTTCCATGCAGTTCAGGTTTTGACGTGACAACCGGGGCTTGATTTGGTGATAGCCATTGGTGCTTGCGCTTAAAGGGGGTGGGGGGACACATCAGCGCGAAATAAGGCAAAAAAACATTCTCTATCAGAATTTCACGTTAGAGTCTGATGCAGAAAGTTGTGCTGAATCGAATCGTGAAGAAATTATCGAAATCCGTCTGACTCGATTTTTTAAAATCGCCTCAAAACCGATAACTTTTGTGATTTTTTAAAATCTCGTTTTATCGAAAAAAATTGCACTTTTACAAGCAACTCGCTCGCAGCGACCAACTTTCGGCGGCTCGTTTTTAGCGTGGTCGAAAGATTGTGCCCTAACTTTTGTGTGGACGTTTATAAAGATCATTTTGATACCAAAAAAATAAAAATTGATCAACTCTGCGAAGAGTTGATGCCTTTTTAGGTTCAAAATGACGCTTTGCGACTTTCTGCCCCTATTTAAAGCAGCCAGACATTTATATTACTCTATTTGTGTTTGTCCTTTTTGCCAGAGGCTTTTAACTTATATTTAACTTATCTCTGTTTAAATTGTTGATAAACAAACTCTTAGTAAGCCTTTTGATAGGTTCAGTATATTTCTTGTTCACAAAGAGACGGTTAATCAACTGTCATCGGTCAATCATCAATCAATCAACTCAATCAATCAATGTATTTTTTAGTTTCTTGAATGTAAAAAAACAACCCATGCAAAATTTCAAGTCATTTCACTCATCCAAAGTACTTTATCGTACAAAAAACGTTTTAACAGCTGTCAAAAAATTATAGACGCACTTTTCTTTATCAAGAAAAAGTTAACAGAAATAAAAATAACAACACAAACCAAATAAATTAATAATGCGTGGCCCTCCTTGCTTTAGTCCAACTTCAAAAAGACGTCTCGGCATCGAAGAGAAAGGGTCATGGAGCGCCGTTGATTGCAGCCGATTCCAGGCTACTTGAATGGCTTTCTTGAGCTCATTCACGCTCGAATATTGCTTCTTTCCCTTGTAGACACCTCGAAGGAGTGTCCCCCACAAATTCTCAATCGGGCTCAAGTCTGGGCTGCCACGGGCCAAGCGACAGTGCCGATTTTGTGCGCTGTTAGCCAATCTCTTGTGGAGCAACTTGCATGAATACTCGCGTTATCGTGCATAAAAGTAAAGTTATTGCCCGGATTGTTGTTCAGATAGACGGCTAGATGTTTGTCGAACACTTGTTGATAGTCAAGGGATGTCATCCGGGTCGAAATAAACTCTGAGCCGACCAGCTCACCGTCTCGAAAGTCTCCCCATACCATACATGATCCACCTCCAAAGTTCCTCGTGCTAAAGACCATGCCCGGCTTTCGTGAATCCTTCCAATAACCTCGAAAACCATCAGCACGATCAAGGTTGAACTTCTTTTCGTCACTCCAAATGATCTAAACATAAAATATATAAGAAATACTAGTAAACCAACTCCCTCCCATTTGGTCTTCTGGCTCTTTTGAGCGAAATCGATACGGGCGGCTTTATGGTCCTTTGTAAGTCGTGGAGCTTGCTTCATGAGTTTGTATTTGAGTATTGAAGATCGTTTGACAACATTGTGCACAGTTTGGCGAGTGACCGGAAACTTCATCTCCTTGCGAACCTCTTCAAGTGATGTCGTCGTGTTGGAAAGATGTCTCGTAATTGCGCGTTCGTCTTGATCGGTCAAATTTCTCTTCCAGCTCCGTATTTCTTTCTTCTTAGGAGTCACTTTGGTCTTGAGATATGTACGAAGACACTTCTAAACTCTGTCGGGGGAAAAAGTTTCCTTTTTTGTGACCAAACGGGGGGGGGAATACCTTAATACCTTTTTTCTCCCCCCCCCGCGGTTTTTTTTCGGGGGGGAAATAGAAAAAAAAAAAAAAAAAAAAAAAAAAAAAAAAAAAATAAAAAAAAAAAAAAAAAAAAAAAATAATATAAAAAAAAAAAAAAAAAAAAAGGTGTTTTTTATTTTTTTTTTTTTTTAAAGTTAATTTTTTTTTTTAATTGGGGTTTTTTGGATGGGGTGGATTGTTATATTATGTTGGTTTTTTTTTTTAATAAAAAAGGGAAATTAAAAACAAAAAAATTTTTCCCCTCGCTAGCGTTCGTTTTTTTTTGGGACCGGGGGGGCGGGAGAGGGGGGGGGGGTCTCAGTTTCATGGCTTCTGCCATGAAACATGAAAACTATAAAAAATAAAAATTCGCCCTTATTTTCCTGCCAACCTAATAAGATGTGAGCAAACAAGGAAGCTCAACATCCGTTCTCAAGATTATAAATCGAAAAATTCAAATCTCGAATTTGTTCTTTTGCGCAGTCAGCAAAATCATGATCACAACTTTAAAAAGCTTTTCCCAAAAGTAACTTGTATTGCTCTTTAAAGCTCGAAATTTACTTTCGTATTTTTCCCGCCATTAGCCCAAATATCTATACACAAACTGAGGTTTTCTAACACCTTTTGATTCTTATTCAACGACCGTAATCTAACAGACGCAATCATTCAACGATGTATCTAGAGCCATGAAATCTTTTTTAGCAGATCTATTGTCTTAACGACGGGGAAAGATAGGGGTGATGCAAATTAGCATTTATCTTTTAGAGTAGCCTGGAACTATACCTTCCGTAAAGACTGGCTCAACGATGAGTAGTTGATTTAGTCTATAAACCTATAAAATAATAAAACTTTAACAAACTTTAGACTTTTTGTTTACGTGTCAAAGTCAACCTCATCAGCTCAGTGTACTTTTTCTACTCATCGATTTTCATCGAAATCCAAAAACGATCAAAATCCAAAAAGTGATCAGTCTAGGCAAAGAGCACAGAAAAAATGACCCCATTGTAAAGACGCAGCAATGGATCTGCGTTTGAATTTGAGTTGTTTGTCATTTTGTCTCATTCAACTTGTTTGCCACGATTGGTCCCGGTGATCAGCTAACAGTTTTCCCGAGCAACGGGCATTGTCCGCAGAAAAAAATTTCACACACAAAAAGCAATTCAATTTCGCAAAAAGTTTTCCAATAAGTTTTGTGGGTTTTTCGGATGACGACAGTTTGCCCGTATTGTTCTCCTCGCGTTGGATGAATAGCGGTCGGGCGGGAGTTGTAACAAAATTAAAATTTCCATATAAATACAGGTGCGGCCAGTCGGAATAGGTCACATTTCGTGCAGTTCAGCAATTCGTTGACATTCAGTTCCCGTTTTTCCAGACTTTCCAGACGTTTTCAGCGTCTCTTTTTGAATACCGTAGTCATGTCATCGAAAGCTATCTATCAATTGCTGTTTAAGTTCATAGACTTACACATAAATATATGTTAGCTAGCTGCTACCTATTCAGATTTCACAAAAATTTGACCTCAAGTCCAACTCGTACCGTACTCAAAAAAGGTTCCTGTACGGTCTTACTGTACTCTTAAAAGCTTAATTTATCATTTAAATTGCTTATATAATGTTTTTGACAGCTAAATTCACTCTAGAATTCATTTTTCAGGTAATAATGAGGCTACTAAGTTTAGCATGCCTTTTGGGCTTGTCCTCACTGCCGTCTTCGGGGTGAGTTTTGATTGAACGAATCCAATCTAATCAGACACTCCTTCATTTGTAAAATTGTCTAGATAACAGATTCCTATCTGAAAAGTACTAACAGGTTACTAGATATCCTTTTCCTTTTATGCCATTTTCAGTGTGGCTACGGTAAAGGCGACTACTCGTCGACTTTCATCGAACATGTGTCGGTGATTTTCTCGATTGAGACCGCCTATTGGACAATCTCCTATGTAAGTGGCATTTTAAAATTTCATACACTTAGTTTGTTGGAAACTTGGCACCAGAAAGACGACTTTTCCAGGAATACGATGTGTGGTACAACGGCTCATCGACCACCGATCAAAACAACGAGACGTTGACCGCCGCCTACTTCATCACTCTGCTCGAGAGCTACGAAAAGGTTGAAGAAAAGAATCAAAGCCTTAACAGGACTTCATTGCTGTTTTCGAATCGTTTCTATATTTAGGGAGAGTTGACGCTCGTGACCACGGAGCCCACCTACGGCTACATCAACTATTTGTACGGTATGTCGTGGATCTTCTACGGACTCCAATACACGGATACTTTCTACATCGACATGGTCACTCAATACACGGATTCTTGCGGATATGACACTTCACTCCTACACGGGCACCACCCTCGGCACCAACTCCACCAGCCACATTGGAGGACTCGCAAAAGGTGGAGATTGGAAATGGCAAAATTCGAACCCTGAAATTTCGATGAGTTTTGTCTTTTCAGGAAAAAGCCAAGAAGGTGTTCGCGTGCTACGAGTACCAAGGATATACCTGGGAATCGGAAGTGTGGAACCAGGTTGGTTGTTTTGGAAGAATTGTTCTCAAGATGCGCTTTGTCAGACGGACTCGTGCTGAACTCAATTCGTCACCACCGGAATGAGCCAAGGCGCCATCGATCGAGACGAACACGCAATGCGTCCAACTCGGTCTCTACTACTCGATGTACCCGGAAATGCTCGTGCCTGGGGTGAGTGTTGTAAAGCTACTGCAGCTATTAAAGTGGATGTTCTTGGGGCTATTGCAGCTAAGACTCTTCAGCTAAAGATATGCTTTGAGATTTCTATAGTGACAATCGTCTTTTCAGTGCTCACCTGACATGAGCGTCACTGCTCTGTGGAACAATACTACGAAGTTATCGGCTACATCTTCTCCACCGAAGAGACTCGTATCAGCTTTGCCCCCCGCTTTCTACAACTATTTCTACAGTTGCCCCTGCGCCTTTAAGGAGTTCAATGGAGTAAAGTGATCAAGGGACGTGAGTGTCGAGATTTTTGGCAAAAAATCCCTTAACAACACTTTCAGTCATGCATCATCAAGGGCGGAGATGTCTCCATCGTTGCCACAAGTGGTGAATGCGGTGGAATGGAGATGGTCGAGCCGTGCGTCGAGATGATCTACCAGCTTATCGATCAACAGAACTGAGGGGGTTTAGCTTTGGATGGTTCTCGAGAAACTTTTCCAAATTTAGCAAAAGTCATGTGGTTCATCACATCTACATGAAGAACATCCTCAACATTTCCCCAATCACCAGCACCGTGACATTGACCGAAAACGTGCAGATGTACACCTACATGATGGAACAAATCGCCACGTCGGGTGGTTTCATCTCGTGGACCGTCTACGTTGAGGTAAGAGAGTTTGACACGCTTTGACATGGCTGGCTTTCTTCATTACCCTATAACATTACCCCCTCTAAATCATTACCCTCTAAATCATTACCCTCACAAACAAAAATAGCTGCTAATTTAGTTCTTCGCCAGATGGGAAGCGTTCTCTGCGGAACAAAGGTGACCGTGACCTGGACAGGTCGAGATCTGGATCACCGAATTCTTCAACGTTTGCTGCCACTGGACCCTCCCGTACACGGTAGCTTTTATCTAGTTTATTCAAACAGCAATGTTGCTTGAGTTCCCCACTTTAGACTCCAGCACCCACCATGATCACCGAGTTTACTCCGATGGTCACCGAGGAAGTCACCGGATTTTCAACTGGAGAGACGGCCATGTCAACCTGGTGAGACTGGCTTCACGACTGGAGAGACCGGCTCTACGACTGGAGAGACGGCCATGTCAACTGGTGAGACTGGCTTCACGACTGGAGGACTGGCTTCACGACCGGAGTTCCAACGGAGGCCACATGTGTGATCTCTACTCCCGAGGAGGAGTGCGCCTACATTATTGTTTGTGATTCTTAACTGTACTCGAGGTCATTTTATTCATCTACTTCCGTTTCAATCGGCTTCCCTCTACGTGAACAAGACGTGGAGAGACTCGCTCAACACTAAGTGCCGTGGCCACAAGGTGGGAATATGGATGAGTTTTTCTTTCGAATCGAAGCCCCATTTTCGGGAAAAAAATTCTTACAATGATCTTTACCATTCTGAACTATAGACAGCAATTGCTTTAAACGAAGCTCTCCAAACGCTCATTTCAGGAGAAGCACCCCCCTTCGAGCAACAAGGACAAGGGGCTAAGCACTCGTGAAATCCACGCACGAGTGTGCGCGCGATTTGGGCACTTGCGGGAGGACCCGACTGCGTCCCACCAGCCGAGTTGGCTTCCTACCTATGAGCCAGTCATTGAAGATGGCCCCACAACCACCAGCGGGAGAGGACAGCTGGAGTTCTTTTGTCAACTTCCCCATCGAAGTCTGCGCTCGGTCGGCGACTACGATTTCTCAATGAATGCGCGTGCGCGATGGCCGAGTATTCGAGCTCTTTCCCCACCGGTGACGATTTCAGCCATCAAACTGGAGACGGAGACGAGCCAACTGTTGCCCCGACTTCAGTGATAGAGGTAAAAAGGTATTTGGTTTTCATTGCAAAGTGACGGTTTAGATCAAATCCAACACCGGAATCTTCATCTTCTTCCAATTCATCGCGGTTGAGTGCGGTTTCCCAGGACTCCTTCTTCTGGGTTCAGGTGAATGAGTTAAAACTAAATGACTTTAAAGTCAAGTTATTGTTTTGACCATCACTACCTGAGATTCTTAACTAATAACTATGCTATTTAGTGGATCCTCGGTTCAAGGCGATCTTCTTCTCTCACTCGACTGGGATTGCGGATGCTGGGGAGAGTTCATCTGGAGTGAGTTTATGCAGGTAAAATTCTGTACAACTTAAAAATCGATTTGTAACTTGTGGTTGATCGTAGTATCGAGAACAAAATGAAATATCTAGCCTGGTCAATCGACTGGATCGAGCTCCCTCATACACTTTCTTGGAGGCAATGTGCTGCGGATGCACTCCAACCGAGATGCCCATCGTAAGTGAACCGCAAAAAAAGTTTTGAAAGATTCACTAACTCTAGAATTCTGACAAAATTCCTGAAACTTCCAGCCAACACCCCAAAATCGGAGTCGGCACTTGGGACATCTTCCGTTTCTTCGTCGCCTTCTGCAGTAATGTCGAACTACGTGAGACGTTCGAGTGCTTCATGTCATGGTACTTTGAGGTAGAGGGGGAAGAAATGAAAGTGGCAGGATTGATGGTGGCATAGATCTACAAAATTAGACTTTTAGCTCAATGGCTACGTCACGTTCGAGACAATGACTTTCACCGAAGTCACGAGTGCATGTCGATCTTCATTGACTACATGATCATCGTTGTTGATGTAAGAGATAGGAACTACAAGGGGTAAGAGAAGGAAATACCCGGCTCTTCACAGGAGCAATACTTGTATCTTGAATGCAAATGTAGTATGACGAAATTTCCCCGTTCCAGCACCCGGACACCCAGAAGAAACCCAAGGGCTCCCCACAATCACCTATGACGAGTTCATGTACACTTGCATGTATTGGGTGAGCTTCAAGGGTGACGACAAGATGTGCAACCTGTTCGATGAGAAATACGAAAAGGTGAGGAGAAGATTGGGACTATAGAAACGAAGCCGCTTTAGTGCAAGGACAAAAGCCTCAGGCGAGAGCCACGAGAAATCGAACAGCCACGAGGTGCCATCAGAGCCCGGATCAGTGAGTTACAATCGAGTAAAAAGTCATAGAATTTCTAGGATATGTGCGAGTTCGTCATCAAGTACATGGCCATTTGCCACGGAGTGTGGGGGAACGAGCGCGTGGAGCGAGTTGAATTAGCTTATTACTGCACCGTAGCTAGTGCTAATACAGTTCTAAGGCTAGTGTTCGAGATTAGAATCCTCTACATCTTGCATCTACATTACAGTACTACAGTCTGGCATGAAAAGTAATGCTTAAGTTTTATTGCTACTTATTTTATTGGATGGTTTCTTTCTGGCTTGAAAGCACTTGCAGAGACTTTGATAAAGTTATGTTTGAGAATAAGACAAAAACTTTCAATGTGATTGCTATTTCCCTTTTTCAGTACTGGGTCAGCTGGTCGAGCGGCTGGGAGGTTGCCTCATCGCAAGGGACTTCAAAGGAACACTGGGTGCAAGAGCAGATGCTTTCTGTGACAACGCGATTCAAATTGATCTGCGAATGGGTAAGGGACTAAGTTAAAGCTAAAGAAGATAGTGAAAATCAGCCAATCCAATCAATACTTTCGATGACGATTCCATCCAAAATCCTGTTTCAGGAAGGTCCATGGGCCACCGAGGAACCCTCGACCGTGGCTCCATAAACGGGATATTTCTTCTACCAGGGAGTTAGCCTCAATTTTACTGTCATTTACTGTCCATCGAATAAATTGCAATTGAATTACCATTGTTTCGTTTACAAATCTCAAGAACAAGGACAAAACAATACACTTTTGAGCGCAAAAGGATTGTAAATTATTCAACAAAACCATTGTTTTCATGTTTTTCCTAAAACGTCTCATTTTTCTCAAAAATCTACGAAATCGGTCTCTCTATGGTTCCTCGAAAGGCCATTATCTCGTTTTTCAACTTGGTAAAATGGTTTGAAATTTTAAAATTGAAGATTAAGTCAACTCCGTCTAAGTCTAGCCTGAATACCAATTTTGGCCTGGCTTGGCTTGATTTAACCTGAAAATTAGCCAGCACTGACTGCTTCACATTTCACCCTATCGTTTAGGTGCTTTTAATTGCTCTGCTAATCTTCTGTCTATTGTATCTCAAATTGCCGTCAACGGGCCCGTTCCAATTGACGCTGGCTACAAGCTTTGCCACGCGATTCGCGATCGGCATTGAGAAGACCATGATCGTAAACTCCACAAAAGCTTCTCCTTCAAAACCAACAACTACAACAACGCGAAACTCTCTAAAAGGCGATGATCTGTTTGTGTGGAACGCTTTCATGGACTATCGGTAGGTGTCAATAAACTTTTTAAAACGGAATCGATTTCTTTTTTAATTAAACCAGGTACAATAAGCGTTACGATATGTCAGCTCCGAAATTAGTCGATTTTTTACACCTTTGCCAGTTTTATTTTTCATTTTGCTGTATCTCAGTTCTTTGCTAAGTACCAATGCAATTCATGTTATTGATTGCACTTACGTGAAACGAACTGAATATATTCATTATTTTTACGATTGATCTCATTTTAACTTTCTAAAAGGGAACTTACAATTAGAGGCGTGTCCATTGGATTACCAAAAGCTGGTGCTAGCCTAGAGAATCCCACCCAAAAATTAGCGTTGGGTTGACTTGACCTGGCGCACAAAAAAGTAAGACTAGTGATACAGCAGGTCAACTTGTTTCTGGCTTACTGCTGGCCTGATCTATAGTTAGTCTGGTTTGGCGAATGGCTAGAGAATGGCCAACTAGAAGTTAGGATCGGGTCAGCTCTAGGATCAGATCCGGCTTGCAACCTAGGATGTGATTGAAAGTTTCCTGCTAGCTTTTCCAGGCCTGGCTGGCTTTTAGTTCATTGTTTACATGTACTATATATAGAATACTGGGATTTAAAAACGGAAAGCAGTTGTTTGATTTAAAAAGCGAAAATTCTGATTCCTGCTTGCAATAAACTACAGTTCCGGGTCTCAATTCGTGCAAAAACCCATCTCAAATGAGACAAAAAGTTTAACACATCAAAAACCGTCAATAATGTCTCTGACTCTGGCTCACTAAAGGAGAAATTTTTGCAAAATTTGCACGGTGACATCAAATATTTAATTGATTTCACTCTTTTCATAAAACGTGAACTTTTTGAATATTCAGGTCACAGGACTCGCCACGAATCCGCGTGAATTTATTGGGAAATTGGGAAAGGTTGAAGAGTCGCTTTATTGACGAAATTTTGATTTATGTTGACGATCGGGCGATTCCCATCCATTGGATTGTACCAACAACGCGTGGGGTTTGAATTTTTTAGGAATTTTTTGAGGGATTGGAAGAATTGCATCCATAAGATCCGTAAATTGTAAAATTAAGAATGTTTAGCTGCCCAAGCAAGTGCAAGTACACCTCAATCGATATCACGACGAGAAAGTACCAATATTTCAACGATGTTAAAGAAGTACGAGATTTCGAGGAATCATGCAAAGCTCGAGAATTGTTAATCCAAAAAAACTCAATTAAGATAACGGTGAAAAAATGGCGACGCGGCTATGTGAACGCAAAAATTGGAGTGAGGAAAATGTTTGGACCGGAAGCTCAAGAAAATGGGATCACCTCTTGTTTGAAGCCATTGCTTTGGTGAGAAACGTAATCACTTTGGACCTTTGTGTTGACTTTCTTCTTTAGAATTGGTTCTTTAGAACGAAGAGCAATGGGTTGTTTAGATCTTTGTGTTTACTAGATAGACAGTTTACATTCATACAATCGTTTGCTTAGGTTCAACGATTGGCGCCGTTTGCTTCTCTATTTTGAGTTGGCACGGGGAATCGGGTACACAAGATTTCTGATAGCGTGGAATTTTGTATCGAGTGACGTGAAGAAAGTGATCGATCATTACAGAAATTTGGTGAGTTTTGAGAGGAGATTGGCTTTCACTGAGCTTTACAAAAAGACTTTTATAAACTCGTAGAGGTTCGGTATTCAGACTTCACCTTTCTTCCGTAAAATAGAAATGAAAGCACTGAAGTTTGCGTTTAAGCCTAAGACTTTTAAACATCATCAGAGCTTTTTGGTTAATTTCAGAGTCTTGTCGATATCCCGTATCCAATCACGGCAAACGATCCACAGGTAAAAAAGCTTTGCTCGAAGATCCGTAGCTCTCTAGCTTGCTTTCAATCCTCTCATCGGGAACACAATGGAAAATCTTTGGGCTCAAAGTTGCTCGTATTTATCTCAAACGAAGTACACATCTTACAATGATTTCGATGAGATTTTCTATGTCAAGTGAGAGTTTTCGATTGAAACTAACAGAAAATTTAGAAAAAACATATCATTGTTCGATTTATTAGAGTACCAAAGTGAGAGAGATGTCACAGCTGGTAAAATAACAGAAAAATGAGTTGAGCACATAGATTTTAGGCGCTTTTGTGTTCGCTCGCTTTGGATTTGCGTTTGAATCGAAAATTCGCGAAAAATCGTTTTCGGAAACAGTCAACGGATTGAAAAAGGGCAACTTTTGAGAATCCTGGGATAAAAAATTAGGGTAAACTTGAAAATCTTGTCCCTACTTTGTGCTTTTTGAAAGACGCAAGCCCTCTGGCATACTGGAAATGCAAAAGGGCTTTCGGACAAATGAACCAAAGGCACTAGGGAGCGTGCGTTCGCTCGAGCACAAAGTACGGTACGAGTGTTGACTTGATATGCTCTTAAAAGCCAATTAGATTCAAAAGCCACTTCAAAATTTGTAGATGATCTACGCAAATGAATTCGTTCTTGAGGTTTCCTCAACCGATGTCACAAAGTTTTTCTTGAATAAGAAGATGAGATCGGTATTTTGAAGGATACTTGAGAAATTGTGAATAAATGTAGATGAATTCGAAGGATGCCATTTATCTCAAGATCAACTACGAGAAAGATTCTGGAAACGATTCTCTTCTGCCGAATATTCCCTTGATTGAAAAGGTTCATCGGTTAGAGACAATTCTAAGAAAATTCTAGGATCCTGAGCTAATCAATCGAATCCGAGATCGAGTGAAAGAGATTTTCGGAGACAAAACTCCAGACTATGATAGAACGATTCTTGAACGATATAGTCTTTGTTCAAAGGAGTAAGTTTCATAATAAAGTATGCTCCTGTTTGTTGAAAAGTTACCGTAATCTGTAGTCTAAAATAGTAAAATAGAACAAATAATTGGTCTTAAAATTTCAGTGATAAGACCTGTGAGTCACCCATTGGAAGATGTGTATCGGAGCTGGAAAATGCCGAGAAATGGATTCAAAATGACGCGCCGGCTTGGGATAAACTCTATGTTTTGTGAAGATAAAAATTTCGTCAACATTCCAAGACTAATTATGGTTTAAATTGCAAGATATTGTTATTGGTAATTAAATCGAAACAAATATATTGGGCTTTTCTAATCAATTATGACATCTTCTTTGATGTCCAGGGTGATTAAGCCACAAACTCACACATAACTCTTTTTTATATGGACTTCAAATGAATAAGATTAAAGTGAGAAAGTCTAGATAATGAACTTTTAGTTGATTTTCGAGGTGATCTAACCAGGGAACATTCTGAGGTTACCTTGGCTGCTTGGGATGAGAGAGGTACCATTCAACAGGTCAAAAGATGCAGATTCCGGATCTGTACTTTAGGTACTAAACGTCAAACATCAGCCATTTAGCTTTGAGCTTTTAAAATGAAGATTCTTGGTTGCACATTTCAAGGCGGGTTGCGAATTGATCTCTGGTGAGAGAGTGGGGAGAACACAACGAGCACAGCACAAAGACTAGAAATGGGAAATGGGAGTATGGATTGATAAGCACAACTAGGCAAAACAGAAAAACTTTTCAATATTTTCTCAAACACTTAACGAAATGCCAAATTGCGGTCAGTTGTTTAAAGTTAATGTAAGAGTTTGCAAAAGTCACATACCGTAAATACTTCGCCATTCCCATAATGACAGGCGTACAATCGCGTAGTCTAACTTTGAACGTTCCATTCTCCCGCTGCTTTATGTTACAGTGTTCTACATGATGTCAAATAATAACCCTTGAAATCTAGTATTTTTGGTATTAAAAGTGTAGCTGGGAAAAGTCTAGGAACTGAGAAAAGAATGATTTTCTAAGAAGAAGTTAGAGGGAGGATTGTACGAGGAGGTGGGGTTCGATTAACGTATTTACGGTATGAAAATTGCTTTTATTTCTTATTTAGGTTGTCTTGAGGGTGGTCCGTGCACATGTCCATGTGTTTCTGGTATTTGCGACTGTGATGTTTGCACTTGTCATAGTTGCAAAAAGCTTTGTGGACAAACGCCTTGTTTATGCACAAAATGTGATCTTGGTGAGTGTTTTCAGTTCAAATCTGTTTGCTTAAAAAAAAAAATTTCCTTTAATAATAAAAAGTTGCATTTAAGTACACCAGAAGGGGTGGGGTTTCAGAAAACTTTTAGAAGATAAAGAACTATCGTAAATACTGTAATAGTACCCCACCCCCATAATGACGGTGCGGAGTATTGCGTAGTCTAGCTTTGAACGAGTTTTTCTCGACACTGGTTTATGCTACAATGCGCGATTAGGTATCAAAAAATAGCTGAAATTCAGGGCTATTTTTTGTTACCAAAGATACATTTTGAAAGTACGGGTGCTTTGAAAAAATGAAATACTAAAAACTTTTGCGACTACACGTCTGTACGAGGGGGGAGGGGTACTATTTTTTTTTACAGTATTTACGGTAGGTAAAGTTTTAAATATGATTAGATATTAAATTCAGACTTTAGTCAAGAAATCCACTGATTGCGAAACAGAAATGTGGTGGTGGAAAATGTACAGAGAAAAATGATTGCACCCAAAAATAAATGAGATGTTTTATTCGCATTTTTATCTTTTTATTCATAATTATTCGCTTCTTCATTTGCTAATGGTTCCGGGAGTTTTCCGGGATTCTCTTGCATCTTGATTGCCCTTAAAATCTCCACATTAATTTGCCATTTTCTATCATCTTCGGCTCGTTTCTGTTCCTCTTCTTTCTCGTGTCGCATCTGCTCGACTCCGAAGTTTCCGCTCGGCACTCGAGTACTAAATTTTTGTTTTAAATAAACAATGCATTAGAAGAGACAAATGTAGCAATGTGTGGCATTTATTGATTACCAGTACCAGCTACCTTATGAAAATCCTTTAAAGCACCTAATAATCATAAGCAATAATCAAAGAGTAAAGTTTTAATTACTCAAGTCTACTCAATATAACTTGAACTGTTTTGTTGCTTTAAGCAGCTCAAAACAGTTCAAAACAGCTCGATCACCCACCAGCTCAAGCATTTGCCTATCTTCATACGCTCTTCGACTTTTATCATCGGCTTTCATCCTTGGGCATTTATTCCGTCTTCGGATATCGAAGATCCATCCAGTTGTTGAATTGTGAACTGCTTTAGCATATCTGCAAAGATACTATTGTTATTTCTTTCTTTACATCAGTTTGTGTTCTATTTTCAACCGTTTAATACCACTATATTGGTTTTGAATCGTAATCCAAACCACAAAACACAAAGCCAACAAAGCAGAAGTCATCAGATTTAAAAGTCTTATCCGTTTTTTAAAAGTTATTTTTTGAAATAAATAATAAGCCAATCTATGGCTTGTTTTATCGAAAAAAAAAAGCCCTATTATTTATTTACAAAATTGTTCTTTAAGAAATTCTGAAAAGCTTGCGTTAGTTAATTTTTTTAAAGATGTGAAATCGAGCACAGACAAGACCAATATGAATGAGCATTTTTGAACAAAAAAGAGTGTCAAGTCAACTATTGAAATCCTTTCAGTTTAGCGGTTTCAAACCTAGCCAGCACAACTGTACGATCATCTTGATCGGCTTGTGCATCTTCTTTCGATTTGAAGCCTGGATGAATCGCAAAAGCTCCGTTCAAGACCTTGAATCGATATCCGGCTCTACACAGCTCCCAACGCTAAAAACTTTCCTTTTGGATCATTCATTTAAACAGCTCACTTGATTCGCGTTATCTCTAATTAGATATGGAAATGCCTCATCGTGAAAAGGGATCGTGTTCTGAGCGACAAATTGTGGTTCCCAGGCGGCATCCGAATATCTGAATATTTTTTATCCGAATAGCTTAACAGCTGGTTTTTCTGGTCGCCTAGTTGTTGTCGTCGTGGCGCATTCGGCAACGGGCTTGTCTACTGCCGGCGCGATCCGGGCTCGACCTCGCAGTGCCACGCAATTGACTTTTTTTATTTTAAATGGCACAACTATATAATAGGTTGATGCATAAGTCTTTTCGTTTTTTTCGTACTTCTGTTAAAAAAGTAACAAATTCACCAATTAATCTATAGTTTGCTCTATAAAAAAAGTGTTTTTTTGTTCAATTTGCATCTTTTTAAATCAATTTCGGTTCACTTTCAAGCAAATTCGAGAGTGAAAAACGCCTTTTTCGTAAAAATCTATAAAAAAACTCTACGGAAAAATTGGCTGAATGCATTTCTCTGAAATTTTGGTGAAATATCAAACTTTTTTTCTCTATCTTTTTATCTATTGACACGAAGATAGGTTTTCTTTAGCTAAGTGTGTCTAAACCGCATCATCGAGTTAGCCCTTTTTGACTACCCGACTTCATACTCTCAAGAAAATCCAGGCATTAAATATTTTAAACCCGTTTTAATGTTATTTTGCAGAAAAATAATTGGTTTTTCTAATGAAATCAACCCTAGTTTAATTCGTGCATTTGTTGGCTTGAAACGGCAGACGAAAAGGAACAAAAACACTTATGCATCAACCTAATATTTTTAGACTTTAAAAAAATTTCTGTTTTTTTGGTCTAAAGACGGCTGAGAAAAAGACCGTACAGGACGAACGGACAGACGGACAGACAGACGGACGGACAGACAGAGAGACGGACAGACATAGAGACGGACAGGCAGAGAGACGGACAGGCAGAGAGACGGACAGACAAAGAGACGGACAGACAGAGAGACGGACAGGCAGACAGACGGACAGACAGACGGACGGACAGACAGACGGACGGACAGAAAGACGGACGGACAGACGGACGGACACTGTTCTTTATATAGATTTTTATGTAGATTGGGAGTTTACAAAACTCCTACCGGTATTTCACAGTTCCATTCAAAGTTGTTGTGCCTAGCCACGTTTTCATATCTGAAATTGTGAGGGCAAGGATTGGCCGGAAATTTTTTCCCAACACCGACTCGGGGTAACCATTTTAAAGCATGCCACAGCTACCGTAACCCGTCTCAGATACCGTAGTCGTTTAGTTTTATTAATTTTTGCCATTCCATACCTGGTATCCAGTGAGATTCGGGTGCAGCCTCCTCATGAAATAGCCTCGTCTGCTGAGCGTCGATCGATCCTCTTCAACTCTTGCTTGCTCAACGGATACCCCAATCTGAATAGAAACAAAATCAGCTTTGATACAGGAATTGAATTCTAAAACGAATTCTAAAACTAATTCCAAAACCAACTCTTCATCGGGATATCCTTCGAAAATTCGATAAACCAAGCAAATCTCTCCTCAAATCGATCAGCCCACTCTCGACGTTTTGCGAGACTGACTCGTCGAAGTTGAACGAAAACATGAATTGCGCGTCGCTCAACGTCATCAAGCGATGCTTTGGAACAAACTTGAAACTTGTACAAGTTGCTATATTGCTATTAGATCTTTTATCTTTCATCTAAACACTCACAAAGTCTTGTCGAATTCCTCAACACATTTATCGGATACCAATTGTCCTCGGTAAGCATTGGCGATTCCGCGCAATTCCTCTAGATTCGCATCATCTTTTGATCGAGTACGTACTTTGGCCTCACCAAGTAATCAGCACAACTGAACAAGTAAAAAGCTGAGTTTCTATAAAAGATCATGCTTTAATAAAGCCCAGAGCCTTACCAGGAAAGATCGCCAACTTAAGATTGAATTTCAAAATGAAATTCCATATATAACACACATTTCTTGTTGAAAAACAGATATTGGTTAAAGAAAGCTAAATAATTGTTGTCGAGGGAGTCGAACTTGGACTAATCATTTGGTAACTGAAAGCACTACCACTCGGCTACAGGAACAGCTTTCGTGAGCCAGGCGAGGAAGGCCTTACAAAAGAGATAGCTAAAACTTTAAAGCCCAAATTCCTTGCGTTTGCAAGAGATGTAGGAAAAACTAAAAGCGGATTCGGAAAGCCCGTGAAAAACTGAACAAGATAGGAACAAGTCGATTTGAAATTTCACCTTAACTTGGCGACCTAGTCAGAGACGAATGGATAGACTCTGTCGGTCATTCGGACCGATCCGGTAGGTCGATCATTTTTTGATCGATCATCGCTTGTTGGCGGGAACAATCGGTTCCAAACTTCGGGATTTAGCCACAAAAATTAGAGACTTTTCTGGTTGTTGGATATAAGAACGTATCAATAGTATACTTTGGCTGAAGATGCTATCTGTGGGCTTTTAAAAGCCTGTGAGCTTTAAAAGACTAACATAATGTGAGGTTTGACTAGCCATCCTTAGGTCAGCCTGATTGCAAAGATTCAAACTGTATGGCTGTAGTAACATAATGCAAAACTATATTGGGATCTTTTGAAACGCTCTCTTATCTACAGCTTACCATTACAGCCTCTTTAAGTAATCTGCGATCTGGTTGTCTATCATGGCTAAAAATTTTAATCAGATCTTTTTTTCAGATCAAAGGCTTTTCAAGCCTTAAAAACTCATGATAGCTTTGTAGCTTGTTAGCTAAAATGTAGCCCGTAGATCTTACAAAAATAACCAAAGAATTAAATGGATTTCTTTTCGAAGATCACAAGTAAGATCGAGTACACAAACGAAACTTCAGCTACACTACTGGACAATGAAATATCATATTTGAAAAAGATCGTCACTTTCGCGCGTCTGTAACTTCCTTGTCTTTATCGTATTTCTAAATATTAATATTACCATCGTGTAGCCCTTGAAAATGAGCTTTCAGAAAATGTATAGCACTAATAGTTTAAACTCAAAGACAAGGGAGTTACAGACGCGCGAAAGTGACGATCTTTTTTCAAATATGATATTTCATTGTCCAGTACTGTACCTCATCTCCCGCTCCTCAATTGGTATTTGAAAAGTGAAATGCACATCGATATTGTAAATCTCGTGTTTGTAAAGGAGACGATTTATCTGAAAAGAAAAAATTTTGCTGATAACAACTCTAGATTTACTTTATTGATTGCCTTATTTGAAAATCGTATAGAATTGAGGATCGACCTCAGGATAAAATGCATCAACTAACACGTTTAACACAATAGCACCCATCCATGCAGAGAACTAAAGTTAAACTTGAAGGTTTTAAGCAAAAAAATCTTTCAATCTAAAAGCTATTTGATAGCAGCTATCAAATAGCTTTTAGATTTAAAGGTTTGCGCGAAAAATCTCTCACTTGTTGCATCATCGACTCATCGACATTGTCGATTGTCGCGTGGAGCACCAGGAAAATTTCGGCAGCACTTTTGAATTGCGAACGGCGTACAAATGGTAAACACAGTATTCACCATTGTATTGAAGGTTTCCTAGAAAATTTAGCAGCTTTATTTCTTTCCGACAGAGTTTAACAATTGATTTAAAGTTTTTGCTATAGGACGCTAGTGAAAAGTTGATTTTTCGATTTGTTGATTTGTCGTTGATTTGTCGAGTTGATTTGTCGCAAAGTACCACAACTCGATACAAATTTTCAACTTACGGTTGAACTTGTAGACTCTTTTCTGGCACTCGTGCCCTGCAGCTATATACAGAATAAATGATCGAGCATAGTAATAAAAGTTGAGGAAAACAAGGAACGCATCATAAGGGCTTTGTAGCCCTCTCTGATCACCCGACTTGCCCACATCGACACACTCAAGCGTTCATTGAAGTTTCCAGTATCGCTAAAGATCCGAAAACAAAATTCTTTATAAATCTTAATTTAAAACAATTCAAGATTTGATTATGTAGGTTTTGGCTGAAAGGATGATCAACAAAACCAAATTAGGATCAATTCTCATCCATAACCAAATTATCAGCGGGGTAATATAATTTTTTTTTTGAAGTTTTATTTAGAAATGATTAAAGTAAATAACAAATGACAAGAAATGACAATAATTTATCAGATTTTAAAGATAAAAGCAGTTTTGCAAGTCGTTTTAATGAGGATTTCAGCCAGTTTTTGTTTAACAAGATCTATAGTTTTTAGTTTTTAGCGTTTTTAGAGTTTTTAGCAAAAATCTTCAATTAAAATTTTAATATTAAACAAGTATCATAAATATAATATTTTCTCAAATCTTGTTTAGCTCAACCCAATTTCTCTTAGGGATCTCGACTCAAAGAAGCGAATTCATCAACATTCTCTGCATCATCGTCGGATGGATGACGATGCAAAGACGACGATGCAAAGACGACGATGCAAAGACGACGATGCAAAGACGACGATGCAAAGACGACGATGCAAAGACGACGATGCAAAGACGACGATGCAAAGACGACGATGCAAAAGACGACGATGCAAAGACGACGATGCAAAGACGACGATGCAAAGACGACGATGCAAAGACGACGATGCAAAGACGACGATGCAAAGACGACGATGCAAGAACGACGATGCAAAGACGACGATGCAAAGACGACGATGCAAAGACGACGATGCAAAGACGACGATAAAGACGACGATGCAAAGACGACGATGCAAAGACGACGATGCAAAGACGACGATGCAAAGACGACGATGCAAAGACGACGATGTAAAGACATGCACATGTGACTGATTTACAAGAGAAAAAAGCTAGCAAAACATTATTTTAATTTTAGTTCTAAAAATAACTTCAATACTAGTTCAAAAGAAAGATTCAAAGATACTTTGTATGCTTTCCAGAAAAAGTCTTTTCGTTTCTTTTGTACTTTTGTACTTAAAAATAACAAATTCACCAATTAACCTACCGTAAATACTGTAATAGTACCCCACCCCCCTCGTAGAGTCGCGTAGTCGCAAAGATTTTTAGTATTTCATTTTTTTTCAAAGCACCCGTACTTCAAAAATGCATCTTGGTATCAAAAAATAGCCTTGAATTTCAGCTATTTTTAATACCTAAGCGCACATTATAGCATAAACCAGTGTCGGAAAAAAGCGTCCGGGAAAAAAATTTATTTGGGGTTGACCAAAAAATGAAAAAAAAAACTTTATTGGATGGTGGGGGGGATTTAAATTTGTGTAAAAGGAATTTTTTTTTTTAAAAAAAAAGAAATAAAAGGTTGTATTTAAAAGTTTGTAAAAAAAAAGCCCCCCCGCCCCCCTTCCGACACGGGTGTATTTGTCCAGTCTTTTCGCGCCCCATTTTGGGGGGAGGTGGCCCCCCCGCTTTCTGTGTAGATTTTGGATAAACCCGGTGTCGAGAAAACTCTCGTTCAAGCTAGACTACTCAACACTCCGCACCGTCATTAGTGGGGGTGGGGTACTATTACAGTATTGACGGTACTGCTTTACTCGCAATAGAACGTTTTATAACTCAATTCCATCATTTTTAAGTCAATTTCGGTTCACTTACGGGCAAAATTCGAGAGAAAAAACCATGTTTTTCTAAGCAAAAAATCGATAAAAATCTCTACAAAGAAATTGGCTGAATGAATTTCCTCTGAAAATTTGGCTATACACCAAACTTTTGTGCTCTATCTTGTTTATTTATTGACACGAAGCTTGATTTCCCCAAAGCCTATGCTTTACTCGAAATAAAAGTGTTTATTACTCAATTTCTATCTTTCCATCTTTTCCATCTAAAGTATCTTAGCATCATCGATCCGTCACCCTTGCCTAGCCACCTCCAAGCTCTCAAAAAAAGCCCAAAAATAACACACTTTTTAAATCCATTTTAATGTTATTTGCAGAAAATAATTGGCCTTTCGAATGAAATAGTTCAATTGGATCAGGATACATTCAATTTGAGAAACAAAACATGCTTTAATTGATGCATTTGTTGGTTTAAAACAGAAATAAAAAGAACGAAAAGACTTTCTGGAAAGTCTAATAATTCCTAATAATTCAAACACATCCTTAAATTAAACAATTGAAGATTTGATTTAAATCGATCGTTCAAAGCAAGTCCAAAAGAATAGTGTACAATGTGTCTTGGGGACACTGTTTTTTGTTTGTTGCAATAGGCGACACGAGGCTTGAATTTTGAGTTTCTTGTGGAGATGAAAGACAGAGCGTTTCAGGAGAGAATGGAATTCTGATTTCACAATAAAGAAAACAATGGATACAGTGACGGCAATGACCCAGGAAGTAAAAAAAAGAGATTGCGGCATTCCCATTTGACAAGAATGTGCAATCGTGTTTCTTTTTGGATTTGTTGAAAAATTATTATTTTAAAATTCTACCCAAAAACTCAGTAACCTAGTTGTTGTTTCTTGAGAATTGAATTTGATTCTAATTCTTAAAGATAAATCATTAGTCAGTAAATTTTTGAAAATCAGTGGAAATTAGAGTTTCTAGGAGTGGGTAAATTGATTTATCCAGAAAATTTTACAAGTAAACTTTTGGAAGAAGGGGGGGAAAAAGTCCAGAATCTGGATTATTTTGTGTAGATTTTAGACTAAAGATAGTATC